TTTAACATGACGGCTCCTTCAGACGAGATTGACGGTGTTAAAATTCAAAAAGTAAGATGACAAGCTAAATGGCTAAATTCATTAGCTAAATTGATGTACTGATAGATCCTTATATTTTAACTTGTATATCGTCACTTTTACTGTCTAAAGTTGGCATTTACATATATTTACGCTACAACAATAGATTCTCGATGAAAATGCTCAATTAATTCAGGTTAGTAAATTATATTGTCTTCACTACGATTTAGATCGTGTTGAATGTGTGCTAACATTGTAATTTGCAGTATTTTAAAATCATCTTTATGCTCAACTTTCATGCAGTATAGGATATTAAGTTACATTAGTGGCTGTGCCTGCTTTTGCTGTTAATTATGATATAAAACTGTATAATGCATCCCTGCCATGGAAGATATTTCGACATTAATTCGTAGGTGTCAGGAATAGTAGTCAGGTTGTTAAGAATCTGTTTTATTAGGGATCAGGTACATTACAGATACTAAAAATTATAGAAATTATTTATCGTGGCTTTCATCTTGAGTTTCCTAATAACACATTACGGTAGATTGTACAGAAATAGAAGATAGTGTTTCTGGACCATATGGGTTTACAACCGCGCTTGCTAAAATTGTGGTGTCTTCGAGGTTACCTCCGATCTCTTTGCCTCTACGCGTATGCTTCTATGCGTATTGATGAAGACTAAATTGTTGACATGCAAGGTCGTAGAGATTAGCTCGATATGTAACCTTCAAGTAGAATACACAGTAAGCAATTGGACTGTTTTAAAATTGTCTACTGTATAGTGTAGTGTATAATGTACTATTACGCTATATCCATGACGCGTATATCGTACACAATATTATACATCATCATGTTTTGCTGTTTGTACCTACAGTATGACAATATACAATTTTTAATCTCTCGGAAAGATCCCTTAGAAGTAGCATTTTTTAGATCTTCGCTGGTACGATTGTAATGTTACTTTAATCTTAATTAGTTTATGATACTAGATCGTACGCCTCCTCGTTGGGTATAGATTGAAATTCACGATTATGCTAATAAAATAAAAATAATTATAATAATCTCTCTATTTCTTGAAAGACTGCAACTATGTTCTAATCTCTAGTATTTCAGAAATAAACATTTTTATATATACCAGCATATTATCATCATGTTACGTAGAAGCGAGGTACGATGATAAATCTTGAAGCTACAGCACAGTAGTTTACTGTAGCTGTTGATTATGTGCTGTACGCCTATTTAAGATAAGTTTGAGTATACAAGGACGCATAAAATAATCATTGCATTTCGTTATAAGCGAAATGCGTTTGTAACAGTGGTAAATCACTCATTTGTAACATTGCTAAGTGGATGTTGTAAAGTGTCAAAGGTATTGGGTTATATACTATACTGTATACCTGATAGAAACAATTTAGTGAGTCCTAGCTGTTATACTCTTGGCACTGACATATACATGTATACGTATAATAGTTTAACTTTTATTGTAAAAGCTTTTATGTATACAAAATACATCCTCTATACGTTTGTATGTTACATAGTAGACACGATAAATGTTCTTTACAATGTTATAAACTAGCTAATATTCTTGCGCTATGTTATATTTATATGATATCATCTATTCGTACATTTTACACTGCGTAAAGTACAGTAGTATGCCAAATGAATTCGCAGATGGTTGTTATCTATTAATCGCTTGCGGTGATATACTCGCATAGTATACTACTGGAGATTAGAGATACATTACATAATAATCAATACATGATATATGCAGTACATCGCAGGAAAGGTGTTGTCAATCGCGATCAAATGGTAGTGAGTGATAGTACTAATAGTAAGAGGAAGTTCTCAACTGTAAATGGTTTTATTTTACGCGTTAGTCGATGTACATGCACTGTACTTACTAAATACTATACATTGAAAAAATTAACCATTGGTTGGTTATAGGCCGTATTAAACCATGAAAAGTAAAACAATGTATCCACATTTCTCAGCTCCTCCTATAAACTTAATTTATCATCCTTGATTAATTGTCTATTAGCAAAATATTTCGTAGGTAATTATATGAAGATGAGTTTAGCTGATTTTACCTTCTATGGATTGTTCATAAAGTATTGAGGTGGCTTTAAAAAAATAGTAGTGCCCCGCCTATAGATTTGATTACTTATAAAATTTTAAACTTCCTGTTCGGTCTTTTAAAACAAGAGTGATAGGAATTGAATCATTCAGTACGTATTTGCCTTTTGAAAATTATTGTCGGCTATAATATTGTCATTTAACTGTCTAACTAAGTCATATAAACTTGAAAGATTGTATGACGAAGAACTAACAAAGTAACTTCAGTTTTGGGTTATACTTTATTATGTACTATCTACGGTATTTTTGCATATTATTTACATATAAATAAGACTACATTTTCTAGGGTTTACGGTAAGAAATTAACAATTTATGTCTAGTATTAAATGTATAAGTATTTTCATATCATCTTAGGTGATTACAGAATATCAAAACAAAGGCAGAGCGCAAGATTGCATCCAGTATGTATTAAAAATATTGCAATATGAAGGTTCAAGCTGTCTTGATAATGCAATTCGGTATTATTGTTTTATACAAATCGTAATTCATAATGAAAGAAGCAGTAATATGTTACTATGAATTTTTAGTAGCCAAAATTTTATGAGTGCACCCTTCATATTTGATTTCTCCTATACGGATATATGTTAAATAAGGAAAATGTTACTTCAGCTATGTATTGAAATTCCTGTTACAATTACTTGAGACGAGTTAAATTCGTAACCAGGTATATATGATACGTTCTAAATACAATTTTAACTACAGTAATTATAATTGGCTAACTTACTAAGGCAATAGAGATATTCAAAGACTTTGATATAGTAACTACCTTTGTTTGCAGTCAAACTTGGACTTTCTTAGTTGCGAGGGAAATTAACCTCACTAAGACAGCTCTATCATACGCGCTATCGCATCCTGGTTATCATTTGCATGCACATCTATCCAATAGTACCTGCAGTGTATTGTTAGTGTACCAATTAGTCAAGAACATTCTGCAATATCTTTTAATTCAGTATTGCTAAATAGTAGGGACTATGAGATTAAGAACCTTCATCAAAAAAAGTGCAAATTTTACCAATTATGTAACCTTTCGATCATTTATGCCGTACATTTTGCAATGTACTGTTGCACATCGTTAAAGTTTTACGTAAAATTGGGCATTCGTTATTTGCTGTCAATGCAATCAGTCATGGGCTACTAAGAAAAGGATTTTTTATAGTAGTCCATGCATTAGTATGCAATACGTGCTTTACGTTTGAGATGAAAACTTCCGCTACAATTGTTTTTTTTACGGCTTGTTACCATAATTACTGTAGCTTCCAGCAAAGTTTTGTACTTGGTATTAATGGATGGTAGGTTAGTGTACAAGTACTATTTAGAATTATGAATTCATAGCTGGGATCGTTTCATTTCTTGCGAGATTCGATTTTACTTTTAGTTCAGTTAGAGTACAATAATCCCTATCAGGCGCTTTGGATAGTGTTCGCATTGATACGGCGAACATTCCAATTTACTTACACAATACGCGATGCTATACCGTATTATTTATAGAAGGTTTTTATTTATTACCGCTATTCTTGCATCTTAGCTTACATATAAGGCGTTTCATTTGCAGATATCAACGAATATTACATCGAAACCTTCTATATTTAACTTCGATTGCAGATTCAAATTTGCAGAATCATTTAATGGTAAGTTAATTACTGTATGTCTATGTAATTTAAGTACGGTCATCGTGACATATTGGTGCCTTTTGTGTACGTACTGTATGTTAGCACACTTTAAGATGGTCTACAATAGTATATAGAAACGCAGCATATTTATTTCGATTAGACTATGACAACAGTTATGCATTATATTTTTGTAATCAGTAATGCTTCATTGCATATTATAATACATTAGTTGAGTAGCAGTTCGATATTAATATACAGAGCCTAATATTTTTGGTCATACTGATTATAGTTTTTATGACATTTATTTTCACTCACTGTAATACACAAATTAAATAGTTTTGAGGGCTTTCATCTAATTGTCTTAAGTGCATAGGCTTACGCTTAATATTATACCGTATTAGCTGCAATACGTGTATCGTACAGGGACCACTAAGCCCTGGTATACTGTATAGTAGATTAGGTTAAATTAAGACAAGTTACTTCTATAAGGTATTACATTTGTTAACCTCTATCCATTAATTACACTGAACATCACTATAGATTTTATACTTTAGTGTTGTTACTTTTCTTCGATATCTTTTATTTTATTCAATTTGATTTTTTATGCTGAAACTATAAACTTTACACTTTTTGAATTTCATCCATCACTACTGTTAATTTATTGTCAAACAATCTTAGACTAACTCTTCTTGTTTCGTCTTGGTTGCGATAATTAATCTTGCAGTAAATTGCTTAAATTCCCTTATTGTAATCGCTTACCCAGTGTAGTTAAGAGAAACTTATCAGGAAACTATAACCCTTGTAGGAACTTATCAAAAAAGTACAGTTATGGACCATTATGATTATAAAATAGACTGTTATTAAGTGTAGGTAGTACAGCATAATATTTTCAGAGATCGAGATAGATTAAGGACGAGTATAATAATACTATGTAATGGATTAGAAAGTAAATATTTGAAAATTTCAGTGATTTTGATTATCCTCTCGATCAAATTAGGTCTTCCGTTTATGGTATAATTTAGGGTAACTAATGTTCGATGTAACTGAGTAACAGTAGTGTGACTGAATTTACTGAAATGGAAGTTTTTCAAAATTATAGAAATCATATAGTTTTGTTTCATCTATCTATTTTAGCAACCTCATCAAGTGACTAACACGAATAAAGATAGAATTAATGAAACGAATCGATCGGTTCGGCCAATTTCTTGTTTTACTACCTCAAACGATCAGGAAAATCCTATGGCAAAAGTAAATCAAGGTGCAATATATAGACAGAGTTATCCAGTTGTTAATGCTGCCCAACGTAACAATAACCCAGTACAACAACAAGCTATTCGCAATATTAGTTCAGCACCACGACTAAACAATCAACCAGGTATTACTCAAGCGCAAAGTCAAGTGCCGGTGTTTAAATATCCTGCTGGGAATGTTTCTCAACAAAATATGTGCGGCACTAGTGGTGGCCATTTAGGTAGTCAGCGAAGTCCTTCATCCGCAGTTTCGATAGTACCGGTGTACAAGCAGAACAGTCTCTCTACGGATGCTTCCAATAACAATGTATTTGGTGCTGGCAACGAAGTATCAATGCTGAATAATCGTGAAAATTCCGCACCACCTTTAACTCAAACACAGATGTACGAGCAAACTTTTCCTAACTCAAATACCTCTCAACAAAGTCGATCTAGTAATATTACTAATAAGATTTCAACACAAAATGTTGATTTTCAGCAGTTTCAATTTGGAGCCGAGTAATTTAAATAATTGTATCGGTTATGTAATCATGGTAATTGCATTTGTGAATAGTAATACTGCCATAAGTTTGGATTCGTATATATTGTTATATTTACTGTAATTAAGGTGATATGAAATCCAATTAATCTTGTAAATACTGTAAAGAAATTACTTTATTCGTTTGTCCGTTATTAACAAATAAAAACTGATGTAATAACATCTGGAAGTTGTATGTTCCTGATCTTTCGACATTGTTTGGTTTTTACTTTATACAATGGTAGATTGCGGGAATATTTCCGACATCTACCGAACACACGAGTAAATTTAGGATCTTTACAGTAAAAATTAACATGAAATTAGCGTACGTTTTGAACCATAACAGATGTAGCAAATCTAAAGTTGATTCTTCGTTAGAAAAATCCTAAAAAAGGCTGAAATGGATTACAGTAACCGCGATAATATATTCAAATTCGCAAGCGCCTTTACTTCTAGCATGCCATCGAAGAACCTATATCGCATGGCTCTTGGGGTATTTTTGATACCCATTGCAAATACTGTATACTCTGTACAGAATGTGACAATACTATTCATAAAGTAACAATTTTAGATGTTGTACTATGTATAAACATACATATATGTGTGTATATATATATATGTATATATGTATAAGACAGCTATTGATCGATGATAAACAGATATCATTCATAGCTTCACATATTCACTGTATAGATTCCAATAACTTGTTTAAATTTAGATATAAGACAACTATGAAAAGATGAAGAATTTACCGACAACAAAAAAAATGATCATACAAGTTGTAGAAAGAGCATAAATGTTATAATAAATTTAACATTATTAAATATTATCTCATCGACTTGTATCACATAGCAAGCGAGGTTACAAAAACTTTACTCCTAAAAGTTACATCAATAAAGCTACATCACGCAGATAATCTAAATAGACTATACATAATTAGGTTAGTTAGTGCTGTTCTTTGCTCCATGACTCGATTAAAGCGATTTTGTAATCCAAGTACGCCTAATTACGCAACGCGCAGTTATACAGTAGTTATCGTTGGGACGTTTACAATTGAAAGAGTTATTGTAGAGCCTGATCTAGACTTGACACCATCTTTCGCTGCAAGTGTCTCAAATACGTATGTTCGGCGTTAAAATGACCTTACTGAGAGGAAATATCCAAAAGGTTTAGGATTCTTTGTCATTTTTCTTATTAGTTGTCTATTAATGCAATAGGTTTTGGATGTAAAAATTAGATTTAACAAAATCGTTTAACTTGTAAATTATCCAATAGTATCTATTTCAGCGTACATCTCTAAGAGAAAAATATTTCGTTTTTGGGTAAAGAGAAGTTTTGGAGTAGAATCAGTATACTCACATTTTTGGGATTACTGTTAGAGTTATAATTATTATCGTTAGAACGTTTGTACTGATATCTTCCTCTGTTGTTATAGTTGTTGCCACGACCACGAACATATCCACCTCGGCCTCGGCCTCGTCCTCTTCCTCTTCCTCTATTATATCTTCCGGAATTTACGCTACCGACGCCGAAAGTTTCCATATTTACACTCTTATTGGAATTTTTCCTAAAGGGGAAAGAAAACATTATTGATTCTTAACGGATTATAGCAATGTAGGTAGACAATTGTATTGAAGCAAAATGTAACCATGATGGCTTCTTGGTATTTGCTTCGCATGATATGCTATCGAAAAATGACGTGGATTTATTATAAAATTTTTGATTATTTGCTGAACTTGTGCTGACTGTGCTCTCATTTCCGTCTGTGATGTTCAATTCTTCGTTCATTTTTTCGCTTAACTCTTGCTCTAAGCGTTCTTTTTCAAAACGCGCGTTAGCTTTTTCAAAGTCAAAGTCTTCATCAAATTTTAGCGGTTTATTGTTGGAAGGACCTTGTCGTGATCGATTGTAATTATTATGATAGTTGCTTCTAGCTCTCCGACCTTTCAATAATAAATAAATAATAAGGTTCTATATCGACCACGATAAAGAGTAAGGTTAGGTGCGTTTGCAAATCGATAAGGTAGAACTGATAAAATTTGTTCTGTAAGTTATAGCCGCATTTGTTGTGACATGAACTACTATCATGGATTACTAAGATGATATATCTAGTAGTCAATGACTAGTGATAATAACACTATAGTTATCACTACTTGTCCATCTTACCGGAAAATTGCCTTCGATTATAATTTTGATGTTGATATGTCCTGGCAGTTTTACTGTCTTTGTTGGAATCTTCACGTTTTTCTTCTTCCTCTGTAGTTTTTTCCTCTTCTGGTTGTTTTAATTCATTTTCTTTCTCATTCTGTGGTGTTTCCGGTTGCTTCGATTCTTCGTTGATTTTAGATGATTTATTATTGGAAACGGTGTCTACGGCCTTATTATCCGTAGTTGATTCTTGGGGGGAAGTGCTGGCAATTACATTTGGTGTCTTGAGTGTCGTTTTGCTAGCAGAAGGCGAATTAGTATTAGTCGATGAGGTTATTGCAGCCGGGGTGACCATTGCTGTTGATGGCATACTAATAATAGGATTAAAGGTAGGCTGTGTTGTAGCAGGGATATTCCTACTTGGTCCGGGCATGTATCCTGGTGCTTGCATCATCGATGAACTACCAGAGTACATTCCAAATGAGTTATAGTTAACTGCAGCAGTAGAAGGCATCATCGGTGGAGGAGCAAGCGGTCGTGGATCCATATTCATGTTCATCATTTTCGACGACTGACGATAGGATAGATTGAAATTACGTCAAAGTAAGAAATGCGTATGATACAATAGTTGAAACGGTTGATTAAATTATTCATTTTTATTACTGTAACAGTCAATAAGATATTCACCGATACAATAGCAGGATCGCTATAAGGTGCAGTTACTTCTGCAGCGGTACTACGTGGAGGCTCACAAACTTGCAAATCTTCAATTTCAGCGCCATTGAATATAACGTAAGGATAAACTTGACTTTGTGGTGGAATAGGGCGATTACGGTCCCTATTTTCGGTACCAAATGACTTGACTGAATTTGTTTGTTAAAAGTATAAGAGTCAGTATAAAGTATCGTGGTGATACTCAAGTTTGTACTATAAGAGCTACATCTAGACGATGAAGTTGAAGTTAGGGCAAAGTAATAGTGTAACAGTAAAATAGCTTAGTTTGACAATTTGCATTTTGTATAAAAAAGATTGCTATTGGATTAGTAATGATAACATTTACAACATTTAGAGTACAATTGAAGCAATGATACTGTATTCTTCTTCAAGCTAATCCATGTCATTTTTTGGAGCAAAATTGGAGCAATAGGGACAATAACCAATTTACGTACAGTACAATACAATCCATCGTTCAAGTTGAACTAACCGTCGGATAAATGAACGGTAGATTCATTGGTGTCAATGGCAGATAAAGTGCCTTCATAACGAATTTGTGCCTTGGAAATGAGGCTAATTTTACTACCGATGTAGGGAGTGGTATCGCTTGAACTCATAGCCGATCGTGGACGCGATTAAGCGCAAGGATGGATCCGATTAAAAGACGCTGCAATAATTGATGCCACTGACTTCAAAGTGTAGCTTTCACCGATCGAAAATGATCTTTCAACTGGATGTTGCTGTACAGTACAACGAGTTTACCGTTCACCGTACAGTATACTGTAGTACTGTACAGTACGTAGATCATTCCACTGGTAAATTGTCCAGTACCGTACAGTGGAGACAAGAAAAAAAAAAAAAATTTTTGTACAGTACAGAGTACAGTACTGTATTGTACTGTACACTGTACTGTACTGTACACACGGTACAAAAATAGTACTGTGCAGTACAGTACACAGTACATACTATAGAGTACTGTACGGTACTGTCTGTACTGTACTACTGTACAGTGTACTGTAGAGTACAGTACTCTGTCCCTGGGGACACTACAGTACAGTACTGTACACTGTACAGTACAGTATGTAAAAACTTTTGAATACTGTATACAGTGTAGTATCAATTACCAATTACTGTACTGTACTGCGTAGTTAATAACCAATCAATCATGGACAAATTGGACAGTCTGGTTTCTTTTTTTGGATTGCAAGTCCCTAACATAGAAAAACCGAAAAAAAATGAGTTTGGCCATTTGAATTGACACGAATCCGTGGTTAAAATGTACTGTACTTACAGTCTACTTTCTTCCTAGTTATTCATTGAAGTACAGTACAGTCTATTCAATTTAAAGTGTCACCCTAGTCCGGTTTGCACTGGAGTACTGAGTGGGCAGCTACAGTACCAATAGATAGAAAATTGGGGTGACATTTCAAATTGTACTGTAAAGATTGTACTGTACTGTACGCAATCTACTACCGTACAAAGTACTGTAACTCGCAGACCTACTGCACTGTACTGTACTGTACTGTACTGTACAGTACTACAGTACAGTATAGTTTTTCACCCCCACTTTCGCGGGGTGACATTTCAAATTGTACTGTAAAGATTGTACTGTACTGTACGCAACCTACAGTACTATAATCAAAGTACTGTAACTCGCAGACCTACTGTACTGTACTGTACTACAGTTTTTCACCCCCACTTTCGCAGGGTCGTGTCGAAAAAGTTTCTTGCTAACGTCGTGCGTGGCATCGCAATCAACTCGATCTCGTTTAACAGATAGTAGTGAACTGCGCTATTCATTTCAGTGTACATTGCTCCTGTGTAGTACTGCCAATATCAGCGAATAAAAGTAAGAAGAAATGAGTTACGAAAGTATTGGTAAATCCTTCGTCCAACAATATTATAACGCCTTCGATGTGAACCGGGCTAATCTACAAATGCTCTACGTAAGTTGCTATCAATCAAATTGGGAGAGTACTGTCAACACTAAGTACAGTTATTCAAGCATAACTCATCAATGAGGATGACAGGGTAGTGTTACTGTATAGAGGCATCAACAGAAAGGATAAAATTGGCTACAGCCAGTGATGATATGCTATATACCATGATCAACTTTGGCATTAAAGTCGTTGTCGTTTTGCTAGTGAGCTTACTGTATGTCAATTTTACAAGTTCGCTTATCTTTATCACGTTAAATAGAATTGGAGAGTTCTTGTCTATACAGTTTAGCTGTAGACTCTGAACGCTGACCATTTTAACTGCGTATATATAACGTTAACTACTTTTGACTGTCAACTAGTCTGTAGTGATACTAAAGTAATGCTAGAGCAAGCTTATACCTATTTAAAGTAAAAAAAAATACAGTATCATTTCACTGACGTAATGGGTGATAAACGTTGACACTTATTACAAAGAGGCACCAAAGCAAATGAAGGTCGTTTAATAAATTGTAACGCATATATTACGTACTATACTGTATTTGGAAAGCTGATAATTTATTTAGTATTTGCAATATAGATATGAAGGTAGTATTGATGCTGAATTTAGGTGTACATGACTTGGTGAATATATTAGAATCAGTTAGTAATTGCATAATATAGTTAACGACCATGTTGCAATGATCATAATGCGATATACCAAACGAATAATCTCCTTCAACATTCTAATGGCCAAAAGTCATAGAATAGTTTGCATATTGATATGTTGCAAAAGGTGAAATTATGCTTTTTCTACACAACAGTTTTTAAAATGTCAGATAGCTTACATATCGTTTTACGAAACTTATAATACTCGCGTAGATGGCTTCGCCAAGGAGAGACAAGGACTATAAACGTCATTCCCCTTCCCCTATTCAAAGATTATCATTTTATAAGTAACTCTTGTTAATTATATTTATTTTTGGAATTTAGAGAGATCAATCGATGCTAACATTTGAAGGTACACCATGCCAAGGTCCTGATAGTATTGTAAAAAAATTAATGGTACGTAAATTAAATAAAGAATTCAATACATAACGCTTTTGCAGTAGTTGACCGGCAGCTTACATTCGCTAATATTTTATATCTACTGTTCTCACATTTTGGTTGTATTCCATCAGAAAATTCTACTTGTATATTTGAGACTGTATATCGATTGTAGTTATGCATGTTGATGGTATCAAATCTATGTTAGTACACTGGAATAGAGATGTCTATATATATGTATCGGCTTGCTAGGAAATGATGGATGTCAATTTTAGTCTAATGATATGCGTACGAGGTGTTTTTGATCTTACATTAGAGTAGGTTTTATTATAAATTCCTGCTCAACTATTAAAACAAATAGCAAGCTTTTACCCTGCTTCATGAAGCTGGTATTTAATCAAATTGTGTTACTATACTTGGTTATGCAACTATAGCACTGTACGTTAACGGTAAAATAAGGTACATTTTCCAACGTAAGAATTGTCCTGTACAGATTGATTGTGTGTAAGAGTAGCAGATATAGGTTAAAGTTACAAAACTTTATTTATTAAGAGGACTATGATGTCCATACAAGGAGTAGTATAACGATAGCTGAACACTAACAATGTAAATAATTCAAAAATTCTTGTAGATAGATTGTATTTGCTACCTTACATTTATAGATTAATACAGAGTAGAAAGCAAGGTCTCATTAATAGAGTATAAAGTACACACTAGCAGCGAGTAAAGTTGACTCATTTAAATGCGGTATCCCCTTGTTATTGATTAGCGTATCAAATCAGTAGAGATGATAATTTGATATTAACTTGACAATGCCATTCTTTTGATGACTCATGAAGAGTCCTAACGTATTTCATAGTTTTTACGTGGCGAAAGCTAAACTGATTGTTTGCAAGCTAGTAATTCTGTTAAATTTTTATGTTTCATTCTTACAGGAGCTAACTTTTAAGACTATTAAACATATAATTACTACAACTGATGTTCAGCCAACTGAAGGTGGAGTTCTTGTTTTTGTCATCGGACAGCTAAAGGTAAATAAATTTATTCATCAGATTGTATGTACTAGCCCTTTGCGTTGATATAGTTATACGTAATCTGATTGTGTATCTTCTTTAGTGTAGTGTAGGGTTTGTATTAAAGAAAAATTCAGTATTTTACTAGCTTTAGGCTATAATTAGCTGTTCTACCTGCAATACATGATAAATGAGCAAAAATAATTACAGTTTTAGCATGATCTTTTGGCTACCCAATTGATAAATTACTAGATATACGCGTATGGTATTGATTCGTAAATTAACAGTTATTGTTGCTTCTCAGAATTATACAGTATATTAACTTTGGATAGTTTCTGTCTGATAATTGGACGATAAAGATACATAGTAACCGCATTTTATTCATCGCTACACCTTATTAAATGCGCTGCAAGTTGGATTATTAAAATGGAGTTTTTTTTAGATTGTAAAGAGTTATTATTGAATCGTTGCAGTACTTTACTGCATGTAAAAGGTACTAAAAGTGACTATTGTAATGATTTATGCATCTTTTAACTTCTAGACTGACGATGATCCGCCAATGACATTCTCAGAAATATTTCATTTAAGGCAAGCTGATCCGAGTACATACTTTATTTTTAATCAAATTTTTAGATTGTCTCTCCACCATAATTAAATTTTCAATCATTTGATTACGTCTAAGTGCGACCAGTAGGATCTTATATACACGATGTAGCATCTTTGTATCGATCTCGTGGATAAAACAAATATATTTATAGATGATCCTGTAATACTCTTTTTTCTACTGGTTAGCGTGATTGTAATTTACTGGTGTGATGTTGCCTTATCATACTATCATTAATGATACGATCTATAGTGTTAAATGTTACGGCATTAAGGTAAAGGTTTACTTTATTCCATCAGTTAACTATATTGGATGATAGGATGTGATGTTATATCCAAAATAATGGACTAGCTGTTTTAAATTAGTGTTTTGTAAGCGTGATAAGTTTTCGTCCGTTAAAGGTTGCACAACAAAAAGTATTAAATCAATCAGAATTAAGCGACGATTTTCGATTATCAATTGGACACTTATTGTGTTTATTTATGAGTTTTGCTTACAAGCAAGATACTTTAGAGGAAAGTAACAAATTTTGAATAGATATGATGATCAAAAAGTGACAATGACTAACAATATGAAAGTTAAGAACAATACGAAAGAATTTAACAACAACGGTGAACGCTGTACTAAGGAGTATATAGATAATACCGAAACGGAAATCGATACAATTTAGCTAAGTTTTCGTAGCATAATTCTTACAAAGGTGTAATATTCACAATTGGCAACCAAAATAATTTTAAAGCCAACTTATACACCTTATTTCTTCTTCTGTTTTCTCTTCTTTTCTGCCTCTTCCTTTTCCTTGTCTATTTCGGCGACGATTATGTCCAACTGTTCACGTTCTAGCAACTATTAGTAGACAGTTTTACAGTAGCTATGATTAGACAATTCGTTACAACCTTTAAAATATATCAATTGCTTATTTTGGGAATAACCTTCAGTCCATCGCCAAATTTCATAATAGCAACCTCAATATTTTTCCCTCCTGATTGCACAACCTAGAGATAATTTAGTTAAGGAGCATGTGGTACCAAATACGATTATCGTACTAAAAGTCAATGGATTAATGATGCATTAATGAGATACCTCTAACAGAGCACGAACGGTTAGTCGAATTGTAGATTGATCGGATTCGATTGCTTCACTGTTATAATTTTTCTCTAAAAATTCCCGCACAGTTTTTGCACTTCTACCTATCACATTAGCCTGAAGAATAAAAATAAGATCATGGATATGATGTAATGTAAATGTCGAGATGCAACTTTATTTAATTTTTGGTATGAGTGATATGATAGATATGAGGTTGCGATAATAATAACCTTCCATTCATGATAAGTTCCAGAAGGATCTGTTTGGTATAGATGAGGTGTACGATCGTAATCAAAACCAGCAATTAGTGTTGAAATTCCAAATGGCCTTCTCCCGTTGCTCTGCGTATACCGCTGAAAGGAAACAAAATGAAATTTATTAAGAACTTGAGTATACTGCTGTAACATAAATTGCAAATCCTAAAGAACTAATATTTTACAAGGAAGCCTGTCTACAAACTTTACAAAGAGATAATACGAAGATATTCCGTATTTAGAGTTGACAGTACCTGCTTTAATCCAGCGATATACCGTGTGATGTATTCCAAAGTAACAGGATCTTCTACCGTTAATTTGTGACTTTGACACTCAATGCGAGCCCGATTAACCAAAATACGAGCATCAGCGTTCAATCCTATAATTTATGAGAAGTAATTGCATTCACTTTATTCAGTACAGTGTACATTATATTTTCAGTTTTCATCTTAAGTTAGGCACAAAAAATTAGATCGCAGAAACAATACATTATGATAAATTTTCATAAGAGCAAATTTCAGAATCAAAAAATAGAGTTTATAAATCCGCATTGCTGTCTTATAAAGGTTACAGCATGCCTTTATTATTTGTGCGTATCAATCAGCAAGCAGATCTATACCTGGTTAAGTACTGTTGTGATCGTATTACTACAGTAGTATGTATCAATTTACAACAATCTTATAACCTTATATATACGAGTATTACTTTCATCGCACTTTATAAAATAAATTGAGGTCTTATTCATGTCTTCATGCTATACCTGCAAATGCCATAAATACATGATCATCTAGAGAACAAATTTTTCGCATGGTCCTCGAATCCTGTAGCTTAGCAACAGATTTCTTTTCGATTCCTAATACTACGATATCTTTACCACGAACTCCAACCTAGTAAGAATATGAGAATCCCCCAAAAAGTTGTCATTTACAATGGCTAATGAGTGCCCATAAGCTTGGTCCTTCAGAAACGTCGTAAGCAGTAAAACATTTTTACTTTAGCCAAGAATATCTAAGAAAGCTATGTTGTATTGGTACTTTTTCTTTTGCAAATTGCCCGATGGCTATGCTCGTGTACAACACAACTACGCGATTTCTGAGATGTACTAAAGACACTATAACATCTACCGTAATAGCCTTAGTCATCAGGAATAACATTACTTTATCTTTATGAGTGCATGACAATATCAACATGTTTCATTCTCTGCAGAAATAACATAAAATTAATTGGCAAGTTGTTGAATTAATGAACCACCGTATTCTACCGTACCAATGTAAGTAAAGTACTGTATCATCTTTATCAATGATAAGGTCTAGCAATCTTAGTAGCAAGCATCATAGATCATAAATAAGATTGGATTCTTTACCGCTGTCGATCCTCTATTAACAGCTTCTTGAGCATATTCTACTTGGAAAAGATGTCCATCAGGAGAAAAAACAGTAATCGCGCGGTCATAACTACTGGAAGCCATGGCGAATGCAACCAAAGAAGATCAAGTTCCGTTTCAGCCACTCGCACCACTGAAGTACTCTTACTCTGTGTCATCATGAGTCATGCGTTACAGGACTTACAGTACGCTGAGTACAGTCCAGCCCGAAAGGTGAACGACGAAAGGAGTCGCACTGTACCGTACACTAGCTATAGCACTATACCACACTATGCAATTTGAAGTTGAAGCTCCTTTTCGCTTAACGAAATAAGCCTTTGTCCTGAGCATGATACGGTACAGTACGTACAGTACAGTGGACTGTAAAATACAGTACGGTGGACTGTAAAGTACAGTACGGTACACTGTACACTGTAAAGTACACAAAATCTCATACTAGGTCAAAAAAGACCTCCATGTTCTATACAGATTTATGGTACAGACACTGCTATTAGTGTAGTACGTACATACTGTATAGACAAACTGCAAAGGGAAGAGAAGTCGTCTCCACTGCAGACTATTTTTAGCTTGGGTTCGTTTACGCCACTGGTGCAGACTCTCGAACCTCTCAAAAACTTTGAAATTAAAGATAGTATGGATATCATACGCCATTTTTTGAAAAAATCTTCCGCATGATATACTATCTTCTGTAAACAGAGAGCCTAGTATAGTTATAATTCATTATTATAAAGTTTTCCAAAATCAGATTAATATCCAATTAACGTTTCTGCTAGTGCAGAAAGAAAGGAAAAAAATGAATGAATAACTTAGCTGCTAATGCAATACAGTGTTAGCAGAATCGCATAATTTTGGATTCTTTTCTGAAACTTTCATCAAATACTGCGTATCATAGATCATAAGTTGCTTACAATTCTCATCTAGATGAAAAATGAGTTATTATACGATTCTAATCTACAGCGATAGTATTACGCTACGAGTGTTCAACATTTTTATTTGTTTTACTACTACAGACAACAGTCATTACATTGTGACCGCGCTAGCACAGTTAACACTTACTCGTATATCAAATTTCATACTTCAATTCTATTTCATCCTTCAAATGACAATCAATCAAATGCTGCTTACACGTATATAAATAAAGCTGATCAAAAAATGACGTTTTGCTATCATCCATAAATTGTGACTGAGAATAGACATTATCTGGACTCCGCTCTATCGGAAAGGTCATTAGTTTTCTGAATTGCATGTTAAAAATGTTATATCATTAAAATAACTTCCTGCGGTATTTAATTTAAGACATAAACTTTCGTTTCGTAGTCTTTTTTGATTTTTTTCTTTTTTTGATAGAAGTAATCGCTTCTAAGATAGGTTGCATGTCTTTCTTTACTTCCGAGTTATCACCTTGTTGTTCTTCTGACACCTGCGTTTTTAATTTCTTCGATTGTATGTTACCCTTATTGTCCATATTTGCTTTGCCAAATACTTCATCTATACAATCAGTGGTAGTTTTGGAACTTGTAGCGGTATTCTGGAAAAGGAATACATACCATTACGCGTGTAATACAAACAAACATGGTGTACTTAAAAAGTAGATATTTAGATTGATGCTAGTCGTTCAATACGTATACTTTAGGGTTGACATACCTTTTCTGCATTATCAGCTTCTTCCAAATTTTGTGGCTTAAATCCTAATAATGATAGTTCCTTACCAAAATAATTTGATCCCTTCTTAGAGTCAGATAAGTTAGAGCTTTTGGCTAAAGCTCTCTTAGCTTGTTTAGTATTATCGTTAACTTCATCTAATATACTGGAGAGAGTTTGTCGCTTTCTATCTTTAGCTTGTTCCTTTGATGACCACATTTCGATTTTTTTTTTAAAATATTGCAAATTACATTTATGAAATATAATCTTTCCGTAAAAATTAGATCGCAAATTAGATCCTTGTTCAACTAATTCTTTTGCAATTTCTTCCTTCAAAGTCATTTCTGCAGCACGCCAGCAGCATTCCAGTGACCGACTTCCATACTTATTGCAAGCTAAATGGCAATAAGATCCCTATAGCGAATTCATCAAATAGAAATAATCGTAGTTTTTCAGTTAATGACATCTATTGATCGTATCTTCATCTTCATATTTGGTAAGTTACCTTGTAAAGATCGATCAATTTCTTTTTTTTCTTATAAGAAATGGTTGAACTTTCAAAAAAAGCTTCAATAATATGATTGCCAGTTATATCGCATGCAATGAAAAGTAATTCCTCACGTTTTAATAGAAACCAACTCTTTAATAGGTCGGAATTGCTGTTAAACTTAAATAACGATTGTAGAATCAAAGCTCCAAAATGATTAATTTCCGTTAGAGTCTTATTTTCTGTATCACCATCGGTCTAGAAAAGGAGTAAATAAAATATGTTTATTGAAATAAAATAACGGAAACGAGATATATACGTATTAATTTGTCAATTTTGTGGCAATTACGAACACTACTGAAAGCAGTATAAGGAATACACTAACTATTGTTTATATATTATATTACTACATTAAAATATCGTTTAACTCATCTTGCGTAATCACCAGTTACACTATGATTATTTCTTATTTGGTATGATACCTACATTTTCAACGTTAAAATATACTTCGTATGTGCTTAATGTGATAATCAATAGGACACATTTGTTGTAGTAGTCTTGATCTTCTGTTACATGAAATGCTGTAACAAGCGACTTCCATAATTTCTTTTGATACTTAGGATACCGAACACCAGTCTGGAGCATACTAACAATAATACCACAGTGGCCAACAGCAAAGATATCTTCGAAATAATCTGAGAGCTCGCTCATGGCACTTTCTATCTAAAAATTAAATAACAAAATCTGCGGTAAGATCAGCATCTGATACAATGTATTAATAGGAGGACACTACGATATCTGTATCAAGGATATAATTTTAATTATAACTGCCGTCATAAATAGTATATAAGGCAAAAGTACGTCGTAATTAATGCAATAATTACTAAATTATTGTATCAGTATAACGCTTCATAATTTCATTTTATCGGTAATTAGCCATACTTGAGTTTCGAATTGGCTATGAGATATAAAATTTTGTACGGAGTGATTAGCAATTGGATGAAGGGACATCGTCAATAGAGAATTCTTAAGATATTTGGAATAGACGTGATCCAGAGTGTTAGCAGATGCAACTTGCAGGATCTTGTCGAAAAGGTGACTAACAACAGGATGGCTGAAGCAAGGTAAAATACTAGAGCTGAAATAAAAAATTCAGGTAACGGTTAGAACTTTTATAGATTGTACGTGCCCATCAACAGTGTAATATACGCATATGGAAAGGAGATGCACATGATGGTTTCGCTAGCATATGAGAGTACGTATTATGCCAGCGGCTTAATTGATAGATCAGAAAGATTCAGTAAGCCGTTTAAAGTACAATTTAAAGAGTAAGAATAATCACCTGCTATCATGATGTCGAAGGTTAAAAGAATCAATTTCACCTATAATTTTTAGAATTAAATCCCTACATGATGGTGTATTGCCTTTAGCGAGAGCTGTGAGGAGGACCTCTAGTACTGAACAACTCATAGTGTTTGTTATGATGTGGTTAAAGTTGCATTTTGAAGTAATTTCTGTTGTTAATTCCATCAATCTATTGTTCAATGGTTTTCTAATAGCAATGTTCAATTCTTTCTGTAAGTAATAATCAATTGAATTGGCCTCTTTATGTCTTAATTTTACAGGTTGTGATGGTTTATCCAAGTTATTATCAGTAGTACGTAAGCCACTTATAAGTACCAAGATTTGTCTTAAGATATGAGAAGCATAAGTATCAAATATCAAAGTAGTTATTTCTTGCTGAACTATTTGGCAAGTTTGACAAATCAATTCCATATACATAGTCAGAATTTTCTCTTTTAAATTGTTCTCTTGTAATAATTTTGTTATCTTGGCGATAACTGCTTGGATTACATGACTACCTGCACGATCTGTTGCTAACGACTTAAAAGATTCCTTCAATTTAGCATCAAATGCGCAAATTTGATTATGATTCATCATAGGTATTAATTGCTCTAAAATTAAGGATGTATTTTGATGCTTGCACAGCTCGATTGTCTTGTCCAGCACTTGCTCGAAAACATTTTGGACAAACATAGATTTATCTTCATCATTTTCAAAGGAGTCATCTTGGATAACTTCTTTTACTCTTTTAAAGTAACTTAAAGTATCACTATCTAGACGATGAGAATCTTGCTTACTCATTTTTATCATACGATGATAAACTGCTTTAGTTGCATGGATGTCATACCAATTTGAATTGATATATAAATCGTCTTGCAATAACCAACTGAGCGCTGTTTAATAATGTCGAAGTCGCAATCTCAGACCGTCACCATTCAATTAAGCTAGTAGTTCAACTTGAATATTCTTGATGCAAGTAAAGAGTTATAAATTCAATAATTCCCTAACCAGCTATTTGCTACGTACACAAGAATTTACCGTACTTAGGGCTTAATTAATGCATATAACTAACAGTAAATACAGCTCGACGAGATGCAATCACCGGTGCACATGGAGGAGGTGGACAACGCAGCAGAGAGATTTTGTAGCAGCGAAGAGCAGTCTACAGTACAGTACAGTACAGTATCCAGATACACATGGATACTGTACCTACGGTATGTATGCGCACAAACGTAAACCATCGACAGGTGTAACAGTACTGTTTAGAACAGTAAAGTGTTTGAAAAGCACCATCAGTACAGGTGGTACAGGTAGTGCTTTAATTAATTCATTAATAACAGTCAGGTCATTGCAAAAGCTGGTGGCCTGCAGCACCGCAATACTGCGCTCTGTCCTACTATTTCTTTTTTATTAATTAATGTACGCAACATAGCAATGAATCGTTGATCGTCGTAGTTGATTTACCTTATGTTATGTCTTGAAAGATTCGTCCTACTCAAGAGTAAGCTCATAAGAACTTTGGGTTTCAAAAATGTAGTATAGAAATTGATTTCTCGAAGTAACAATAATTATAGGATGCAACCGATAGTGCAAAATGTGGTGTAGAGAGAGACAAGCACGAAAAGCCAACTTGTTTTGTTAATTTCATGCGATTTGGCCATGTGCTTGAGTAAACTGCAAGTTATAGTATGAAATGAGGGGTCTTCCATGTACTGACGTTATTATAACTTTACTATTTAGTACGGCAGGAAGATACAATCATGAGGTAGTCGCTACAGTAATATAGGAAAGATTTAGCATTGAGCCAGAGAAGAATCTGATGTCCGTCATTAATAATATTTATTGAATAATATTTTTCATGAATTTCATGCGATTATAGCTTGTGCTAAAGTGAATTATTTTTATACAGTACTGTACATCATATGCATGTTTATGCATTACAGTGCTACAGTAAACTGCTCTTGATAGCCATGGCTTGTTTACTGGAAGCATAATAACAGATGATAAAGTATACTGTTACTGTTTTAAGACGGCATAGTAGAAACTAGATGAATGATAAGGCAGATGATTGAATAATAATATTGTTTCCATGGAAGACACTCGCAGCTCAGGTATACAAAATTAAGAATATGGATATTATTATTTTTTATTATCTGTTTTTGATGAGGTATAAATACAATATCATTAATTTCTCACATTGTACATACGGTAATATTGAAGCGCAAAGGCGCTCTCTATGTATATGTACACTTATACAGTACAAAATCATGTGATGTTTTGCATAATTGATAAAACAGTCAAAGCAGCTTAGGCAAGAACCACAAGTTAATTTGGCAAATACAAAAATTACTAATACAATGGATTGGTTTAAGGCATCACGGGTATAGATCAATCCTCTGATCTAGTAGATGAATGCCTATGCAATGTAAACAAATCGTTAAAAATTGAATTTATATCTGTAAGTATGTCGCTAGATTTTCAAAGCGATCAATCTTTAACGTATAGTATACGAGTATCGTGTTATCAATAGAATTTCAAATTATTATATATATATATAAATGCGTGGCATGAGCGCTTTGTCCTCGCGTTATTAATGTACAATTATGATCGTTAAGAGTAAAACAGAAAATAGCAAATTAAATCTTGTCTGATTGTGTATTAGGTCGAATCCTTAGTTTGGTCCTCACTGGCAGCTTAAAGGTAACAGCTCTAAATGCCGCTCGTGCTAAGTATTCATTGTTACAATCAAATTCAAACAACTTGTCGCCTGGTTTAACGATTTTGACATAGTGGTGTAGTTTGCCTTTGCCTTTACCCATTCTAGATCCTATACCTTTCTTAGTCACCGGTACAGTAGCTTCTGCAACCCAGAAATTGCGAACGTTGGTTAATCTTCTTATAGCCACTCTACCTGCTTCGAATGAAGCTTCTTTAATATAGCCTGACGAAGCTGAGTAGATACCATAGTCCATATTATCATCGAATTTCCACTTAATTTCACTTAATTTAGGTTGAGGAGGTTTAATTCTAACTTTCAGGTGTCTTATCCCAAATTGGAATGGCTGCAATAAACTATTGCGACCTACCTAGGATATTCACGAAAGCAACATGTTAACCAAATGTACGTACGTATGCAGCTAGAGTACAATGCAAATGAAAGAGTAATGTTAATAGAGTGTAGTATATACATTAAAATAGGAAGGGCATTTGTATTATGAGCAAATAACGATGGCTTGGAGCTGGTGTAATACTGCATTCAAACTTTCTTCATCAAGGTTCTATAGCACTCTTTAAACTATATATAATTTGCTATTACAGGTCGACAGATTGCAAAGCTGTATCGATCATTCTAATTCATGAATTCACTAATACGACGTGATGAAAGCTTAATACAAATCATTAAGAGATTGTAGCTTTACCGCTCCTATCTGACAGGTATCATAATCTTCTCTAGGAAAATAAATTGACTAACTGTAGGCGTACAGTCACTTAAAAGAATACCTTTGTAGAAATTAAAAAGCTACTGAGGAGGCTTGTTTGCAGGATGGACATCTTGAATTCGTTCGGGTGGACTGCTGACCGGGGGAAGCTTACGGTCTACAGTACGTCCAGTATGATACTGAACATTTATGATCTAGACTTTGTACTGTACACTGTACTGTATTACTTTTCCTGCAGACTATTGTACTATACTGTCCCATGCTATACCATCGACTTGAGTTCAATTCTATTCTAGGATTTGATTAGCTAGGTAGAAGAGAAATTTCGCCATCGCTAGGTCTTATACTATCTGATACTATGAGGCTATCATATGGCGTCCGATGTACTGTATGGGTATGCCGGTATCCATTCGCTTGACTGAGTTCGTCAGGGGACGTCGCACGTGTTAGGACAAATGAGCAAGCGCGAATTTTAAATCCATCATGGCTGACAATCAAGGAAGAAGGTTCTCTTGTGGCATTGATTTCTTTCACGTTCCCGATTTACGAGTAGCTGTTACATCGGCTACTGAAGCTGGGTAAATATAGTATTATTGCTGATAGGATGAGAATCATGACTATAAGCGGTTTACAGGCGGTTAAAATTTCCATTGAATCGTGGATAGGTTTGACTTTGTTTGCACACCCATTTCTCATCCACGTTGCAAACGTGAATTTATCGAAGGACCTGCTCGAAATCGCGGAGGACTTTTTGCTGTACCAGACGCTTTATTATCTGGCCAAGGTTAGCCATCAATGAACATTTTTTTGTATTACTTACCTATGAAATGCAATGCAAGTTATAGTATAGGCTCGGATAATTCCTTTGCCGAACCTACGTAAACAAATAGTAGATTCATTGAAACATTGTTGTATACGCGTATTACTGTACTGTATAGTAATGATTTACAGTACTAATAAGATTCCTGCAAAAATTTTCACCTCAATTTATTATCTATAAAGAATGGAGCTCCTCTATTGTGGGCAAGATTTCACCTTGGATTTTACCTGATTCTGTAGATGAAGCAACGCGCTATAATTCTGAAAAGGTAACCTACCGTATAAACTTGTACCTTTATTGACAGTTGATAGGCTGGATACAGCATATAAAGCACGAGCTATATTTTGCTAGATCAAACAATTTCCAAGAGCTCATTTCTGCTGCTGTACCCGGTTATACTACCTCTAGATATTTTCATACGTATGATGACTATGTTATGCAATTATTATTGCATATTATTTTCTTTAGGCCCTGAACCAGGAACTATCGTACGCAAGCCATCTCTCACTGCCAGCAATCACTGTCCAACTTAATGGCGGTTCTGTCGCCAGATTGGCTAGCATTTTAAACAGTTATTTGAATACGTCGTTGGGACATCAACAGGTAAGAAATCTTTCTCTGTAGGTGCTGTATACTCATTTTTTCAGTGCATTATAAATGATGTTTGTGCGAAAGATGATTGCACTTAAAGCAAATACAATTAGACAAAGGCTTGGGTGTTACTAATTTAGAAAATGTTCAATTTGGATTCCTATAATGACCGCATCATCGTAGTTATGTTGATCCAGGACTACTACAGTAAAAAGAAAAAGAGGGACAGGAAAGGTGGTCATTCAGTACACTAAAAATGAGGGCGGCGACTATTTTACTGATCATCTCAACTGAAACGATATGTTATATTCTCCCAAATTAGCTGCTTAATTGATCTTGTACAGTGTGATATACGGTTGGAGCGGCTGCGTAGAGTAGAATGATCAGAAAAGTGATAGCCCCCCTCATTATTTTGCACTGAATGGCCACTTGCCGTCCCTATATCTTTCTAGCAGTCCCTGTGTTGATCTTGCTTATTTAGATAAAATAATTTTGCGTATACTGGTAATAGCATTTGTATATTCGATTATTGAATTTGATTTACAAATCAGTTTATTTTCATTTTTCAATCAGGTTTGGATTCAAGTGCCATTATGTGCCACTAATAATGGAAATGATGCTGTAAGGGTATTGCATGTTGCATATATGAAAATCTCCTGTATTATAAAGTTTTCCTTGTTGTAGTATTTTATTGATATTATTCTTACCTACTGGGTTACTTTCACGTATATGATTACCTGTTAATTTTATATTTAGGATACCGCCCTTGAAGACCCCTGGGGATGGTAAGTAGCACTAAACGTAGCTATTAGACTATCCAAACTTAAATATATGAATATCTACAGTAAATGTTTAAGAGTTGATGATTGGATATTTTGCATACACCTTCAATTATACTATTTATTTATGAAGGTGGAATACCTTGAGATCTATGTGCAGTTTTCATAAGAGACTCGGGCTAGGTACAGTAAGTTAGGATACGTTAAAAGCAATAACGATAGTGAAAGTAGCTCCTTTTGTATTACGAAATTCTTATTAATATCTTAGTAATTGTGCTTCTATTTTGTAGTCGATCGAAAATCTTACACTGTTCACTATTTATAATAAAACTGTAGCTTATAACATTAGCACTGACAAGTACTAGGTTTACGGTGCTAGTATTGTAATGGCTATCAACTCCCTTAATCTTGTTGACTTATAATAGTGCTGGAAGTAACCCAGGCTTTACCGACAGATGTTGAAATCGATAGATGGTTTGGCGAGCCTATCAAGTGTTTATCGTTTCCTACTAGTATTTTTCGTACAAATAAAAAAGGTAAGCTTGATTATTATAGTTGAATATTCTACTGCTTTTGATACAAAATAAGATAGGTAATATCAAATTTATTAGTGATCTGTGAATAAAATTGCATTCATAAGTTGACACCTTAATCGTCATTACATAATTTTCTTTTTACAATAGCTGAAAGAATATTCATAGTACAAAGATTCATTATCTGATTGCCTTAAACATTTATGATAGGTTATCCTGTTTTAAGTCGTGGCCATCAGGAAATGGCTAAGCGATTTTTTAAGGTATGTTATTGTATTGGAAATAATCTTGCCATAAAATAAATAATACGGCTAACCGAATTTTAATAATTTATAGTACGTCTTGCGATTCTTGTTAGTGCAATTAATTAATTGATGATGATCTTTTATACGCCAGTTAAGAATCCAAAGTATTGTATCTGGTAATTGCCAAGATCCTACCAAGGTATCAAAGTAGTTAATGTAAAGATTTGATAGATTTGGAGAATTATCATGGAAAGGGTGTTACAAATATTAAATTTTATTACTTTTAGGGCTCTAATTCTTATTTTCAATATTTGGAGCACGTTCATGAAGTTTGTTCAAAATAAAAATACTTTAATATCTCGGCGCGATTATTCTCGCGGATTTTTTCTAAGATTATTCTATTATGTGATAGCTTCCAGTTCTTATTTTGCATTATCATACTGCATTAGAATCAACCGCCTTTAGACGATTACCAAAAGTTTGTGCGTGGTTACGGAGATTACTTACAGTGGCCATTACAGGTTAATTTACAAGTACTGGGTGTTAACCTTCGTTACTACTTAAAATACCTTAAATGAAAGTATCGCGATTTAAAAGGTTGATAACCTGTTCTTATATAAAATAATCTATTATTAGCCACTAATGGATAATTTAGATTCTCAAACCTATGAAGTTTTTGAAAAAGATCCTGTTAAGTATGCGCGATATGAAGAGGTAGGCTGTTTTATATAGTACTCATATAATGTTTTCTACTATACTATGCATTATTGAGAATATTCATTTATCGTCATTTTTAACAGGCAATCTATCTGGCGCTTCTTGACCGTATAGAGAGTAATCATAACGAAACGTATGTATTAGTATATCTAACCCTTATTAACTAATCTTACGCGTTACTTCTCATAATATGATAGGTATTACGGTAATGGTAATAATTCTATTGGATTTAGTGTTGTAATGGTTTTAGGGGCTGGCCGAGGACCGCTAGTGAAAGCTACTTTACGTGCTGGTTATAGTTTACAAACCAAGTTGACTGTATATGCGATAGAAAAAAATCCTAATGCCGTCATTACGTATGTCATAAATGTATTGGCAGTAAATTGTTATTCGATTATAAATTATAGATCAGTTATGACATGTATTAAGTTGTCAAGTAAGCATATTATGAAATGGGTAATACCAAGTAAATTTTTGACATTTAATATCGAATATTAGATTACAAAATTTGAAAGCAGTAGAATGGGGAGACCAAGTGACGGTTGTATCAACGGATATGAGAGAATGGGAGCCCCCATGCAAGGTAATTTTATAGTTTATTGTTGTTCGTTGATTATTAACTGATTACAATGTTGCTGTAGCATTGTTTGACTGTTAAAAAAGAAAAATACCAGATAATTTTTAGCACGATCAGTTACATGTCTTTATTTGTCATTATATCATTAATTATCGTAGGCCGATATTATCGTAAGCGAACTGCTAGGATCATTTGGTGATAACGAACTCTCTCCAGAATGCTTGGATGGTGCTATGAAGTACTTGAATGGTATATATATATATATATCCTATAGTGCTATAACATCAGATAAAGAATTAATATACTTCAAATATTCTATTCTATTGATAACTTTCATTAATTGGAAATAAATGTATCACAGCGCAATTAATTTAGAATTATCTTCTTTAGAGGGCGGTATTTCCATTCCATCCAAATATTCGTCGTATTTGTCACCTTTTTCGTCTTCAAAGTTATATAATGAAGTTAGAGACTGTAGGGAGAAAGATAGGCATCCACTGGTAATAATTATGAGTTCAGTATATGCCCCTCTGGTACTATAAAATAATGATGGAAATATTACAAAAATATTGATCTTATCTATGAGTATTCCTTACAATACTCTTACATTCATACACTGCAGTTCATAATTGTCAGCAATATACGTTTAGTATCGATAAATAACAAAATTATTAAGCACCATAATTACATGAAATCGGTATAAGGTTTTCACAAATGGTTTTTTATAAAATAGTAGTAGATGAATGCTGAATTACTACTTACGAGTAAATCTATGACTATACGCGCATGATATTGGAAGATTATAGCTGTTCGTGATTATGCATTGAAATTTCATTGTTAGATATTGCTTAATTATTTCATCCAAGGTCGCTATCTCAATGTAATTCTATTAGTATACTTTGATTGCGATAGATTTCGTTTGAAACTCCCTTCGTTGTTCATCTGCATAATGTACATATATTCTCGGATCCGTTGGAATGTTTTTCGTTCAGCCATCCTAATTCAGGCTCTGGTAAGTAATTATTAAATGGAATAACTGATAATTTATTAATGGAAAGTAAAGCACTTAATAATATTAATTATTTTACAGGATCTAGGAGTAATGATAGATATATTTGCTTAACTTATCAATCACCTTCAAAAGATACTGTTTTGACTGGTTTTGCTGGATACTTTGAAGCTATTTTATATAAAAATGTGACTATAAGTAAGTATGTTTGTTGTATCACTTTCAGAGTCTATTGCATTATGGTTTAGTTATCAATAATTTATAATTGCTGTTTATTGATTAGGTACTGTTCCTGAACGTCATTCTGAAGGGATGTTTAGCTGGTTTCCAATTATGTTTCCATTAAGGGTTAGTTACCGAAAGAGCTATTGCACGTTACTTAGTGATAATCAAGTTTTATAGAGCGCTATGTGTTGATTTGGTAAATTATACCAATAGAATTTTATTGTAAAAATTTGACTATTAACCCTGATGACTTGGATACTGCGATTTAAAATGTTAGGAACCGATATATGTGAAAGCGGAATCAAGAATTGATGTTCATTTTTGGCGAAAATCATCGGCATCGAAAGTTTGGTATGAATGGTGTGTCACAAACCCTTATATTTCAGGGTTGCACAACCCAAATGGACGTTCTTATACAATTGGTTTGTAGTATTTATGGAATCCTTTTGTATAAAAGTGAAATATATTTACTTCAAGTGATCCAGATGGATAGTAATCGTTGAGTTTATTTCATTTATCGGATAAATAATAGATATGTAACCAAATCAGAGCCTAATATCATTGCTTTAAAGTTTGTTTTTGGATTATGTGTTTTACACATATGGACTCTTCGTTTGTTGTACAATGATTAGACTATAAATTGAAATTGTTTTGGCTACATTGAGTATCATTACCAGAAATAAAATCGTGTATTAAGTTGATAACGTCTCTAGAGTATTACTTGAATTGGCTACACTAATCACGATAATATACTTTATCAATTGTTAACTTACTGGCCAAGAGTGTAAATAACGTAATTTAATGATTTCATACTAAGAATATTAACTGGTGTGGGATTGCTGGATAGTTGATCGAATTCTTATCATATTTGCTACTACCAGTTGTTTCTTAAATGATGTGTACCCCATACTCTCAGCGAAACTTTACATTCGTACAGTACCCGGCCACTTATATCTTCAATATTAACATACATTTCTAGAAAGTTGGCAATTTAAAACTTTTTAAGTATGATATCTGGGGAGTAAAAATAATAATATTAAAGTACGTATTTAAGTGAAGCTCTAGGTTATCTGGTGTGGGTGTAACTAGCATGTCGTACAGTACTCGCACGTGTACAATGTAAGGATTCGTTGTTATTATCTTGAATATTTCGTGTCCGACAACGTTACTATACTTGTAGTTTTCATACTATTCATTGCGAGATATCTAGTCAATTGATTACAAGTGCTTCAGTAAATATGTATAGAGTAATTATTGTAAATTATTCATAAGTAACTTCTAGATGGTAGGTCTAGGTTGGCTATAATCATGATAATGCAATATAATGTATTTTATTGATATTTAACTGCAATTTGAAATTTTAACCAAATACACGTATAAGCTTTTTACATATGCAAAATTATCAATTATTGCTATTATTATAGCGAATGACATCGGCTTGCAAATTTTTATATTACAAATGGCTTACACCTTTGTTGTATAAAATAATGAATTCTCAAGCTGCAACACATTGCCGAGCAAATTTACCATACTCCGTAAAAGTATTAGTTATAAAAGAGTGATGAATTTTAGCTCATAAAAGTGAATTTTCAACCTATGAAAAGTCTTTTAGCCCTTCAGGCAAGCTAGTATCTTCTTCATCACCGCCAGTATTAGCAACGAAGTCCTCATAAGTTGATTTTTCTGGGAAAGGACGAGGACCCAATAATTCGATCATATCGTCCCGATTTAGTACTTCCTTTTCCAATAGTAAATTAGCGATCTACAGTAGTTAGCCAATTCAACAAATAAATTGTTATGAGAAGATTGATGGCAATACAAGGAGATCAACAAAATTTATTGCCTACCTTAGCAACATCATCTTTATGGCTCTTCAACAATTCTGTAGTTCTTGCATAAGCTAAATTAATTAATTTTCTAACTTCTTCATCAATCAATTGAGCAGTAGCTTCACTGTAAGGCTTTTCAAACATCGGTTCTCCGTCACCAGGCATATCAAAGGAAAGATTGCCAATGGCTTCATTCATACCAAATTTGATAACCTACGCGTATTTGATTTCATGAATATATTTAAAAGAAAATTAATCAATTCCTACAACTTTCTCTAAATTTGAGCAGGAACAGTAAGTAATTAATTCTATGAAATTTTTACCTGAGCATAAGCATTATTTGTCACTTTACTGAGATCATCTTGAGCTCCAGTAGTTATGCGGTTAAAGAATATTTGTTCTGCTACTCTACCACCAAGCGTCATACACATTCTGTCCATTAACTGTGACAGTAGTATTAAGATAATTAGTTTTAGCTTCAATAAACGCATTAAACATGATCATTACTAGCCTGTTCAGTCGTATATAAATATTGTTCCTTCGGTAGATATTGTGCATATCCTAATCCTTTTCCACGAGGTATAATCGAAACCTGTGATGCAAACATAAAGTACACATATTATTTTCAATATTTGTTAAATTTTGAAAATTGCATACGTATAATAATTTTTTCTGATGTAATTATTTAATTTGGCAATAACCTTAAGTAATGGATCGGCATGTTCCAAAAACCATCCGGCAACAGCATGTCCAGCTTCATGGTGGGCAACAACATTTTTTTCTTCAGGCTGTAAAACCTGGGTTTTCTTTTCCAATCCTAAATATTTCAGTTACAGTCGGTTTAATTGAAATAGTATCATAGATACAGCTGTTATTTCAATTTAAAAATACCTGCTATAACTCTTTCAATAGCTTGCTCAAAGTGAGTTAATTCGACTTTGGAGCAAAGATGTCGAGCAGCAATTAAAGCGGCCTCGTTACAGACATTTGCAATATCAGCCCCTATTTTAGAAAATGGTAGCAAAGTAGTTAAATCGTTAGTAAACGTGTCATATTATATAAGACGATTGATACTGGATATATCACAGAATTTACCTGTAAATCCAGGCGTTAAGGCAGCTAGTTTACGAGCTACTGCATTTATATCGAGATCAGTTTTAATTGGCTTAAGATGAACCTTAAAAATTGATAACCTGTAGACAGTTCGATTTTTGATGTATTAGTACTTTTGGGTGGTATACGGTGTATAAATATATCTTACATAAGCGCATGTGTATACAAAAATAGATGGTACAAACCTTCCTTTAATATCAGGTGGACTAATGACTATTTGTCTATCGAATCGACCTGGACGGAGAAGGGCTGGATCTAAGATATCTGGTCGATTTGTACCAGCTAAAACAACTACGTTAGTTGTACTGCTAAAGCCTATAAAGGTAGTTGGAAAGATACTTAGTGAGAATTTCTTTACTGAGGTAGTCTATAAAATTTTAATTTAGCTAAAGGTTACGTACCATCCATTTCGACCAACAATTGATTTAAGGTATTCTCTCTTTCATCATGTCCACCAAATTGACCACCCTTACTGCGCGATCGCCCAACGGCATCAATTTCATCAATAAAAATAATACATGGTGCATTCTTACGAGCTTGAGCATAAAGATCTCTTACCTAATCAAGAAAAAATTGATGGAAAAAAATAAAGAGTAAAAACTTGACTATTTGTATACCCTAGATTATGAAAATGTTGTGCAGGATACGTACACGTGCAGGACCAACACCAACAAACATTTCAAGAAATTCTGAGCCAGATATACTCAAGAAAGGTACTCCAGCTTCACCAGCAGTTGCTTTCGCTAAAAGTGTTTTACCAGTACCTGGAGGGCCAGATAAGATAGCTCCCTAGATCATAATCAAGAGATGAGTATAAGAAATTATCATGTTTCTAGTTATTATCTAATTTATAAAACGTACCCGAGGAATTTTTGCACCTAGTTGTTGATACTGATTAGGATTCTTTAAGAAATTAACAAATTCCATGATTTCGATCTTGGCCTCTTCACATCCTGCTACTTCACTGAATGTAAGAAGGGAAAATATGACCATAATTGATTTATATCCCATAGGTGATGTTGTTTTAGCAAACACATTGGCTTATCAAAACATGGATTCTCACCTAAATTTTACTTTAATATTAGTTTCTTTGTTAAAAAATTTCGCAGTAGACTGTCCCACACCAAAAATGCCCTACGTAACATATTGATAAAAGTATGATTCGTCAACTCAAAATTCAAGTCATACAGTTAGTTGTGATATTGGAACTGACTTACTCCTGCACCTCGACTACCAGTGGATATTCTCCTTGATGCATAAATCATACCGCCAATAAGGAGTAAAGTTGGAGACAGCAGTAAAATTTCTCGTCTAATATAAATTACAGTCACATTAAGGATCATTTCCATGGAATGCTTTTATTGTAGAAAATAAAAAGAGTATTGATAAATTACAGATTTTATTTACAGATATTCATATTGTTTGACGTATACTACAGGAACTTGGTCTATAGGATCAACATTGAGATCTCTTTGAACAGTTTCTAAGTTTCGTTCAAAATTTTCTACACTTCCAATGGTGAAATGATATTGCGGGGATTCGAACATCTGTATAATTCAAATCAATTAAAATCCTGACTAGATTATTATTGTCGCTAAATCAACAATAGTGTTATGGCTTGTACCCTTACCCCATCATCATGATTTTTAAGAAAAACCTTTACATAACTTTTATTTACGACGACTAATTTTTCTACCTAAATTTTGATAAAAATGACTTTGGTTAACTGTTTAGGTATTTAAACGATAAAGCATGACTATAAATAAGACGATATTAGATAATTCTATAATATTATAGTAAATTGATATACTTTAATACTTTGATTATTATCAGACTTACTAATCCTTTCTCCAAGTAGTTAACTCTAAATTGTTGCCAATTGATTTCTCTAGTCGCATTGTGATCTGTAGTATATAAATAATAGCCAGCTCCAATAGCTATTGCGACTCCTAAACCAATCTGTCTCATTCTGGCTTCCGATAACTCTTCCCACCAATATTTATCGTCTTTCTTGTTATGATCGCCACCACCACTAGTACTACTGCTGCTACTACTACTACTACTACTTGGCGTGGTGCTATCATCCTCGGGTGTATCAGTATCGCTAACGGTTCTTTTAGTATCTTGTTCATTTTTGCTTTTCTCGACCTGCGCCTTTTGAGCAGGACTCGGATCATCTTTAGGAGTATCACTGGCTACCGATGGTCCTTTGCCATCATGCTTGTTATCTGCTTGTAAGTTTTGATCTTGTTGATGCTGTTTGTCTTGCTCTATTGAATTAGTCTTATCACTGTTATCCTTTTGGACAGGTTCTGTTAATTGAAAAAAATAGCATGAGTTCAAAACTGTGAATAGCATACGTACTCATATGATGGCACTGCACTTTTTATAGCGCGAGTTGATATTGGTCATTTTATACAACAGATGACCTTGACTGGATTGAGATGGCTTGGACGCTTCTTTGGGGCTGTGATGAATTTGGTCAGCTGCTGCAGCAGTCGATGTAGTGGTCTTTGGTTCCTTCGTATTGGCTTGTTGATCCGACGTCGGCTTGGATGTCTTATTACTGGACTGATCAGGAACAGGCGACGAAGTATCGTTTTTCTTTTTATTAGGTGGTTTACTATAAAATTTCTCAAAACCTAAATAGTTTCATGCAATTTAGTAGTAGTAGGTGAAGATCGTATACACTAATAACATTGTTTATCATTCATTGTAAGCATCGGCTAAGAATGGCTATCGTTGCGTAGTCTCACCTCGAGGAGGTTTATTCCATCGTGCTATATGAGTGGATAATTTGGAATGGAACAATCCATTAGACCTAGACGACTAAAACAAGAGTAATCCATATCCAGTTAACTTACGATCTTCTATACAAGACTGCTATCAAGAACGTTGTTAACAACATACAAAGCCAGAATAATGCTATCACTATCAAGAAATAGCTTAACATCGAGTATAGAATACAATCCAATCGATCAACTAGAGTGATGATGGAAAAATGATAGCTTGTCCATTTCTCCATTTACCTTGGATAAGACAGAGGAAATTGGTGCATGTGACAGTACAGTTGCACACCTTCTAACCATAAAGGTATAATAAGCCATTTGAAATGACTTAGTAATCTACCTTGAAGGTCAATTTAGCTCTTAGTAACAATTAAAACCAATAGTAATGTCGATTAAAGTAGAACGATGAAGTTGTTGCTGCTCAGTAATTTGTAGCCAAATCCGCCATTGACATCGACTCCGGTACATAAGGCTAGACTGAGCTAGAGCTACTAGTACGCTTGGTTCTGCCAGCAATGAGCATGATGAAATCTTGACATAGTCCAGCCGTACGTCCATCTGTACCATTGTGCTGTACTCAGTGTACAGTACAGTACAGTACAGTTACGGTACACTGTACTGTACAGTATACAGTACAGTACTGTACGTATAGTACTGTAGCGAATGATTGAGTGTACAGTACTGTACTGTACTGTATGTACTGTACAGTACAGTACAGTACACTGCTTGGTCCTCGTGGGCTACCGTAACGTCTACAGACATACGGACGGCTTTTGCTTGTCTCCGCTTCCTCAATTGCAAGTCTGCAACCGATTTCAAGGAGAGCAAAATGGGCAGCCATCTGCCAAGCCTTACAATCAACAACATTTTCTACCTGTAATATCAATCTTTATTCATGAATAGGTACAATACTTCAGCTCTTGATTATACTCTACAATAGATAGTAATGATCAAAATCTTTTGAGTGGTACTTGGTAAGCGGTAGAAGACATCATGCAATTGTACATCCGCTATTGGATGGCTGTAACGCCAATCGTTGCATTAATGATTACCATGGCCATTCATCAATATCAAAATCTTGATCATCTTCCTGCTCATAATCAGACAAAGATAAACGACATCATGTCACTATTACAACGTGGATCATCAGTATGGTGTTGGGGCAATCACTCAACCAATCGTATTTGCAAATTCGATCATTTATGCTATTCCTATAATTATGATGAATTTATTTTTATCCATGGCTTGACTAAATCCATACGAGATAACCTACCTGATGATCGATTTAATCCAACATTATTAGATATGTCATCGGTTGAAGATCATAACAGACAATACTTTAATTTTGTAGAATTACCCTGGCAAGTCATTAGCCAAAAATTTAATTTAAATTCATCAGTTATAATGAATGGAAATCATTTAATCTTTCGTCGCTTTTACCCTAGTAATATTATGCACGTTATTCATGATGATTTAATACCGTTATATTATACATTACGTCAATATTCCAATTTATACTCTGATAATATTCAAGTAATATTTTTCGATGAAGAACCACCTACTCATTATGCATACCTATATAATTTATTTTCAAATCGTTTACCATTATATAAGAAAGATTTAATATCTTTGCTCAACACTCGTAATCATAACAATAAAAATAATAATAATAATAATAACAATGACAATGTGCATGGATCTCTCATTTGTTTCCAACAAGTTATCGTAGGGATCTCCAAAATGACTACTTGGTATCAATATGGTTTCCAGTCATCCGCGCCGCAAGGTCCAATTCAAAGAAAATTGCCTAATACATTTCCTTATCGAACATTTACACAATTCATCATGAAAAAGTTAAACATTCATTGCCCAATATCGACCGCATCTCAACTGGAGAGCGATGATAATGTTATTGTCATCATGTTACGACATAGCAATCGCCTTATTATCAATGTAGATCGACTGAAACAATTTATTGCAGATAAATATAAGAGAAATGTCATTACCTTATCCATTGAAGATAGCCAAGACTATAATATAACTCATCAACTATCTATATTATCGTGCCAAACCATTGGTTTAATTGGTATGCATGGTTCTGCATTAATATTAGGATTATTTCTACCGCAAAATTCATTTCTGTTGGAGTTATTTCCGTATGCAATTAATCCTCATCATTATACGCCTTATAAGACTATGGCTGGCCTACCTGATATCCAATTGCATTATGCCAGTTGGACAAATCAAATTAGTAGTCATTCCATTGCTCATCCAGAGTATCCGAGTCAATTAGGTGGAATCAATCATTTGCCTCATCATCAACAAGAAGAAATTGTTGGCACAGTTGAAGTTCCACTTCATTCATGTTGTCAAGATCCAAATTGGTTATATCATATTTATCAAGATACTGTTATTGAAATTGAATCATTCTCTCAACAATTAACCTTATTATTCGATCAACAAACTCAGTACTGGACAACTAACGAAGGTCAGCATCGCCATTTACAATTTCCACCTTCACGTGTTGACAATATCACTTGCTCTGTTGGCTATCATCAAGGTAAAAGTAACATCACAATTACCTGGGATTTACCATGGACAATAAAATTGTGCAACCAACAACAACGACAATCTTATAAAATTCTATTTGAAATATGGCTACAACAATCTAATCAAGAAAGTGTTATAGCCTATGTAACTAATGAAACTCGCCTCATTATTTCTGATAATATTGATCGAAATCAACTTTATTATGCTTGGATTAGGGCAATAATTAATGACTCGACTAAAGGACCCTTTAGCAATACGTTATATTGTCATACTGATAAGAAAAGTTAATATAGAGTTTATTACAATCTTCATAATATTATTTGTACATATGCTCAATGATGAAGGTATAATTAAGTAATAATACAGTATGTAAAAAATTTCGATTGTTTTAGTAAGAGCAGTAGTAATTAATATTAAATAATTACACTGTTTTTACAATAGTAATACAAAATTTTATTTTTCACTATGAAACTGTAATAGTTGAAGTAATATACATGTTACTGTAAGTCAATCAGTACTGTCTACATATCATGACAAATTACTAAAACTGAATTGTAATAAATGATACATATGCGACGATAGATTAAATTGATAATCACTTAATTCATCGTATGTGATTCATGTTACATTAATATTTATTCTCCTTGTGATCGTTTAACTTTTTCCTTATCCGACGTTAAATTAGATAAACGTTTAGTTAAAACTTCACTTTGTCGACTTCGTTTGGGTAAGATATCCGGTTCGTCATTTTGTAAAATTGCACGCTTTGCTCTTCCACGTGCAGTAAAGGCTTTTGATTTATCGCCAGTTCTTTCTGACTGTTTAACGGCATCGTTGATATCTTTTAATATCTATAGTGGAAAATGAATAGTTGATTATGTCTGTTCAGTTAGTTGAAATATCCATAAAATAGCATCAGCTTCTGCTACTGTAATTACCGTATCTGGGCTTTCTTGGAATGAGTATAACATTTTCGGTTTCGGTGATAGTGGTGGTGAATCTGACATAGTCAAAAGGATTTTAATCAAATTATACGAATAATACCCTATTTGCTTTACCGACTTCCATTGACAACAGTAAAATTTACTTACCACATCCAAATATAGATACAAAGACTGAATGTCGCCCTGATACTTGTGACTAAAATGTAATGCAATAAAACATTTTAATTCTCGATAATTTAGATATTAATCTACTCATAGCACCAAAATTGATCTGGGTGACCTTTCTCGGTGATGTTATCGGGCTTCTACTTGCTGGCAAAGGTGATAAACTTGGAAGACACTAGTTTGTGATGTAGAGATAACTGGTAAGAACAGATTTAATGCCTTTAAGCAAGGGATACTATAGAAATGATGATATCATCTTACATTTCCGTTCTCCGGTAAAAATCGTAGCACAAATTCTTTCATTGCATCAAGATACACCTCGTTATAGAATTGAACTAAGTCTCCACGAACGTCTTCTAATTCGCCATTTTCAACGTCAACATCAGAACAAGATGGGGTTGGCGTTTGCGATAGTGTACTGGAACTTCGCATAGCAGTTTCGTTCTGCTCTTGGTAAATGGTCGTTGACCCAGATATAATAATTGGTGGGCTAACAGGACTTGAATTTCTACTACTCTCAACCGATTTGTTATCACTTTTCCCTTTACGTTTTCTCACTAATACATTGCGATAAAGCTAAGCAATAAATTAAAGAGATAAAATGTAATTATGTCGAAGATGAGCGGCTGAATTTGTGTTGACATGATAATGAAAGGTTTCCTTACATGTTTTTTAGCTTGTGGTTGACGATTGTAGCAATCTTTGATTTCCAAGAATTTTGTATTTTTCCTTGAAACCTTTCAGGATGAAACAGAATAAACATTACAGGAAAAATGAAAATCAGGGTTTAACATTAGGGACCGAAATTATATCATATAGTTCTAATACCTTGCAAATGACATAGATGGCACACATTAGCAACTGATCTAGATGTCGATCAATTATTAATTCGTGACAGTGCATAACTGAATATTCAAAACATGTCCAGATTCTGAAAGTGTGACATTTACAAGAATATAATGGTTAGCGTAGTAGTACTATCATTTTTGTTTAGGAAAGTCACTAACTTGGATGTTAAATCTTCGCCTAGGTGTAACGAACGACATAGATCTTTCAGTCTTACACTCGCTAAGTAATAAAACTAATATCGAGAAAGTTTGCATGTAAAATGTTAATATTTTATTTTACTAAAGAAAGTTATCTGGTAATATTATTTACATAATGGCAATCTACCTTTCTAAAAAATAATCCCAAAGAACCCGTTCGTTTTGGCTTCGAAGTGTCCTTAGCATCGGTAATACTTCTTGCTTCTATGCTCTTTTTCATAGGGGAACTGTATCTTTCCGCAACAGGGAATCCTTTCGACTCTATTGGCCCTAATACATTACATGACAAATTAAAACAAATACCGCGTACATCTGTTATCAGTTATTTACACTATACTTTACCAGCTAAAGCAGGATTTAATCTACGCATTTGTGGATGTACAATATTTGTTATTGCTGGTTTGTTGGAATGTCCTTCTTCATTAGAAGGAATACAAACCTATTCAATGAAAAATTAATAAGTAATTTAGTAAGTGAATTTTTTATCAGGTATAATGACCAGTACTATATTTAAATATAACATATAGCAACGAAGAAAATTCGTGATACAGACCTCTTCATAAGATGGAATAGCAATTAAACCATTATCGGATGCTGTAAATAATGGAGAACCTGATACCCAGGCTAAGTGGTCTAAAATACTCTCTTCAATCTATATAAATAATTCATTTATTTTGTTGAATAATGCTTAAATCATGATAATGTCATTTACTGTAAGAAATGGATAAACGTACGTAATTTAAATGTTTAACGACTTCACGAGGCAATCCATGTTCTGTTCGTATAACAATTTCGATTACCTTTTATAACAAATATAGATGTCATTCATAATGTTCACCAGTTTCACGTTTATTGCTTTATTATAATTCATTTAATATTTATCTACCTTATAAAAGTAATAATGTGAAAGACCGAAAACTTGAACGATCCATGGAAAGGTCTTTTGTGATCCATATGAGAAAATTGTGATTTCCAAACAACACGCCAATAAAGATCGATGAAAAACATCTTTTTCAAGTAAGATCTATTAGAATAAATCAATAAATGAGTATAAGGCCAATTGGATCAGACTCATCGATTGGCAGTTTAAATTCGGATCAGTAACCAATATTCATTATTCGAAGGATTGATTTAAATAAATAAGTAAATAAATGTATTACTTTCAGTTCTCCAGAAGTTTTGTTACGCCTTTTTTCGGCCAAGATAATACTTTCAAGAGTCTATTTGAGAAAAGGCAATATTAGGAATAGAAGTAGTCATAAGACTAGCAACAAGTCACCTTATTCAGGTTGATAATTGTAGCGGACATGCAACGTATAATTGTATGAGCTTACATCAGTTTTTGATAGCAAAAGCGCTTTATACATTGTATTTAGAAACGGGCACACTCATTCATTAATAAGTTATGGAATATGACAAATTATTGCAAAGAAGTATAAAAATAACGAAACACTACCACTTAGGGAGAATTAAGTTACAGTTAATTTCTTTAGAGCTTATTTTACATTAGCTATCAAAATCTGACAATGCAATGTAATAGCATGGAGGAGATGAAAAATAAATACAATTTATAAATGGCCATTTTAATTTACTCATATACGTATGATGTCGATAAGTTTTAATAAACCTTCAAATCACCTTATAATATAGCTTTATCCCGAGATTCCACCTATTTTCGGCAAAATCGATCGGTGATTTTGATCTTTCATCATCAATCTATGAATGTTAATAACATTACATGTTTGAGTATGGGATCTTGTACAAACTGGGATAAAGGATAAATTATCTCGGCAATGAACAATTCTGGTGCTACCTTTGTATAACTGTCATAAAAAGTTTCCTTTAATTCATTAATGCGAGATTGAATGATATCCAGAAGATCGTTCGAACAGTCCCTATACGATTAAGAAATGTTGATATCGATTATGATTTAGTTAAAATTGATGCTTGAAGTTAAAGCTCTTCACTTTATATCGTATATTAGTACCAGTGTGATTCTTACCCAAATATAGCCAACAACTTATTAGAAGGTGAAACAGTCCACTTAGCTAATAGAGCTTGTAAACGACCAACAGAAAGTGTTGCCGAGGAAACAGGAGTTCTAATCATTTTTGAATAAGTAGCACAATTTGTTAGAATTTTGTACGTACATGATACGGAAGTAATTTCTTCAGAGAGTAAGTTATGCCTACCGTTCTTCTTTTTGATTAAGGAAGTTACGGCCAGTTAACGGTGTTTGTGGAATCATTGTACTATTTTGAAATCGATCCTGTAAATTTCTAGTAACATTTTGCCTTGCTTCTGCTGTAGTATGAGCCGCCTTCGGCAGTTTCGCTGGCGTACCAATATCTAGGTAAGCATTACTCCCAAGAAAGATCCTCTCATCAAAGTCACCACTGGATAAGACAAATTCATCATAGGAATTTGATACAAATTTGCTATTGATTACAAATATTAAACATTAAGTTAGTTACAATTTGATAGCTATTAGATTTTTCATAAGGAATTACTTACTTATTATAATCGAAATTGCCTTGATCGAGCAGACCGCAAAATGTTTTCTTATTGCCTCTAAGATGCTAATATAATTAAATTGAAAAATATTAGGATAACCATTTTTAGCAAAGATTCTTGGTTCATTAAATATAGAATATTACAATATTTTCTATAATTCTAGTACTGGCGTCAAAATCAAGCATCGCTTCAATTAGAAATTAAATTAACAAGTTGATATCGGATCAATTATTTAAACTACGTAATTTTTGCTCTTTCACAAAAAAGAAGGTATTACATTTTTATCAAATAAATTTTCTAGATAAAGCCAGAGAAGATGTTGCTTGATTGCTTTAACTTCTATAGATATACCTGTTGAATAGCAGAGTAGATGTTATATATTAAGATTTATTAGTAATCTTGAAGTTTTATCTAATTTATAAATATGGTTGTTATAGATACCTTCATAACGTTTGCATAAATATTCGATAACTGATACTGGACTGGAATTGCTTTCGCTTTCTACTAAAGCGTCTGAATGAATCAATAGTAATTTAGAAAAGTTCATTGTTATTGTTATAGTACATCATAAAGACATAAGATAATTTAGCAATATTAAAGCTCCGGACCCGATTCTAATTGAGGATTTAAGAGGTCCCTTCTGTTTGCAACAACGATATTAGCATAAATAAGATCAATACAGCATAGTAGGAGATGATACGAATTAACCAGATCAGTCCTGATGTCAGGATATTTTCCTATAAAGATTATAAAAGATAAATAATAACATACACAAACAAAATAACTAAAAATCAAACTCTAGTAAAATTCAATAAATGCTTGTACCTTTAATCAAGAGATATAAGCTCCAGCAGTAGCTAAAAACTTGTTGATAAGTACATATTTTTGAGTGTCTATAAGCCAGACATTAGAGAACATATAAGTCATTTTTATCGATGATAAACATGATAGTCTAGATTTGGCATAAGACAGAACTCCATGTAGACATAATACACTTAACGCACCACAATTCAGTGAATAATAATGTTGTATAACGTGTGATTATGTAATAGCGTTGAGATTAAGTTTTACAATTTTTATTTAGTGCACAGCATAAAATTTGTAGCATAGTTTACAGTTCTGTAGTTGTATAATAACTGCTATAAAAATATACACATAGGTTACTGTAGTAGCTACATAGCTATAAAATAATTACTTATTTGTATTCAATATCATTAGTCAATTTATTTCTATTAATTTAATAATGCATCGATAACACGTGTATACTGTAATATTTTGTTTGTTGGTAATCATTTCTATTAAATAATAATGACTACCCTCTGATGTTTCTATGCTGAATAGGATTATTCGAAACTCTTAATGTCATTAAGGAATAGAACGGAATGATTGTAAGGATATTCTGGTCAAAGGCAATATAAAGTTTCGTCAACATTGCCTCTTTTTTATACTTTTAAATATACGGAACAGTATACTAAATGTGTCTTTCAAAGAGTATATGATTATAGAGGTTTCTACTGCCAAATGCAGTCATAAGAAGAGCAAACTATTGTTGTTAGGCCATCCCTTGTATACAGCAACATTAAAGTGTCCTATAGATTCTTCAATATCTTTAACGTAGTCATTGCGCTAACAAGTTAACCGTATGGCATTATAGACAAACAAATTGTTAAAACATGTAATAGATTAAATAAGGTGTATCATTTGATAATGATGCTACCGTATCCAGGGCTAATCTTCTATGCTCCTATTACAGCATACTAAAATTTAAAATTCGCAGTTTATACTAAGACCAAGACTGTACTGTATCCAGTAAGCAGAGGGATGATATGTCATTTATTAGAGAACCTGTAGTACAGATTTTTCGGACCTATATTTCACTATTCATTTCAACTAATGTATTTGTAACTCAATACTTATAATGCTATTGCAAAATAACGATTTCTGGATTATCCATCTACAATTAATTGACAATAAAACATTCCTACGATGTGCGGATTGATTATTAATAAATGTAAAAGATACGATTGCATGACCAGATTAGTGTTAATATCTACGTATTGATCATTATTTTAATTTTTGAATCTGTTGACAAGTAATTTGCAAAAAATACTACATATTACCTTAATTTGCGTCGTGGCACGCTGTCATTTACATTAGATTGGAATAAATGTTGAAAGATGGGTTCAAATTTATTCTTATAGATGACACTAACGACTTCGAAGTTTCTTTCAATAACATTTATTTGACCCCGAAAATCCTCATCTAAGCAAGCCATATCGATCCATTTATCGATTTTATTGAAGAATTCAATTAAGCTGATGATGGATTAAAATATAAAAGAACATGGCAATTATGATAAGAATTATACTGTATTAACGTTACTCATATTGTAGCAAAGAAAAGTAAAATGCAAATGAACTCAATTTTTTTTATTGACAAACCTTAGATTAGCTGCTTTAATAAGACGACTGAGAGAAATACAGTTACCCACTTGGATTCCTTCTCCTACAGTTGGTAATCGTGATTGCTTGCCAGCAACAAATAGCGCGCAGGTTAACCAGTGAAGATGATTGCCCTAGGTTGTAACATGACAGTAAAATTGCTTACTATTAATGTAGATTAAATTTGTCGGTCTATTTGCCCTAGGTTGTAACATGACAGTCAATTTGCTTACTATTAAAGTAGATTAAATTTGTAGGTCTATCAATCCAAAACGAAAAAATTAGCAGATAGATGATTGATGTAGTTGAGATTCTTTTTCAGTCATACTTTTAAATCTCAAGTCTGATCGTACTGCATTACTATTACACATTTAACGCTAAAGTGAATATTTTTCTTGCCGATCTATTTCCGTACGGAAATCTTCAGTAATGGTGATTCAATGCAAGATGTTATGCTTGCTCAATCTACTCAGTAATCAACGTAGACATAGTAAGAGTTGTTATTTTCTTTGCTAGCATATTCTATTGTACCCTATGAACGTATGTTTAAGTAGAGAGATAATATCATTATATCGCAATCCATATTAAAAGGGCAGTAATGTAAAACCCATGAATTGGTTAATAAACCTAATATACTGTACTGTAAAGGTACATGCCAATGTGTGGATAATATCAGAAAAATGCAAAGGAACTGGTTAGGTTATATAACCTCACAATAATTATTTAATAAATACGAGTAGTTTTAGTATTAACGATGTGTGGATAATATCAGAAAAATGCAAAGGAACTGGTTAGGCTATATAACCTCACAGTAATTATTTACATACGAGTAGTTCTAGTATTAACGATGTGTGGATAATATCGGAAAAATGCAAAGGAACTGGTTAGGCTATATAACCTCACAATAATTATTTACATACGAGCAGTTCTAGTACTAGGGCTAAACTACGGAGTTCATTATGTTGCAATTCTACCGTGAAAGATGTTAAAGTGAAATTAATGAAGATAGTTTACCGAAATACTGTTCATACTCGTGTGACATCGGTATCTACTAAAATATATATAGTATAGTTCGTCTATAGTTTAATACGTTCAAAATATCAATGTAATATGGTCTGATCACCTCTATGGCGTACTATATTTTCTAGAGTATACTTACAGTATATACGTGGCAATACAAAATGTATTAGTATTGCAGTACTATGGTCTAAATAAATATTTAATATAAAAATTGCCAAGGAAATAAAATGTCTGATCGTTCATTACTGCTGTATGGATTAAGAGAGATTGCAGAGTTTAGCAAGTCTATATACGATATTCGTATGTACAAAGTTTCAAGTAGAGAGATGGCATCATCGATGCTATTCTCTTTTTTCTTCCGATCGGATATTCAAACAAGTCAGTTGGGCAAAGCTTGCGTTAAATAAATTATCGTCGCCTAAGGCAAACTGCTCGTATACTGCAATTCTCATACGATGTTGGAAATACAAATGGAACATAGTCTGATTGATAACGGATCTCTACAGGCAATACTACTGTACATTTATGGCAAAGGATAATCATGCATGAATCTCTTAGTGTAGAAAGATACAGTACATCGGTTAGCAATATATGATGGTTGTTGGCGAAAACATGGATTGAAGCGTAAGCTATGTACTGTACAGCACATTAAATTGTTATTGATGATTATCCATGTGTCAAATCAAAATGGACAATAGGAAAAGTACAAGGACATGGTATCAGCGTGATTATCATCATCTTGGAAGTGGTTGTAGCGATGATTAAGTATAAATTATAATTTGGTTGTCGGTATCTATTATCTAGTCAAAAAGATTGGTACAGTATTTCAAGTGTACAATAGGGAAAAAAGTATAAGGTAATGTAGTCAGACTATTACGACGTCGAGGTTATGCTAGCGAGTTCAAATGTTCAAAAGGAGTGAAGATTAGAATATCATGATCAAGATGTATTGAAAATAGTTCTACTGCAGTACAGAAAGAGATAATATCAAATTGATTTGATTAGCTGAGTCCTGAATTTCTACTCTACTCCATTGCCTCTTCGTACTATCCTACACTACATGTTATTTTATGGCCATGGTCGTCATTCTACCATTATTTAGAGCACAGAACGAATGATGTCTATCATGACGACGATGGCGTTTATCCTATCTTAACAATAGTAAGGAAGGAAACCTACAATACGATAGGTTATGCGAGTAAAAAAAAAACTGGTAAAGCCTGATTGATCATTTGTAGTGATTTTCTACTACTGTATCGTGCCAACGATGTTGTTTCCATGCTCGTTGGCAATGTCTCTTGGATGAATATTCATTTTCGAATGAATTAAGAAAGATTACTACAGTGGAGCAAGTTGAAAAAGCGCTAGCTCCATCAGGATAGGAGTATTGTTGGGTAGAAATGATGATAAAGACAAAGGAAAATGGTGATAAAACATGAGATCGACAAAGGTAGGAGAAAGGTTTACAACTATTTTAACGCTTTCAAGCCAGCATAGGATGTATCTCCATTTGGATTGACTATCGGTCGCATGCATTTGATTTTTACCGTGGCGTTTAGCTTGTTGACTCGACCTGGCGATCGTTTTCATAAGGACATGATGACCGCTAACAAGTCCTCTATTGCCATCGACGACGACATGGCAGGCTCGTATCCAATGTTAAGTTGGACATGGTGATAGGATTGAATAGGCGATGATGAATCAAGATAATGTACAATGGGGCCCAATGATTTCCCCCCCCCCACCCCTCCAAAAAAATAAAAAATTGTTTTACCTCTAACGTAAATTTTAATTTGATATCTTGATAACGTTGCCATGCAGTTTGTGCAGTATCTTTATCCATATTCAAACTTAGGCATAACTCATCGTATTCCGATCGAATTGGTCGATCATCGGGTGGATTTTTTCCATGGAAAGTCATGATGATTTCATTCAACAAGTCCTGGATTGAATCAGCAATGGAAATTTCGATCGTCGATATCCAATCAATCGCCACGATTCCTTTAATCAATATACTTGAATATTGGGGAGGGCTTGAATTGTTATTCTATTTTTTTTTTTTTGTCTTTTTCAACAGACCTTTAACTTTGAAAAGCGATACTACGCGCCAACTGAGTCAGTCAATGATTAGAGTAGGCTAATAGTCAATGACGATCATGATGATCATTGGCCAGATGGCGGGAATGTCAAAGTGACGCTAAAAGGGACGCTCAACGTCCGCCGTGTCAATAGACGTCAATACCGGATTCTGCGCTGTAGACAGCCTCAACAACGACTGGAGTTTCAGGTCAAAAGCTTATTTGCATGGCGATCACTTTAGTCGATAGGTAGTATTGTATGCAAGTGAAAGCGTTACCAACGTGACGGGCCCGCTTGCTCGACTTACTCGATCTTGTCAATATGATTCTTCTTCTTGCCATTATTATGGAAATAGCATTAATTAGACTTGTCCATTTGGCCAAAGCTAAACCTGATACAAATTTAGTCTATGATATTGTTCAACTTGACGCTAAAGTTGCTTTTCAACAGCTGTTACTAGTACTGTTTCAACCAATCACCATGTATTGGCCTGATTGGTATGGACAGTCAATCCATGACATTTAAGAAATGGCTAGACTATTTTCTAGTCCTGCTTACAATGCACACTCTAAAATGCACCAGTTTTGTCGTGTTGTGTTTTACTCACTTTCCAGAACGGTAGTTAGGGAGTGGTGTATATAAACGTAGCCGGTGGTAGGCAAGCGGCTAGTCGATGTTGATCACCATAATCGGTCCGCTCAGTAGAGTAGAGTAGAGTACAGTATGTACACTTATTGTACAGCATGATTGCGATCGTGGACGATTACGGGCATTGGGCAGTATATGAAAATGCTATGATCATCATTACTGTTGGTGCCTTGATCAAGGCACCAACAATAATGATGATCATAGCATTTTCATAGCAAGGCACCAACAGTAATGATGATCATAGCATTTTCATAGCGGTGAGCTTTACTCCTCTATCGTGCTCATTGTATCATTTTACACGATGACAGTAGGGTTTTGCAGCAAAAATTGTCAACGTCTGCTAGAGAATGCCATCGAAACGATCAGCTTGCCGCAGTTGATTCATCCCTGGTCAATATGGTCCTACAGTACATACATAGGTATACTGTACCATTGCCAACCACCCAGGTGGGGTTGGGGTGGTCGGGGAAGTTAATTCACTTTGGTTAAGAAAGTTTCCCCCCCGTCAGCCAAATCGTGCGCGTCCAGTATACCAAAGTGTACAGTATATAAACTCCACGAAGCACGGATGGACAGTAAAAACAGACAGTACTGTAGAGTGAGGCAAAATCTCGACCAGTACGGTAGTGCTTGATACCATACAGTACAGTCTTGTAGACTGTACACTGTAGAGTACTGTACAGTACTGTACTGTACATTCAAGCTCATATTGAATGACGGTACTGTACAGTATGGTCTAGCGATAGATCGGTCTCACATCAGTCACGTGGCGATAATGCACAGGAAGCGGGAAGTGGATACGTTTCAAACGTTACCTGCCAATAAAATGGAGTCCAATCAAGCTCTAATAAAGTGCAGTACAATCCTTTTCCAATGCCGCTGCATTGCTGACTAACTGCTCAAAAAAGAGTTTGACTTCAAGTACACTAGTGCTGCGAGTGCACAGTAGACTTGCAAATCGCAAAACTTCATTGGACGAAGTTACCGATAGTGAAATGGAATCGTCTAAAGTCCATTTGTAATCCATATGCTCACACATCATTCTGCAAGACTTGCTACCCCAGAGTTTATCCATGTCACAAGTTGTATGAATCAATTTTAGGACAATTGTGATAGACTGTATCCTAACGATAGTAGTGGCAAAATCAAGAGAGGCCGATTAAACTTATCGTTGTACGCTATTGAACTTGATTGCGTAGGATTAGAATTTCTTGGGAACTATACAGGCAAAAGAAAAGTCAACTGTCGTTCATTCTCCATTGCTGTACAAAATTTGACAAGAGTATCGCTGGGGTGGTACAGTACAGTTCAGTACAGTGTACAGTACAGTGTGTACAGTACTGTACTGTCCAGTACAGTATGTACAGTACTGTAAGCTGGTGCGGTCTACAGTACAGTACTGTACTGTAGACTGTGCTCTACTGTACAGTGTACAGTACTGTAGAGTACGGTACTACCGCATTGCTGTATGGTATCATGGTGGTCAAGTCGAAAAAAGCTGAGCGTAAAGCTGTAATGCTCCCTCATGTTGGGGTGGTACTAGTACAGTACAGTGTGTACAGTACTGTCCAGTATGTACTGTAAGCTAGCGCGGTCTACAGTACTGTACTGTATAGTACAGTAGTAACGCATTGCTGTACGGTATCGTAATGGTCAAATCGAAACGAGCTCAGTGTAGAGCTGCAATGCTCCCTCATGTTACAGTACATGTGTGAGTGTACTAGACTGTTTACCTACCTTTTAAAACTCTCATCTCCCAAGCGCAAAATTGCTTTGGCTCGCATCTTCCTACCAGTCATTCTTACCTTTCAAACAAGATTGCCAACTTAACTCATCAAGATGCTATCTGCTGCTGGAGTAATAACATTATTCAGAAATCCAGTAAGGTAAGGGAGCCAACTACAATTCAGATCATTCAATTATCTCCAGTTTGAACTACTGATGCAATCCAAAAGGCTAAAATGATGCTGGCAATCCTTTCTTCTCCTAGTGCTTCATCATGCAGGCTATGTCCATGCAGTAGTCAATACAACAATTTCTTGTCACAAGACGATCAAATGCCTAGGATAGAGCTCATCGATCGGCTGCGACAGTAGAATAGGACCTTCTTGACAAACAGTATTGCTCATAGTGCTCGCTAGTTGAATTCAAAAAGAACCCAACGGGTCCAAAATCATCACTAGTCACACGCTTGTGCTACTGAATGGTAACCACAAAGTCGCAAAAGGATAGACCAGTTTTGATCAAGACATGATTGAACTAGTTTCCTCCTTTGCTGCAGACCAATGCTCTTGTTATCAACTATTTTAATTTTAACAGTGCATTACTTGCATCAAATTGGATCTGCTATGACATCATATTTGGGATCAACTTAAAAGAACAACCAAGTTGATTCCGCCCGTTTGCACCACAACAACGACAATCAATTCCATGAATTAATTGGTGCACTACTCAACTACTCTTGCTTATTTTAAAGAACATCAAGAAATCACTTCCATACGATAACTATCGACATTTCTCCCCCTTTAGCAGCTAACAAATACTCTCTGCTATCGAAACTTGTTTAAAAGTCCCAATGGAAAATAGCAGAGCGTTCAGTGATAAAAAGTATTCAATTGCATTACTTTATTAATAGTAATATCCGTTTGTAAAATAACTTTCCTACCAGTTTGCTGACACACTTAAAGATTGTTCTCAACTGAAAATCTTATTCAATGGTAATTATAATGAATGAATGAATGAATGCTTCCGTTACAAACAAGTATTGAATTATCCGTTCGATTGCATCCAAAAAATCTGCATGTACAGTGCTGTTGTTGTACTGTATTGCATTATATGATTTGCACAAATACCCAAGTGAGGCAATGCTCCAACTAATATTCAAATCTGACATAATTATCATTACCCTTATTGACTTGTATATCCTATTCTGTAGTAAAAATACCGCTTCAAATGATGGAACTTTCATCTTCAGGATCTGCCTTTTAGCCATAACAAAATGAATAAAATTCATCATTTACAGCATGTGGACTTCTTAGATTGACTATAACATACTTATACAGCACTGCTTAGACACACACAGGCACTCGCTTAACTAACAGCAAAATGGATAATGCAATACTGTACTGCATCCAGGGCTGTATAAACACTACTTCCATAGGAATGCCTCTCCTTGTTTAGAAATACTAAAAATCATGCCATAGCATGTAAAACGCGTTAATTACTCGTATTTTCTACTCTTACAGGGTTTGTAGGATTGTAAGTAACTCTCTTGTACAAGTTGCTCACCTCTCAACAGTGATCCCGAAAAAACCAAAGAGAGCAAGGTATAGTAGACCAGACCAATATATTTTTATAAATAATGAATACCCATTTGCAAGTATATACGTATATAGTTCAAAACGAAGTGGGAGTGCTTTATATCCTTCATGTCCAATATGGGCATGTATTCCCGTACCCCATACACGCACAATACTGTAGTGGACAGAGGAATACGATAATTACATAACTGATCATGTATTGCACAGCACATATACTATGCTTAAGATTGACAATGGCACTGTAATTCCTTTTAGAAATTCCTATCTCATGTATATGACGGATCGATGGAACCAAGCTAAAGAGAGTGGCCAAGTTCCAGGTTGTTAACATAAAATATGAAAATTTTTTATCAAAGACTGCAATTGAACGACAGTTGCTGCCACACTAAACTACACTTTCTTTTCACTTCTTGTAATATGCTGCAGCAGTAATAAAGTACAATATGTAAACTTCATACGCAGGAAAACAAGGACAGTTTATTAGGCATGCAATGCATACATTTTCTATTACTGTACATGTTTCATGGTCATAAAATAACATTAGTTACGACTTGCATAAAGAGTATGACGGCAATAACTTTTACTATCGGTTACCGTTACCTTATAATGCCATCTTGAACATTGAAAATGAATGTGTACATTTATTAGGAGTGACATCGTATAACTGATTGTGGTCATTCATTGTATATTATTTAACTAATCTTATACGTCCAATTAGAAATCAGGGAATTCACCGAAGAATCATCTTCCAATTGGCGCAATATGAGCGAAGAAGAAAAAGAGGTAAAATACGAATTTACTTGCTACACTCGTAGCAAATCTAGGAATTTAATAAAGGAGAAAAATTACTTTGGTTATGTTGCCAGCTCTATTCATACGTGATAAAAGTAGCCAAATGGACATAAAAGGCTATAAGTGAAACCCCTTTTCGAAGTAGAGTATTTTATACAGTATGATACTATAATAAAATGACGACGCCCTTAAACAGCTGTGATTTATATGCATCTGTTGCTGTAATCTAAGTTTTTCAATGATATTTAATTATATATATTACTCAAAATAGGAATACCACCAACGAGCGCAAATTGATCGAAATAGATTCTCACGTGAAATGATGACATATAATGAATTATTAGAGGATAGAGAAACTCGAGAAGCTGTCGAAAGGCAAGAATTGGCGAAATTAAGGAAGAAAATTTCGTCAGCGGTCAAAAATCAGGTTATTACAGTCATGAACAATACTATTCGTCATCGTTTGTTACAAATCGTAACCTACAACTATGGTTATCATGATTAGCTCAAAAAACTTGGCTTTCCCGCAAAGAACAGCTTCTCACCGTTAGCTGCGTACATAAAAGAGAATTTTAATCAACGTCCTAGTAATATATCACCTCAGGCACGATATCTTAATATTATCGACTGGTTTTATTCAAGGATTGCTTCTAAAATCAATTTTGTAATACAAATTTGTATTTTATTTTCAATAGGATTGGTTAAAAGAGCTATCGAGCAACTATAGAAATTTAGACAGTGAATCTAAAGAAGTTAGTATCAATTTTAGTATTTTAGTGGTTATCACTATACTGTACTTGTATTAGATAATAATTTTTATGATGTTTGTGTAGCGTTATTCTGATATCGCGAGAAAAGTTAGAGAGCAGAGACAGCTAGAGTGTGAACGTTTGTCTGTTATGCACGGAGATCCTCTTTCAATCAAAGAAAATATTGAAAAACTCATGAAGAGGCGACCGGTAGCAAAGAAGCTACTGAAATGAAAAGGTTTATACTTAACATAAGCGCTCGGCGGTGGCTATGAATTATTAAAATTCAAATGTTATAATGTTCTGTAGAGTTACAGTTAATATCATATATCTATAGTAGAATTAAGACGATATAATTGCAATGCGATATTTTTGTAATGGTTTACATTCTTACAGCTTTATGCGAGATTTGGTGTAAACTTTTTTAATTTCATGCTTATTATCACATTGAAAGCGGCTTTATACTCATAATCGTAAATACTAATGCAGTTGTCTAGATTGTGTTAACTATTTTATTGAAGTGAAGTAAATATATATCACAGATGGTGGCGTCTACTATGTTCAATTCCTAAATACTCGATTCATGTAACCGTTATGAATTCCAAACTAACCTTTGACAACATTGAAATACCTGTGAAATAGTTAAATGAATATAGCAATCATTATCAGTGATAATGTGCACACCCAACCGCAAATAAAACCACTCCCAAATTCTTACTTAATTCAAAAATAAAATCGGTTTATAGTTTCAATCAATGGCTTTTTTTACGATTCTTGAAGTGTTCATCTGATATTTTATTATTCGTGCATCAAAATATTGCTGCATTTAAAATTGTTTAACATTACAATAGGCTATAGCTATCATTTTCGTGAAAAAATATAGTGTTCGAGGAATACTGGCGCGGTATATCTTCACCGCTACTATAATAAAGTCAAAATACACTAGCGGTACCATAAATTCCTATTATTATTACAATTGCTCCACGCATACTAATTATATTATTTATTTACTACTGGCAATAGTTTTCTTTCAAGATAGCAAATTACCTTTCTAGCATGCATTTACCTGTCATTCATGCTTGCTCATGATGATGCCTGGTGATTGAAATAGAATAAGTTACTCCATTGAGTGATTAGGCTAATATTAATTGCAATCTCAATATAGTCATGATCTTTTGCAGCAATCTTGATGTACTTTGCATTTTGTAGATTTCTGTTACTAATAGATTTTGATTGCGAAAGGTTGCTTGTTTGAATATTTACAAGACAGCGTTATCTATATTATACAATTTTGGGCACTGCTTAAACATAGTATAGGTCCTCAATTATTCCTTATCACTCAACATACCTTTCAAGCTAGTATTTTTCAAGTCTAACATATTGTAAATGCAATACCTGTGCATCATAGTTTAGCCAAAGTATTAGTACAGGGTAACAACCAAAAGGTGCAGTATTTGTAATTCGCGTCATTTTACAGTTTCGTTAGCTTATATTATTAATGGACTATGTAGCATTATAGTCTATACTAGCTTATATAGACTACAAATCAAGCATTCTGTGCTCTCTCATCCGAATTACAGATTTAAAAAATTAACAAAAATGAAATAAAATCCAAATTACGTTTATGTACGCGTGAATAAGTTCGTGGAATCAGTATGTGGCTGAATATGTTGCCAGAGTAAGTTATTCTACGTACATAGTACTTTGTATAATCTCAGCTGAGATTGGGGAGTCCGATGCAGACTAAAACTGTAGCTGACTGTACCCTATGCCATATTCAGATAAATGGATACGCTTCCGAGTAAGCAGCTTGTAAGTCAGCAAATGATAAACTTAAGGAAAAATTAATTCTATATCCAATCGTTTGATAACGATCGTATAAATAGAAATAATAACAAAAACTTTTGATGTTGTGAAAGCATTGAATCGATGACATATTCATACCTATTTTCTACAAGTACATAATATCAATTTGCATTTGCAAATAGCTGACTTTCTTGCGATGTACTGTAATACAATATGCCGTAGATACGAGTATAATATATATTCAGAGCATCTAGATATAAATTTTATTACCTATGCGCATAAAATATCAATGGCAGGTACTCTACAAAAGTATGAAATACCGTTGATAATTTACAATTATATTATATGATTAAATAAATAGATTTTTTAATTTTATGACCCTAAAGCCTTCCATTTTTGCTACCATTTAAAAAACTTGTGCTTTCAATTAACAAAGAAGGTTAATAAAAGCTTTCGGTAAGAATCCTCTACGCTAAAGTAAACAATTCAATTTTTATACTATTTTTCACTATTATTATCTAATAGAATAATTAGAATAACGTTTTATAATAACTTATATGTGTTACAAATGCCAACTAATGAAACTATGAGAATTCACAGTGAATGATTTCACGCAAATGACTACACTGAGGTAAATATTTTATCTATAGCTACACTACGTGCTTAATACTATAATACAATCGCTAATAAAATCTACAAATGTTCTAATAAGTCTATAGTATGAATTTTGTAGGATTGCTAACAACAACTTTAATTTATACACATGCCTACCCGATTCTAGTACCAAATAACTAAATTAAATTAAAATTTCAATTACCAAGAAATCTTTACAAGATACACTGATATGAATAAAGACCAAGTTCTAACTGGGGAGATTAGCAAGGCCATGAGACCATATGTATAATAGAAAATAAAACAATTTGACAATTGCCATATAAATGAACCAACCATAATTATGAATAAAAATAATTTATGATGTAATACGATATTAAAAGCCCTTTTCATAATTTTAAGACCCTGATTCAAATTAAAAGGACTTCCATCCGGCGATACATCAATTGGATCCAATAATAAAGCGATGGAAAATGTAACAGGCAAGTTAAAGAATAGCAGCTGTGTATCATAAATACAACGATAAATTTTAGTAACAAATCTAAGTCTTTGTTGAATAATATATGTATAATGTAGCTATCACTTAAAAATTTTCAATGATCTAACTACAGATACGTTAGCCAAACATATGATTATAAAATTTACATTAGATAAGAAAAGATGCAATACCTGAAACGTTCCATGAACGTAAGTTAAGTTTTCATAAATAAATTGACCTTGAACATATAATCCATAAACATTCATAAAGCCAATACTATCGCTTAAAATATAGCCAATAAACCATGGTCCTTTTAATTTGTAATTTTAAACAAATTTATATTCCGTCAGTGAATAACAATCAATTTTAACATAAAAATGATCAAATTACTAACCTCCAGCTACAATATAAAGTTCTTGAAGAAGAAGTGAATAATAAATTCGACCATTTTGTGCGAGTCGAAGAAAAGGCCTGGTTAATGGATTAGGGCGGTAATTCATTGAACCTAACAGTCAAAAAAATGACGGCATTAGTTCGCACAGCGATGGTATTTTTAATATTTAATAGCTGAACTGTTACACAGTCTTACCTGTAGAAGATTTTATACGAAAATATAGCAATGGAATCACGTTAACCACCGCTGCGACAAAGAATAAAATACGAAACTAGCCAAAAACATTAGACAGTTTAAAATAAATACAACTCATCAAAGTAGGCCTTACCTACTCAGTCCTCATAATTATTATGAGGAAGTAGATTTAGCCGAATAAATCGAAATCTAACTGCCCGATTCTCTATGACTTTCCCTTAACACTAATGTTATCTAATCTTATAATTCCTTTAACTAAAGTAACATAGGACACATATTAAAAGTGTAAAATGAAGAATCATCTTAACATCATTACAGAACGACATGCTAATATCTATGAGTTTCCCGAAGCAATCAAGTTATCGTAGTAATGTTTACTCAAAGATGTCACTATATTAAAGCGACATCAATGCTGCGACTATTCTATAAGAGGTATTATCGTCCTGTTAATTCTTTACAATATCAAATGCTTAGATCCTATACTTACGAAAAAGTTATTATCATGAAGTAAGATTAAAGAAGGAATGACTTCTAGTGATGATCGAGCGCCATCAACAGAAAATTCCTGAGATACTTGTTGTACACGTCCATGTGAATCCTACAATAGTAAGCGTAAGCGCACTATTAAGCTGTCAAGTTAGAATTTACTCTGCATGATGCAGTTTTAAATTGCTTTTATACCGTAGCAATAACAGTTATAGTGTGGAAGCCATTTTTATATCGAGCAGGATTCCATTTCGTAACATACAATGGTCCTTTAACATTACGAACTTTGCCATCAATCTTTTGATTATCTATCTTCACAGTAATATTTGTGATTGGCGATGTTGAAAAAATTAGCATTCTAAAAAATTTTTATAAAATTCAAACAGATGGATATCAAATAAAAAACTTCACGAGTTAAAGTTATGAAGCAATACAGAGGAAAAGATTATTAAATCTTTCTTCTTGAAGGGATTCGTATATAAGATCTCCTCTCTATGTCTGCAACTGAATTCGTACAGTACCTTACGTGAGTAGAATGCATGATACGCAACGATGGCTCATGAACTGGAGCAGAGAAGCGTGCATCTTTAGGATTAGTAACAATTATAACCGGCCAATCTCCATGCTGATTGTCAGAAAACGATAACAGATCGTGGTCTATAGCCACAATTCGATACCTACAACCGTTACGTAAGGTAACGTTTAATAAGAGTAAGTAAATGGTAAATGAATACGAATTTTATAACATATCTTCAGTACTTTCTGTTGTCTTTCCAATCCCCTAACTCTAGTTCATATTGATTTTCACCATTAACGGCATACATCTTTGTTACAAGATCTTGTAAAGTATGCAAATGGCCACAAAGATATGCGATGCCATCCCTTTTCATTAAGGTATTAAAAGATTTTGATAAAAAAAATTATTGACTATTACTTAAAAATTTCAGGTGTCAACATGAAACACCTTATAAAGATACATCACAAAATGACTGTTATCTACAGAAATGCACTAATAACTTCAATAATATTTCACCTAATTAAATGTCGAATTCCAGGCTGTGGAGAAATGATACAAGATAAAGGATAATGTCCAATCCAAATGGTCATATTATCAGATTTACTGGCCTCAGCTTGCTTTTTTATCAATTCCATTCCTTTCTAAAGTCGTGAAGTATAAATAAAGTTAATAGAAAACGATCATGTGATGTGACGCTCATGCCGGGTATGGGACAATAAGATATTAAATGTACGTATTATGGTTACTCTGATTATTTTTTTGAGTCTAATTTCATTAAAAATATACGGGATGTAGGAATACAAAGGCTACTTTTAAAACTGTAAATTTTACTAAACTCAATACCATTTTATCAAGGATTTTAGGATCTCCAATATTCATCTGTAATGTAGCCAAATACTAACCTTATCAAATGATCCGAAAAAATTGTACGGCCTCCTAGGTCCAGGATCAGGAATAGCATTTAATGTATTGAAAGAGTAGACACCAAAACTGGTATTGTAAGTAAATCTACAGGAAGAAAGTCGGCATTTTTCTATGCCACCACTAGCAGAATATAACCTGTAATACAAGATAATAATCATGTAGGTCCTGCTTATTACTTTTCTTTCAGATTGGAATCAAACGAACACCTAAAGTAGAGCATACTCATTGGAAGATAATTCTTAAGCAAAGGCTTACCGATAATAGTCCCTTTTTCTCGAGAGAGCAGATACATCAAAAGCATCTAAAAATGAGATAAAAAGAAAACTTTTTTAATTCAACGTTATGTTCGTGGAACATATAGATTATAGTTAGTTATAATTGCATACAGATGCTCGTTATGCCGTACACGTGTAAGCATTCATTGCAATCAACGTAAATTGTATATGATTTAACTACCTACAGTACATGGGTACAAAATACAGAACTGTTCTACCAAACTAACCATGATTTCCTTGTAAATCAATCCATCGCATCTTTCGGACATTACGACATTGATGAAGTACGTTATTGTACATTTCCCATTCTTTCCTATATTGTGTGGATGATAGTTTATACTGGTCTTTTGCATCGGTGAGATCCCCTATTAAGCAATAGATCAATGAAAAAGCTAACGACTTATTATTAATCCTAATGATATATTCTATGTACACGCATAGCACGAATAGCATTAGGCCTCAAATGGTATCCTGTTAGAAACTGTACTATAAAACATTTGGTGATACCGGCCTTACTGCTTCTGAGACGCACACATCATCAGTTAATTGAAGTGATCAGTCTATGGTGGAGGGGTTGATAATAAATATCTCTATTTTTTCTCTACCTGTTACAATAACTAGTTCCGGCTTTATAACAGATAAACTTTGCTGGCAAAACGTTATCAAATCATCGGCACGTTTAGATCCTTGCCATTTACTAATATGGATATCGGAGATCTAAATAAGTAGATTACAATTGGTTTTTATTATAATTTTTTTATGGCCATGCTGTAAAGTGCTACTTCAAATACAAATATTTATAATCATACTCTAATTTATTACAGCGACAAAATGACTCAATTACGTAATTATGGTTTACGTCCTAGCATCTATTCAGAATTAAACTACAGTATCACTATAAAAATTAACGAATTTTTGTACTACAAGAATGATGTCATTCCGAGGGATATTTATTTCTTTGGTTTAGTATCTACATCACATCATGGCATAGCTACCATATTAATCTACTAGGAGAATAATATTTTGTTTAAAATGGTTGAGCATATTATACCTTTTAAATGCTTAATCTGTGAAAATAACATTTTTGCATACGATATACGATGAGTTGAAAGATTTCTATATAAGTTAATTTCGCTTTAAACGTATTATTACTATTACCTTGCCATTAACTTATTAACTAATTACAGTACTGAGAAATTATTGATTAATTATATAATTATCAGTTAGAATATAGCATCAGAAGGCTGTATTAAAATAATAAGTACTCATAATCAATAAGTTTACGATCAATAATGATCTACATTCTTCGGTTTAAGAAAAACAAAGCTATACGTGTGATTGCCATTTTAAGAAGTTATCATAAGTTATTCCGTGTTTAATTCCGTTATCGCTGTTTTAAAATAAAATTAATTAATAACTAATAAGAAATATTGTGTTAGATTACTGCACTATAGCACACGGCCTGCCAGAGTCTACGAGTCTACAATACGATATGTAGTACAAAAAGGCAGGTAAAAGACGTTAATCATTAAATGTAGATCCTTGTGTATGATAATAGTTCTCATATGAATATATACTTCGTAAGATTTAACTATGCATTTAGTATCCAAATAATATCGTTAATGCTATATTGCTGTACTCTATCATTAGCACAACCTGGTGCACACTCAAACTATAAACCTGTATTGTATGCTAAGTTGTGATATTGATCTATATGTTTATAATACGTGGCAAGAGTTCAGGTCATGACAGAACAACAAGGTGTCAAAGTAAGGCTATGATTTTGCAAAGTAATCATTGATAGCCGGCTTCTAAAATTGATGCCATCATGAATTACGTTAATAGCCCATTTTTGTATTTGAAGAAATCACAGCATTTTAGATAGACTTATCCAAAATAAGCAATGATTCAATAATCCATAATGCTATCGACAGACTTGTCACTGTACTGTATAGCGTATACTGTACACTGTACAGTGAGTCAGGGGTTCCACCATGGCATTCTTGCAATGCCTTTGTTACTATTACGACACAACAGTAGACATTACTATATTGGACAGCAATATAGGCATTTCTGGCTATCCCTTAGAATATTGCATGTTTTACTAATAATATTATAGAGTATACGTAACAAAATTAGACTACTAGACCCAATTTCGTGGTTTCATCAACAAATTAAGTACTTGACTGGAGTATACCATAACTGTACACAGTGTACATAGGTAGATGTGGAGCATGTTGGACAAGATTTTGAGGGGGATTATGTGACAGTAAATATTGATTGATAACAAATTATCTCTACTAACAGTCTGCTAAGATAATGCCACATCGATTTTAACGTAGAAAGAATATACCTGAACAAACCAAAAAATGTTGGTTAATTGATCTCCTGGATAAGGTGGGATGGATTTTTTCAATGGTCTATTTACCGCCAAGCTGCCATCAATTAATGCACGATACCAAGATACTGTGGCGTATAACCATATCCAAACTGTGACCAATAATGCGAATAAACCAAGGAAACATACAGTTTTTAGGGTAGTTAACATGATTCTTCACTGCTACGCCTATCCAGTTGGTATTTGACTTGCTTAATCCTCGACTTGTGGCCAAAAGGTTGCAATTCCAATATGATTTGTGTCGGTATTTCAATGCGTTTTTTTCTACCTGTGCAATGAATTGAAATTTGGACGATCAAGAAAATCAACTGTAAAAAAAAATTGAAGCAAATCCAGCTGACAACTAGTACTACACGGTATTATGATCAATCCTAGGTGATATTTACGCTGTCAAAAGGTAGAAATAGATCCAAAGCAGGAGTTGTAAAGCCACAGAATGTTAGCCATGAATTGACTTATTCATTATGGAATCATTATAGTGAAGGCATTGAGTGGCAGTCGAGAGAAGAAGTCGTTCACTACCTTCTTATTAATTAGTATAGCAATGATACACTTGCTTAGTAGAAAATGATTTTGTATCAAAAGTAGTCCACAGTATGATGTACTAACTGTTGAATGGGCACTTGTAGTGCAGTTTATCCTGCAATGAGTATCTCATTATCCATTCAACGCAGATTATAAAATGTCACCCCTCTCCAGCTCGCCTTGACCTTACACGACATGGTTTTCACTAGGGAGGTAGAGACGAGTGACGTTTCTAGGGCTGACAATTCATTTTGCACGCTACTACATCTCATGGAGAAGTTGACTGCATGCATGTCACCCTTCCAGCAGTGAACGTGCAATGTGTATCTCATTATCCATTCAACGCAGATTATAAAATGTCACCCCTCTTCAGCTCGCCTTGACCTTACGCGACATGGTTTTCACTAGGAAGGTAGAGACGAGTGACGTTTCTAGGGCTGACAATTCATTTTGCACGCTACTACATCTCATGGAGAAGTTGACTGCATGCATGTCACCCTTCCAGCAGTGAACGCGCGTCACCTTGTAGTGACTGACTGGCTGACGTTACCCTTCTTCTTATCACTGTAAAGTCTATTATTGTATTGTTAATCATTAATTGTTATATTATACTAATTAACAATAAGTTTTGACTCAACCGGTTGCTATTCTATGCGTAGCAAGTTAGCAACACGTAACCAACCGGTTGAGTCAACTTGACACACCTTCACCTTTGAAATCAGCGGTAATCGTATACGTGTGTATTAGTTCACTCGGTTTCTCCAGTCTACAGTACAGCAGAGTTCCGTCCAAACGCCATTTTCCAACTCCAAATCTGATCCAAAAAATAAATAAGTCAAAATCCAATACGAGCAATAGTAAGAACGTGTGTATTAGTTCACTCGGTTTCTCCAGTCTACAGCAGAGTTCTGTCCAAACGCCATTTTCCAACTCCAAATCTGATCCAAAAATAAAAAGTCAAACTCCAATACGAGCAATAGTAAGACCGATAGGGCCTGTTGCAAGATAGGCATGTAGAGTGGAAGCGATATGGATAGCGAAAAATGAAATTCTTTTGCGTTTTTACCTTCTGTATTGAAGAATTTTCATTGGTAGAGCTAATATCGGTCTTTAGGCAAACTCTCCCATCAAGTAATGCGATAGGAATGATGTTTACCTCTATCGCCATACTCTATTCAACAGTAGATCCAACAGTATTCAGTCTGTATATCAGCTACAAATACTGGTCATCAGTGAAATTATTACTTTCAATAGATACAACGATAGCCGTTGTATATGAGTGTTGCCAAGATACGTAGAGGATATCCATAAAAAGGAACAGAGAACAACCCATTGATCAACTAGCTCAAATGATTATGTTTCCGGAGCTTGCAGTGCTGTTGTCGTCGAGATATTCCCTTATTCACATACAAACAGTAAATAAAGGATGACTCGTAATACTGCTGATGTAAGATATTACGTCAAGATTGCATAAACGCTTGGGGGAACTTTTCGAATTTTGATGGTAGAAATAGTTATTCATCTTCTGATGTAGGCGTAGTAATAAAAATATAGTAATTCTGATATGCTCTGTATTATACAAATACTCAAGAAACGAGATATTTTTTTTAAATAATGCAGTAGATACACCACTATTTCTGTGAACGAATCATTCATCTCCTTCAATTATGTTGCTTAATGAATCTATATTGATCAATCCTTAAATTAAGTTATATAATATATATATTATATGAAAATATTACTGCTAGGCATATTTTATTTGATCAAGTTTGGCAGAATAAGCGTGGTTGTGGGCGAGATATCGTATAGATTATCACATGACGTATTTTATATGTATTGACGATCAAAAGAATTCTTTATACAAATGTGGATAAAATATGACATTACCTTATCGTTTCAGAGTCTTTCACCTGTAATTTATCGAATCTATTGCTAAATCATCACTCTAATCATAGATCGCTACTATCAGCAACACAACGTGCATTATGCTTGCAATTCTACTACTGTTCTGAACATTCGTAGAATATTCACTTTTTGCCTTGATTCTATATATAAAAATTGAAATCCCTGCATGCTATCTAAATTGTCTATTCTTCTAGCAAAAGTTGATTTGATTCATTGGAGAACAGCATTGCTATTTACACAATCTTGTACCCTGCTAATAATCCTCGCACATTTTACAACTTGATTGAATTCGAGATATTGGATGACAATCCTTTTTATACTAAATTCATCTAACTTTAAATTTTTAAATTTTTATCAACATAACTGGTCATAAAATTACGATAATTATAATATAGGCATTAGGTGCAGATTATACAATACTTGATTGCTTTATAGAGATAACTGAATTAATCATCAATCTCTAATGGCATAAAATTCAACAAAACATTCTAGACAGTTATTCCATACCTATAACTAAGAAATCTGTTGACGGTATAACTGTTCAAATGAGTAATTATAATTGTAACAGTTGCCATCATAGTTTACTATAGCTTGAAGCATAGGTTATCAATGACGATTTAATATCCTTGATTGAAACACAACCTGCAAGTAATAACATAAAATTATATTAATTTTTTATATACCGATATCACATGCTTACAGCGTAAATTGCGAACGAAGATAGTACAATATTAAATAATGTGGGTCTACAACTCCGTAACGGATAATTCACTAATTAGTGATACCATTTGATCAACCACTAACAACTAGATCAAGATTCATATCGTCTTGCCAAATTTTAGACTAAACGCAGTAGCTAATAGCGAAAGATCAATTTTACACCTAAGCTAACATCAAATTAGCCGATAAATTACAAGAGTCATTTCAAAAAGGAAATGGTATGAGTAATAAGAATAGTACACAGGTAATAAATTAATTTATGCCTATGTCTATCATTGTTATCCTTTGATAATCCATATTACATACTAATAAGATTAATAAGTGACAGTACGTATACTGAGGCAAATAGGCTTACCAGATAACTGCATCGTTCGATGAAATTCTTGTTGCAATAGCTGCAAAACTTTCTCAACACCTTTCTGTCCCTGTATAGAATATAAATATATTAAAGACAAAAAGCAATCAAAGAAAATGACTTCAAAGCTCATCCTGAAAATTACATTGCACATTCTACGATGCACAAAATGTGTATTCTTGCATGCAATAAAGTAAAATTAGCTTCGCACTAAAGTTAAGCATACATTATAAACGAGTCCCCATAGTATCGGCCTGCCAACAAATACAGCTCGGGCTCCAAGTGCGATGGCTTTAAATACATCCGTACCAGTACGAAAACCTCCATCTGCATAGATTTCTGCTCTATTATTTACCGCTTTGACAATTTCTGGCAAGGCTTCAATCTAGCGTATTTAAAAATTTTAGAATATCTGCATTAGAGATAACTACATTACAAAATAATCATGGTAATGATAACTGAAAAGTAAAATATATCTATAGTATAATATCTATGATATCACAATACTTACAGCAGTTGGCACTCCATCCAATTGTCTTCCTCCATGATTTGATACCCAAATACCTTCGACGCCAACCCTGACTGCCATTTCAGCATCTTCAGCAGTTAAAATACCTTTTACGATAACTGGAAGCGAGGTAATTGACTTTAGCCAAGTGATATCTTTCCATGTTAATGATGCATCCATTTCCGATACAAAATATCGCGATAATTCAGAGTCGCTTTTCTTGTTTTTTTCTATATGCAAGGTTACTTTCTCAAAATTACCAAGCGAGAGATGCGGAGGTAGGTGAAATCTAGAAATGTCAATTGGCTTAATTTGTGTGTTTACTAGTACTGTATCAATGATGTAAAGATAAGAAAAATTTGATATACGTATCTAATATCTACACTGCTAGATATTTAACTGACCTATTCCTAACATCTATCCTTCTGTTTCCTAAAACTGGTGCATCAACCGTTAATACTAACGCTTTATACCCAGACATTTCAGCCCTTTTAACAAATTGCCGCGTTATCTCGCGGTCCTTTACCACATATAACTGAAACCATCGCAAGGTATTTGGTGAAGCTTCTGCAACGCTTTCCATACTAGTTGTACTTAGTGTACTTAGAGTCATACAAGTCTTCAAAGAATCAGCAGCTGTTTTGTATAGTTATATGGAGTTCATAATACATAGATTAGCAACTTTTTAAGTATTATGTTAACTTGCCATTCACAAAGTGTCTGATCTTGATTGATTTTAAATACTAGTGTGCAAATTAGACTAGCGTATACTGTATACTAGGGACTACTAAAAGAAAGGTACGCAAACTAAAATGGGGACTCATCAATTAAACACCAAAGTAAATGCCCAAAACGATGCTTATTATTATTATCAATACTAGCAAGATGATTTTGCACGGACAGAACGTAACATGGTGATACTAAAAAGTAAGCAAAGTAAAATGGGACTCATCAATTAAATACCTCAATGAAGGCGCCCAAGCGATGACTATTACTATATACAATATAACATTATAACATTATCATTACTAGCATTTACTGTATACCGGCCACGTTGCTGATAATGCGATTATGAATTACACTAATGATTCATTATAAATGTAAATCAGGTCTAAATACAATCTTACCTTTGACAGTAGCAATTTCTCCATCAGGATGAGCCATTCGTTGCATCGCAGAAGGTGCTATTCCTACAGGAAAAGAAATTTTCTGACCAAGGATTGTCGTACTGCAGTCGACTTTAGTTACATCAACCAGCATACGCGGTCTCAACCGTAGTCTTAATCATGAAGGCAAAAAAGTCAAAATGATGATAACAGTTATTTGCAGGTCTAGGCTATCTCGTAGCTAGCAAAATTGTATGATATCTAGCTACACTATTACAGTATTTACTATCTAGTACGAAAGATTAGCATGGGAGAAAAATACCCGATTGCCATGCAGCAATGGTTAAGATCTGCCATACTCATGAACTGCTAAATGCTGCAATTTAGTCATGAATCACTCACTGATCAACCACTAAAAATCCAATCAACTACTGTATCTTCGTGCGCCAATCAACGCATCATCTAATACCGGTACTAACTTCTTACAGGCATTGATGTTATCATTTAAGGTTTCCTCATCATCTGCTCCGGAATCATAGTAACCCAATGCATTTTTATTTAGGTGGGCTATTGCATATTTTTCCACATCACGCACGCAAATAACTTCGGGTAAGGCCATGATTGCAAGGTTGCTGTTACTGCATCGGGGTCAAAGCTTGCTATCCTTTCTATTTACAGTACAGAACGGGGGGGGGCATCTACTGTAGATTTGCGTTATTCGTCCACAAGTTAATTTCTATCAGCAGATATCCTGGTTAATGACATAGTAGTACAGTATAGCATGAGCGAAAGCATTGATTTAAACGTCGCAAAACATAAAATTCATCATATTAATTAATTAATTAATTATTACTATAGTGTATGGTAAGCAGGTTGGCCATTCTTGAATTACTATACTACTGTGTACATAATGATTTGTCAATAAACTGGACAATACTGCATACTAACTATACTTTGCGTATGGTAATCGTGCTCTAGAAAGCCTCTAGAAAGTACTGTACTACCGTTGTTGTTCGCCATCGAGTAACAAGTCTATACTGGTTCCCGACTTCTGGATCATCAGCTCTTATGGCGACAGCATGGATCAAACTGATTGGTGTGAAGATAATGATTTTGCTCTAGCTGTAGCCCTTAGCAAGCAAGATTCACCAGAAAGTAAGAATAGTAAAGATCCAACTGTTTCAATAGTCGATGATTATTGGGAGATTAACGATCCCAATCCGGATATTCGAGCGCTATTTCTCCAGTATAATCAGTCATATTTTTGGGGTAAGCTATTAAGTGTCGAAGTCCGATGGAGCCCAAAGATGACTTTGTAAGTAATTCTCTGTATATTATCGTTATTTTACAAGTTCTTATCCTAACTTATTTCAGTATTCAATAATAAATTGTAGCGTGATTGAAATAGAAAGGTGTCAAACATTTGATACAGTATGCGTATATTGTCCTTGGTCGCTATGCAGATGTTGACATGACACAAGCACTAGTTGACTTTTAATGATAATCAATGAGGTTTATAGTAATTTTCTTCGATGATTTATCAAGGTGTGCCGGACTATGTATCTATCAGAAAAAAGCTGGCTATTGCTCAATCCGTTTAAGCCAACCATTACTGAAATTTCGACCAAGACGAGATCTTGTACAAACGCTCTTGGTAAGTAAAGATCGCATACTGTAAGTATGGAACTTTACCAATGATTTTCTTTGCAGCCATGATGATAATACAACGTTAATAACCGGTAATTTACTTATGTTGGACGCGTAATACTATCAATTTGTCACTGCATTGAAGCATGAAATGGTTACGCTTAGAACATTTGCAAGTAATTAGAACTACATTATACTCTATACTATCATCAGTAAAGGATATACAAGTATTCTACAAGTTACAGCACTTGATCTTATGGGCAATATCAATTTTGGGGAGTCTTACAATTTTTTCAATGCTGTCGACTATAAACGTCAGCTGTAATGTGCTGTAGCAAGACATCATATAGAACTAATAAATGATCCAGCGATTTTATTAGTGCTAAATAATACATGATTCCATAACCTCTTATGTTATTTTTTCAAAATTTTAGCATGAAATGATCCATGCTTACCTCTTCGTGATACATGATAATAGGGTAATATGCATAACTTTTATCTTGCCATTTGCGAGCATACGCATACGTATATTGTCGGTATCATTTAAGCTAGGATAGAATAACGTACTCGTATTTCTCTATCATAATTTATTCTATTAGGATCACGATGCTCATGGACCATGCTTCTTGGAACACATGCATAGGATCAATAGTGCTACTGGAGCTAATATAACAGTTCGTGTTGTTGAATTTGCATAATTGAACTTACGGATTGACATACTTTACGGAGTAACCTGTCACTGTAACAGATTCTTTTCTTGCCTGATCTAATTTATAATTGTAATTTTTCTTTTTCTGCAATTTAATTTGCATTGCCCTGCTTAGGTTTATCACAACTTTCACGATGAGGTAAAATTCGGTTGATTTAAGTCAGCTTCTGTATACTGTACTGTATGTCAAAAATAGCAATGCTATAGGATGTAAGCGCCTTTTGTATTGCAATTGTAGACAAATATTGCCTACGATGTAATGCAGGATAGTTCACTAGTTAATTCTTTGTACCCTAATTTAATAATGATCTGTATCAGTATGCATTGACAATCTGTTTACGCAGGCAAAGATATTTATTAACTTTATTTCATACGATGGCTGCATACCTTTAATTGGAAAATACAGTAGATCAGAGTAATATCTTATTTATGATTAGGTTAATGTCTACAGACAACACTGGTGGCGATGTAATGGGCCTTGTAAGGATCGTTCGCCATTTTTTGGTTACGTAAAAAGAGCTATGAATAGAGCTCCATCCAAGAACGACCCTTGGTGGAGCGATCATCAACAAAGCTGCGGTGGTACATTTATAAAAGTCAAGGAGCCTGAAGGCTACGGAGAAAAAGGCAAAAAAAGAAAAAAATTGGATAAGGACAATGATAATCAAACCAAAATAACTGATTTCCATCATGCTAAAAAAGTGAATGATAACATCGATCGTGCTCAAGGTACCAGTATTAGCGATGGTTCACGTAGCATCAATAGCGAAAAGTCAGTCGATAACGATAATCAAAACAGCAGTATTTCATATGCAACTATTCCATTCTCTGGAAAAGGTTATGTATTAGGATCAAACGATGATAAATCTAGTACCGCCAATTACCGATTTCCAGCCTTAAGTCAACACTCTGCTGCTACTACTCACCGAACTCATCAAATAAGTGAAGGAGTAACTAATGATTGCATCAATAAATTTGCTGTTTATGAAAAGTCTCAAATCTCTAATCCAAGACAACTTAGTAAAATTAAAGAAAATCCTGTAAATGTGTGCGATTCAGCAGATACAATCCATAATATTAATAGCTCGAGTAAGCTGCAAATTATAAGTCTCTTAGATACGTCTCTCGAATCCAACCCAGAAAGCGAACCTACAGCACAGAAAGATAACAGTCGTTATCAAGGCAATTTTACAGACAGTGATGATGAAATATTATTTATAAGGGAAAAATCAAAAATCAGAGATGGAGAAAGTTCGCAAGAACGTAAACCACTCTCAATGGATTCAGTGGCGGATGAACTTCGTTATGTTAAGTGTCCGATTTGTCACCGAACAGATATTCGGCATTCAATAATTAATGAGCACTTAGATAATTGTCTCGTGCTCAAAGAAAATTAGTCTGTATTGACTTATCCGTGGCTTTACTACTTTAGGATTGATTATATATTTCATAACGTACAATGCAGATGCCAACAACTGCGCATTTCTTGTAAATATGTAAGATATTTTTCAGTATATAAAAATTAAGAGCATATTCTGTAAAAAGAATAGTAGTACAAGCAGTCTATTCGCACTATTAAATATACATTCACTGCACTTACTATAATTACAAGTAAAATTAGATCAAAAGCGTTCGTGGATTCGAAAATCCAGGAATAAAAATATAATTGAAACTAATCACCTAAGAGTATTGTGCACTGATTACTTATTAAACATGAAAAAATCTGCTTAGTGTCTTAGCAGCAGTGTAAATATTTAACCAAGAAGACTTAGACAGCTTGTAAGAAATTGAATTCATTATCGACGAATAAAAGTTTTCAGAAAAGTCAATTATTTTATTGTATCTGTCTAATATATTCCAACTAATATCAAACTAATCAATCATTCATCACATCAAAATGAGCAAGCAAGTTAAACTGTAGATTATAATATTATAAATTCGTAGTAAAAGTTAGAACGCAAATAAAATTATTAAAGCCAGATCCAAGTACATGCTTTAGGTGCGTATGAAAAATTCAATAAATATAAATAATTTTACAAATTATTAATACTCATTTTCATAAAATCGAACATTGGTTTCACCATTGCAACCTTAACCTGTCAAATGCTAATACAAAAACGTTCCAATAATACAATATAAGTACATCTAAAGTTAATCAGAGCACAACTTTAATAGTTTGTGCATTTTTAATGATCGAAAAAGTGCAAGTAAAAGTTTTGTCTGGCAAAAATATGTTTCAACTAATGTACAACTGCTTGAAGTTGTAAAATATTATATAAAGCAAATTAGCTCAATATTTTGTTCAATTGTTTGTATACAGTGCTGTATTTCGAAAGATAGTACTAATTCGATTTTTATTCTATACAAGTCCGAAGCCTTCCGATCCCTCATTTATAGCCAAGATGAGGCATCTCTTAAGCTCTGCAGATGAGTCGTACTCCGGTAGGCATAACTGATTAAAACTATAGCATAAAAGAGGTAGGAATAATTTAGAACTATATTATATTATTAAAGTGATATAAAATAATAATGACAAGATATAAATTTACAATACCAAGTATGAGATGTCGGTAAGCCGTTTTGAACAAGAGCAGGGGATATTTGAAGACTCGGTCTAAGTTCCTTAAATCCTCCAGGCGGAAGTTGCGATGAGCCAGTAACAAATTGCAGTAATCGAGCTAGCTCTTCTTGCGAGAATGTACCTACAATAGCCCAAAACCATCTGAGAATCTAATATGAAAGGAGAAAAAAATTAGAGTCATATCAGCGTACGATTATCTCGTGCAGATCTAATAGCTCCATTACGCAAAATTTACCTTCCCAAAAGAACGTGAAGAATCGGTAGCGATGCAGTTTAATTTCATATCGCTAATACTTATATTCCCTATTCCGCACATCAGAAGCTATGAAAGAATAAAGTAATGTTAATTTATAATTAACGCGATAGTCTACATTTAATAGGATAGTAACTATATCACATATCAGCAACGTAGAATTTAATTAATTTTTGGATGTCTAGTTTTATTCACTTTACAAATGATAAAGCTATACTATATTAAGAGCAATCTCTGTAATCACCTCTAGCTCGCTTTCATCAAATATTGCCAGTAAATTTTCTGGGATCAACAGGTGAACGCCTAATATAGTATATAACAACATACCTTTGTCAAGGTTACCGTACATGCAATTTTTAAAGTAATTCACAACTATTGTCCACCTTTCAAAAAGTGATCCATCTCGCTAGTAAATTTTTTTGCAAGTCTGTGTTGCGATAAGAGATTTAGGTATTCGATTTTATTTTCTTCAGTAACCGTAATAAATCGCCCATTGGATTTTAAATCTACTACCTACGTAGTAACAAGTTGTAATTAGAGTACTAATTACAAAGACTTTTCCAGTCAGAAAAAATTGATACATAGTGCAATTTCAACAATTCATTTACCTTAACAACATTACCAGAACTACTATATTCTTCTTCTGCAAATGTCAGGTTTAATTCCGTTACATCATTATCTAAGATATATTTTATTTTCGTTTTATATAGTTCCGGATCATCACTCGAGAAGTACTAGTCATTCAAATTATTATAAAAGCTTCAATTAAAAAGTTATCAACGTTATAAATATTTATTTTGATTACTATCTATACAGAGCATACGTTCAAAATTTTATTTATTAAATCTTAGTAGAGTATTACTTACATCGTAGCTAACTCTCAATCCTAGCATCTGCGCTAAAAAAGATCTACTGAATCTTGCTTTAACCAACAAGTGATAAGCTTCACCCTGAGCTGAATCATATAAGCATTTACCCACAATTTTTCCGCACAGCTCGTAGAAGGACAGTGGGTAAGAATCCGCTCTTTTTGTATTCGGATGAATCTTAAAGTCGATGAAGTAAATGCATGTATATTCGCGCTGATTAACACCTTGAAGTAGCCTGCTTGCATGTAGTATTACAACAAGCTATATTACTTACCAATGCTTGTTTATTTTCAATATCGAATGTTGTAAATAAGCCATTCTCAGAAGGTGTAAATAGCTCCGTATTTAGAATTTCGAACAGTTCTCGTCTTACACCTCCCCAATCAAGAGCTTCTTCTAATTCAAAACTAACTTCAAAGTTATGACACCAATCGGAAACATCGAATCTTGCAGTTTTGCTCATAAACTGAATCATCATGAGAAGGAGACTTCATCAATATATCGCAACTGTATTATTGAGGATAACAATACATCGCAAGAGATGTATAATTCGTAGCCTTTCCAATACACTCCGATGCATTATAATGCCAGACAGATTAACCTTATCGTGTGTAAAATAAAGTAATGCATTTTTCTTTACTTACGCTCTTTAAAATCTTCTTTCGATTAAGATTAGTAATGCGTAGCTTCGTAAAAGCGCGAGAAGGATGAGAAGCATGCACTTTTCGAACTTCTTGATAAAAAAATGATCTTTTGTGCTGAAAGCTTTCCGATCCTCCTTTACGAATGAAAGTATAAAATAGTTAAAGATTTTACCAATATTTTGTGTTTACTTTTATTATAATAATGCCGTTAAAATAACCGATATGATCCCTTACCAAGGCTTCTTTGTAGATATCTATTAAAAATTGCTACTAAAATATTTCGCTTTTCACACCATATAGTAACAGGAGGTTGTAGCCCATCACTAATCGTAAGTATGTGAGGATCACAGCTATGGGAACTACTGTAAGAAAACTGTAACAAAGAGCAAAAACATTCCTTTTATTTTCATATAATTTGCTGTAAAAATAGAACTGAAAGTGTTGTGTATCTGTGAGGGCATATTTAAAAATATATTACACTGTACCTTCGTATGAGGTCGAATGCGAAAGTTACAGATAGTTCTTGGGATAAACTTCAGATAGAATTCCTTTATAGTCAGTTGCTAAGGTAAATGAGATCGCTAAATCAATTTATATACTATTTTATATGCTAAGTTGAAACAATTGTTATCTGTCATTACTAAAATTGTAACGAAATTAGATTAAAAGGAATAGCGTACTGTACAGTATTTACCCGCGGTGATATATAGCTATATGCCGATCTCGCTTTATCGAAAACGTTACTGGAAAAGTATTTAATTTGATAAGATAAGTTGGTATCATTACTTTTGATGATTCTATCAACTTCCGATGCTTCCGACTCTGAAAATAATATTTTATTAATATTAATATTTTCTATCTGCAAACCAGGTCTGTCATTTGCACAGTCCAAGAAAAAATCGTACGTAAGGGTGCACAATGGAAGACATTGTAATTTTAGCACGTTAGACTTAGTACTACGTAGTCAATTATTCAATTATTTAAGATCAAGGTAAAATTACCTGTTAGCGAGATTATAATTATTTCGCCGTTTTTTAATTTAATGTTGTTGTATGTGGCGATGGCACGAAAGCACCCAGGCTCGGAAATTTTAAGTAACATTGTCGAATTACCGTCTGCCGTATCGCCACTAACTACTACCAATTCAGCATTATGGGATGTTTTCTTCGCATCCAACTATAATATGGATTTATTAGTAATTATAATTAATTAATAAGTAGTCTAACCATGCCATGATGCAGATTGAAATCGGACTTGCATAAACTGTTCAATTTTTAAATTCACCTTTTCAGTACTGTAAATGATAAATACTATGGAAAGTATGAGTTCACATATCGATTTGCTATCAATCAAGTAAAACAGCCATGATTTACAACTGAATTATAACCAACCTTATTCACGCGTAAATTAAATAAAGATTTATCTAATTGTTTCGGTGAGCAAACATTTCCATATTTATCTTTAGCAATCACGTCCAATGAGTGATAGATATTATTTGTTACCACAACTGTTGAGGTGTAGTTGGCAAAAGCAGTCTTCAGAGGGTCAACTGGGCCTATTCATGGTGATTAACAATTACATCTTATTTATTCATATAATGTTCATTAAATCAATTAATAGTAGAGTTTCAGCAATGAGCAGGTCAAAGAATGATAGTGAAAAGCTTATGTAGGAAGTAAAATTTCCGGCCAATGGTAGAATGTAATGTTATCTAGTTATATTAATAAATTAACCAAGGGCTACTTTCTATCCTCTGAGCGTAAAGTAGTGCCATTTACGGTTAGTTTCAATAAAATGTAAGCATTACTTAACCTATTTATCGTATTGGTATAAATATTATACAATAAAATCATGAGATTACATAGTGTTACAAGATGAGTAGATTCTACGTAATTTTAAGACAGAAATACCCTTCTACTGTATGATAAATGAATCTACAGTACAATACTCTGTAGGCTATTAGCGCAATTATCCATAACTATCTTCAAATGAAATTCAACTGTAACATTAATAACAAAAACTTCTTAGCCTTCTCAATAAAGTATAACTTATCGCAGGTATTAACATAACTTTTAAACCTAATTATTAATTAAAATCGATATATTAATTTTACCTGCATCGAAAATTTTAATAAATGGACTTCCTCTAATGTGTTGACCACTACGCATAATCGAAACTGTATAAGAACCCGAACGATGAGCAACAAATCGCACCAAATGAACTAAATTTCTCGGATTTTCGAATATCTCAACCGTGAAAGGCACAGCTATACCACCAACGTGGATTTCGATCAGGATCTGATCACTATCGATCAATTCACCATACTGATTGCGATGGCTCTATTCAATCAACAAGATGAAGTTTTCATTCTTAATTATATAATAAACAAGGAGGTGATTATTATCTGTTGTGTGCTTACTGAGAGAAAAGCAATCGTATTATTATATTACGAAACACTAAACAGTAGAATTATGAAATTTCGTTACAATTTTTCGCATAATACAGGGTAAGTGTTCTGATTCACAATAATATAAATTCATTATTTAATTATATCAATCAGGGAAGAATACTGCAGTATTGTTCTATTACCAGGAAGTAGATTAAAATTTAGGCCTAATGTTGAATGAGTAAACTTGAAATGCAAATGAATCGATTCAATCTTATTTTCTTGTATACTATACAAAGATTCTCTGTCACTTAGGCCATACCGTACTTGTTACTATAGCATTAGACTCAGTTTGATTAGCTTGAAATTAAAAGTAAACTTAAGTTGGTCGATGAAAATGTTGATAAACTGATCGTTTTTTGATCTAATGATTATTAACGCTAACTCGTACAATATAGTATAAGACAGTTCATAATGGCTACTCGTATTGTTTTGCAAGGAAATACTTATAGTTATGACAATAAATTAATTTCATGTCTGTATTTCTTATTCCCTTCACTATCGAGATGTACTATAAATTAACTGGTTTTGTACGCGTATAACTTTTTCAATTACTGTCTTAACCGATATAGCATTTAAGATTGAAATTTTCATCGTGTCTTATATATCCAAGGATTACATAATGACTTCATAATCCATGGAATATCCTTTGTACTCATCTATATTAATTATGATAGAATTCTTGAATGCCTACAGTCTCCCATTTGATGCTACATTCAATCAGGGACTTTTTTAGTAGTCGTTGAGTCAGTATCATTTTTATCAATAACTCCATGATTAGTACATCTTTCTCAACACCATTTGCAGTATTACAACGTACTGGACAGTGGGATTTGTTTACCACTGTCATACATACGTATGATCTATTCTTGCTTTCTAAGAGCATTAGCTACACATTATTACCACGTCATTAAAATTCTTATAGATGAATATTATAGTGCTATACTTGGAAAAGATGCTAAAGTATTCGACTGTATACCAAACTTGAAGCAATCAGTCTGTTTTAAATTATCTAATCTTGTAATACATTCACTGTAAATGCACATTTTCAATGACAACAAATATTTTCCAATCTAGTTCCATTCTCCTTCTTCTCATCGACCAGCTGTTACATTCAATTCTGAATTAGGATGGATAACGAGGGGAATTTTAGTCATCCTACAGGTCGAAAGTTAGATCAGGGACTGGAAGAAAATCCTAGTAGTCCCTGATGACATGATTATACCTATCGGGCATTTTATGATGATGGTAGAACTAGACCTAGATATACAATAGTAGTTAAGGTATGGCCACAAGAGTTGAATATGCCCTTATATGAAAATAATATCGTCATTGTAGTACAAGATCAAGCCAAGCATAACGTTCTATTAGTCTATATAGACCATGTAGGAGAAAACAGTCACCACTAAAATGGACTCATGTAGAAGTGATCAACTTACAAGGACTGAGAAAGTTACTTCTCGGCCAACTCGACATGGTTCATTCCATTGAAAGACAACATCAGTTCTGGGAATGGAGACTTGAGCGCTGATCGTCTGGATGAATTGAGGAATTCGCTCGAATAACGATTGCAGACCGGCAACGAAATAAGACATAATATAGCATAACAACGTTACTTAGCCAATGGATTGAAATGAGTTATTTCAAGCATAGGGGAAAGGAGTTAACATGGATTTTCTAGTTCATATTAGCAGTCTAGATTGATTCACGACAAGGCAAGAAGAAGGGTTCAAAATATGGCTAAAAGTATTTACCGTCAAATAGCCAACAAGGACAAGTGGACAGGGTAGTGTAGCGTATTGTAGTCCGAACGCTATATAAGATCTATAAAAACCTACAACATAAGCAATGGAGTGAATCTGTCCGATAGTCAAAGAGAAAGTAAATGTGTAAAATGAGTTGTCATGGTTAACAATCTACTCTCTATAATACTTCGTATCTGTAACCAAGGTAAAGGGTTAACGGCATGACAACTCATTTTGCACACGATGGTCTGTAGCTTGAGTACCGGTTACCGTAACAGTCCACTTGGTACCGCGACGGACGGACCACTTGGTACCGAGACGGACCACTTGATACCGAGATAGTAAAATCCAGTCTACAGGTAGTGTATGGTCTCATGTTGAAGTCAAAGTGTAATACTGTACCTTAACGGTACTGTAGACATGATGAGTTATGTCTATCGATACGATTCGCCATTCCGAGGAGACGAGGACCACTACACTAGTGAGTTAATTAATGGATTAATGAACGATTGCTTCTCTCATTTATTCGTTTTCTCACAATCGTAAGTACCGATCAGATATTTGTCTATACCTTCTTACTGGAAACGAAAGGAAACAATTGGATCGGTATACTTATTTCTATCTTAAGATATTGACTTAATATTGATGATGATATCTAGTAAATTTCCCCTTCAAATGAATGGGTACATAGTCTACATAATACAATCGATGGAAAGGAAATTGACTACTAGATTATCTTACTGTACGCGTCTAGGCTTCCTATAATTATCGAAAGAGATGAAATACCGTTATAAAATGGATACGAAAAAATTGCCAAATCATTCATTCAATTGGATGATTTCATGGACAACTGCAATAACGCAATCATCCATTTCAGATCGTTTTTTTAAGGGTAGTTGTGTCATGAGTAAATGCATGCTCATCAATCATCATTGATGACAACCAATTTCAAAATTGGGCATGGATTATCCTCACGACAATCGCATGTCGCAATGATGATGGACGGAATCTTACTAAATTATAGAATCCGATCAATCAATGCAGTTCATTATTTTCAATGGTCTAGAACTACTAAATATGTTGTAGGACTTAACATTATACAACAGATGCTGAAGATAATTTATACATAGCTATCGTGGGTCATGTTGTGCCATATCCATGAATAACATTCAATTTAATTGAACTCCATGTTAATTAATGATGCATGGTGGCAATTGATAGAATAGATACTCGAACATGTCATTATAATCGACAAGCATGACTGGATAATACAGTGTACCGTATATCTATGGTCGGTAATAGAGTACTGTATAGCAGGATTAGTGCTAGAGGCTAACATGAATGCACACTCCATTGCACAACCTTCTTCATCTTCAACTCACTATAGTGATTCTATGATGATTGCCGTAAAGTAAAAATAGTATCAAGGCCTATCAATAAAAAATAGTAAAAGAATTACGATCTCTACCCATAGGTAAGGTAATCGTTGTGGAGTATCAACGTAGTAGTAGAACCTTACAACCTTTTATCCATGCCAATTCCAATAGTCTTTGTGACAGCGTAAACAAGGACTAACTCGTCCAAATCCCTCATAATGAGCGCTATTTGAGCACATACCGCACAGTACAGTATGGATATTGGCCTTCAAACTGGGCGGAGCTAGCCAACTGATTAATTTATACAGTATTTCAATTCTATTCTAACCATAGCAAGTAGTTCCCCAGGCCGAAGAGACTCTCAGAAAAGATCAATTCTGTTAATACCAGGAAAATTGCATCCTGGTGTGCCAGTAAGATGCGAGTCTTGATCGTTTGATTGAAATAACTTACTCGTATACTACTAATAGCAATCGATCTCCGGATATTGTTATCTCTATAGCATCGAATAAAAAGCGCCAATTGATCAAGATTCAAGAGACATCAGCCTTTGAAGCTGAAGAAGAGAGAAAAACTCATCATTTTAAAGGTAAACAGCAATTTTAATCAGTACGTCAATACAGTATAGCAAAGTGGAATAATTTATATTGTACGATAGGATCATCTATTGACGCAATTCCACATTTATGCAGGGAAAAAACCATTTCAACCTTTTATCAATACTATCGCAGCTTATCTAATATCTGTGCTATCCTATCTAGCCAACTTAAGTGGTTTAGTATTGAAGGCTAAGATAGCATGACCAAGACGTACGTGCATGCACGGGTAGATAGTTTTGACTGCTACAGACGATTCTAATTTAAATCATCGGTGCTAACTATGGCTACCCATTAGACCACTTAAAAGAAAATTTTTAATTGTACAGTAGATAAAATTACATCCACAAAAGTTTTTACCATCAAGTTATAATATACTTCGATATCTACGGTACACAGTACAGTAGTAGAGTGTTTGAAAAAAAAAGGTTTCATATCAGACATTTTAAACTGATTACATTAATTATCGAAAAGTTTCTAATAGAAAATACAATCGTTATTTAGCGACGGCTATTAATCCTAGAAAAAATATTATCAATCAAAATACTCATCAACTAGTTAGCCAAGCAATAAAGTAATAAAGTTGTAATAGTTTAGATCAAGCGTTACAAATAATCTTTGTTGCTTTTAAATAAATTTTTTTATCTCCTTTTAATATTTGCCTAATGAATTCATGTTCTCCATTTCAAGTTCTCCTCTACATTATGCGAAATGCTCGATAGAAATGGCTACTAATCCATTTGCAAGGCCTCGATCATCGACAGACTATCGTTTAGTAAGTAATCCGATGAAACAGCTTACGTCCATTCCACAGGTGTTTGATCAACTTATAGACGAAGAATAGCTTTGTATGATACAAGCATGAGCTTTTGAGCTTAAATTAACTCTATATAAAGTTAATCAGATTTTAGACATTTATGTGAACAGGATTGACTGAACTTTTATCTTTAGCTTACTATGAACTTGATCAATCACCATTTTATTATTGCACTTACTCGTTTTATGATAAATAACCTATGAACTCTGTTCGCAGCTTCATAATCTATATTGGAACGATTTTATTCGAGATTTACACACGTATAGAATAGAATAATACCGTAACTTACACCTATAATACCTTGTATAATAGAGGGCCAACGACTATTTCAACAGACATCTTCAAGAATGTCAAGATCGTATTACTACTGATTCAAGGTAAGTTGCGATGAATATTGCTATGTAACTCTCTATCATCAAGTATCACACATACATCTTGATTGTAATTCAATTGATTTCCTACTATTAAAGAATAATTTTCAAAATCTTCAACAAATTTCAACTTTAGTTTTAGTGATTAATTACTTAGTTTGTAATTAGCATTGGCAATAAATAGATTTTTAAAATTGTATATGAATGGGTAATAGTGGAATTTAATAATAGAAATATCACTTTTATTCTTTCCAATCATCTTCTGTATGAACTAACACTAAAGTAGTATAATACATTAGTATTGATGTTATACTGTAATACTAATGCTTCTACGCTAACAAATTGGTTCAATTTTAATACTGTGTATCGCTTATATTAATGAATTAAGGTTAACTTAATTGGATGACCATTTCTTCACAATTAATACTGTTGTAAATCTTACATTCAGAAGTAGCAATTTGAGGTTAATATCAGTAATGAAGCGTGATTCATATTAACGAGGCTCACCGAGTATCTTTAATATAAAAATAAGTGATCTCTGTAATTCAACATATTTTTAATTTTCCCTAAATATTATAATACGAGGATGAAAGAAATTAATTCAGTCAAACCATTTCTTCACTTTTAGCCTTGTTATAATTTATCAGTAAAAAAGTAATTCACTATTACTATAGTCTGTCTAGGTAAAATAAGATACAATTATCATTATTACTTTACGTTATAAATGGATAAAAACTACGCATAACAAATAACTATAATGGCAGCTTAACATTATTTTAACCTTATTTTACATGTCTATTACAATTTCTTTGTTTAACGTGCAAAATCTAGATCTGGCAGGTTGGTCGTGGGTTTCGATTTTTATCTTTTTTTCTTATTATAGTACCTATTAGTGAAGCAAAAATATATACTGTAAATATGTATTCCGCAAATTTCTAATTTAAATACTTTCTGTTTTCATTGCTAAAGTGAGGTAAGCACATCAAGCAATAATACAATTTTCGACCGCCACCTATCAATGTATCCTTTTGAGGGGGACATGCCGGGTGCTGATGATGACGGTATGAATAAGTTTTATTCTACGATTATTAAGAATTCAATAATAATATTCATTTGGCATATCATGATAATATATATCGAGTCGAAAAATTTTCTAATTTATTCTTTGCTACCTATTTACGGAAGATAACATACAGTCGTCTGCGCAGGAGGCTAGGTATAAGACTATTGCTATGCTTCATAAAATGAAATTATCATTGTTATCTTATAAATAGTTAATCAAATTATTAGCTTTCATGAGTACCTAATTTATGACTATACGAGTATACTGTAAATAATTATTGTTACTAACGCATTGTTTAAAACGCAATTGATATCATGAGATCTTAAAATTTGTAATATATTAAATTATAATTTCATGCTGATAGTAATGCCTTAATAACAAAACTTCAAGTTGGACTGAAATATTGATAAACTATTTTACTGTTTCAGTTCGGAACGAATTCAAGAAATTCTTTTTAAAGTAAGAAAGTAGCAACCTACAGTAATTTAACTTAATGATATAATTACATAATAGTTCCTGCAATTTTTTACTGTAGACGTTCTTATAGTGTGTTGATAAGAGATGCAAAATATTTCACTTACCGGCGTCCTATAAAAATACTGAAAATACGAATACTCAAATGATTATGAACATCGCTACAATGTTGGCGTATTGTATATCAATAAATAACTTCCAACTATTTATACGATCTCTTAATAGAACCAGATTGTTGCAAATAAAGACATCATACCCGAATTAAAAGATACCTATCATAGATTGTATAATACTCAGTCAATTTGGTATCACCCTACCGTTAATCGAGAAAAAGGTAAATGTTAAAAGTAGTGACTCCTTTAGTAAATTGTTAACCACTGTTATTTTAAAGCAATAGATTATAATTAGAGTTTTGTTAACATACTAAATTCATATCCTTTAATTGACTTCCATGTTTTCAATTATCAAAATGGATTGATTATATTAGCTATGGAAATGCTAAGTCAATTTCCAAAGGGAGTAAGTTCTAGATCTTACTACTGAAATAATCCATTTGTCTTAAAATGTATCGTGATTATTATTTATTTCTACTTAGTACTTTATTGTCAGAAAATCGAGTAAGCTAAAGCATCCCTGCTTATCCGTGAAAGTTAGTGACAAATCCGCAGAAGTTAATCATTACCTAATTAATTTCACAGATAAAGGTCAATAAGATAAAATTCCTTTAGCGTATTAATCTGTTAAAATTATTTTTGGTAAAACCTATTCTGTATGCAGTGCGGCAAGATTAACTTTTAGCTCGTATTTGAATTTAGGCTGCTATATTGATGGATCAAATGTTGAGCCTTATCCTAATTTAGAGTATTTAATTGCTTTTTACTGCGATTACATTAACGCTGGATTACCATGCCAGCTGCAATTACCGTTAGCAGTAAGAAAAGCAAAGAATGAAGCAGAATTAGCTACATTTGCACTTATGGGCGAAAGTAATAAAATTTTTACGATTGATAGCAATAAGTTACGTATAATATGAGACAATATACGTGAAGATTACACTATCATTTTTTAATCAGTATACTTACAATTTTCCAAACAGATTTCTGGACATCAAGGTTCTGTGAAGCCATACTGTATGAGTCAGGTAAGAAAGCTGATTCAGATTGATATTATATGTGAGTGGTTATGATATCTAATACATGTACAAAGATATTTATCCTAGTTAAATTATGATTGTAATTTTTAGTAATCCATGCTTGATTTCATTAAGTAAATAGCTTATGATAATATCTTAAGGAGAAATTACAGTTTCTAACTAATAAAATGATAACTAATAAATGTTGGGAAGGAAAGACGCAGACAGCTGTTATGCTGTATGAAAAAGATGTATTTTAATATTCAATTTTTATACTAGACACTAACTCTCCAACACCACCACCAATACCTGAACCACCTGCTAGAGAACCACCAGTGAGCCTTGATCTCCCTCCACAAGATAGGGGCGGTACGAGTAATAAGCAAACAAAATATTTTTACTGGTAGTAATACCAATCTGACAGTCCTTTGTTGTTCAACTATGTACTTCTCAAGGGTCACAACTAGAATTAGCTAACAAGTTACTGCAAAGTGATATCTTTTATTTTAAAAACAGTATATAATAATTTGCATGAACTATAAGTATATGCAGTATGTTTACCTTAATTAGGATAAAAGGGAAAAGGTCTGCAATTTCGATATTTCAATTTTATAAAACAGGCTTTTAACGGTTCTATTTACACGTAGTCTTCAATACATCTTTTATTTATCACGCCAACAGAAAAATCCAAATATAAATCAATTTACTTAGATGTGTGCCTCGATCACTGTAATCTACCCGATAATTCCGTTGAGGAAATTCAAGAAAATCCACTTTACATCGATGTGAAGGGTAAAAACTTTGTATATATTATAAACCAGACATACTCATACTATTGATGCTTTGCCTTCCTAACTGCATTAGCTTGCAAAAGCAACTAACCAAACGGGGGTGACTGATGTCTTTAGCAGCATTTTTAATCTCGTGTATTATAGTTTATTACTGCTACAGCCTTTTCACAATTTCATTCGCATGTGAATCCAATTAACATACCGTATGCGATACCCCCCCCCCCGAATTGTTATGATTTAACGTATCAAAGCTCTTTGAAATATACGCATATGAAATTAGTGTAATTAACGATATAACCCTACTGAAACATAACCAAGCTTCATATTACTAACTAAATTTCTGCAAAAAGTGATTAGTTACTAATTGATAGAGTACTAACCTGTATTATCGATCATTTCTATATATTTATACCAGCTTTCTTACTATGCGATAGCGCAGTAAATCTAAAATATGGCCTGTACCAAAACATGTTAATACAATATCTAAATCTTCTTACTAGCTGTTTGCGCTTATTAACAATATTTTACAAATGATAACAAGCCATACATCTTAACAAAGTATCATCAAACTTTTTCTATAATTTATTAATTTACTATCAGTTACATGTTAAATATTAAAGTCTAATTTTCTAAATATAATATTTTAGGCTTAATGGCAAGTAACGCGTATATAGACAAATTTAATAAAAAAATAATTATGTAATATTGAATGAATATTTCGCTTTTAGAATTATCAGTCTCATCAAATAGCCCTAAAACTATTTCTAGCCCAAATCATGAAGCATCAACACCAGATGGTAATTTCATTGTTCGCTATAACATATATTGTAATGTTAGGCATAACTTAATTACTTAATGTAGTACGCATTTATAACTTTCTAAGTAACATAACTGTCGGGATAAATGCGGTTTGAGAAAGAATTGTATACTGTATAGTATGATCATAAGATCAATTTAATATACGCTTATAGGCAGTTAGTCACGCTCTGATAAATTTTCGATATCAGTACGTTAGAGTAGCACACAGTCTTAAGTGAAAGTGTTTTCATAATAAGGTGGCAATTAAATGTATAAGTTAACATTTGCTGCTATGTTTGTTTAGACCAGAAAGGTAGGAGGATACAGGCTCTGCAGTCGTGGCTATCTGCCCCAAAAATGTTCTTTGCACGTCGTATTACTGCAAATCCCAATAAAAAGCTACTAATTGGTATCAACAAAACTTTAACGGACAAAAACAAGCAGTTTTATGTTCATATTAGCAAATTTATTGAAAGATATAGAGCTGTGTTAACGGCTCCAGTAGCTACTATTCAGGAAGATCCCTTATTAACAGTAAGATAAATAGGGAAGTTTTTCGATTGTGTAATTTGTTACTACAAATGTAACTCATACTGCTTAGATCGGTTAATTTAATAGTTCATGATCTGCAGATATCTATTTTTTTATTCATTCTAGATACGCAAGTTTATGAATTTTACGAAAGAGCGTTTCCAAAATGCGCCACGGTCAGAAATATACGATATCATTATTTTTAATGATCAGATGGACTTGGACACAGCTTTGGAAGGCTGTTTACATGACATTATAACGAAACCTTTGAAAAAATATATTCTTGACTATTTAGAACGTAAATATGAAAGGTACCGTATTAAATTTTAAGAAAGCATAACCATCATTGCATAATAAACCCTGAATCGATTTGATATCAAATTGATACGAAATATAATTTGTAATATAACAACTCCATAAGATATTTTGAGAATTGGATTTGTTATATTTAAAATGATAACTTTTTCTTCGGCTAATTTGCGTGAAATTGTTTGATAGAGCCATTCGTTCTTGAATACAATTTATATTAAACGCAGTTCTTTTAATAATCTCCTATTGATAAACATGATTATTTAAGTTAATTATCACCAGTAAAGTTTATATGCCAAAGTGATTCCTAGCTTAGATTTACAACTGAATTCGAAGCAAAATGTAACCTATTAAAATATAGGGACATTTCAAACTAATAATACGCTGAGGTTAATTTGTACGCTGTATCTAAAAGATATCACTAAAAGCAGATTGATCATATAAACTATCTTAAATAGCCACTAAATCTGATGAAGCAGTAATTGTAATACAATAATACATATAATGGCGATGTATCAAAGTAGTCTATTTATCAATTCTAATATAAGTGTATAGTTGTCTAAAGAAGTATTTATCATTTGCAGATCGACAACCTGCAGAAATTGTAGGCCTACAGCATATTTTACTAAAAGGATATTTACTAGAAATAACTGAAATATTGATTACTTAAATTACTCATTTTAACTCAATTTAATAGTAATGGGTCTCTAAGAGCATTGCATAGAAATATGAACATCGTTGCACGCTATGGCCATGATGACCTACAACTGTCCAAGTCCGTATCTCTGCCTGGTCGTAAAACTATTGAACTAGCTCGCGTTTTTTTCGATAAAATGATAGGTGAATATTCACCTATTCTTAAAATTAGTAATTTGCACAACGTCATCATGCGCATGAAACAAGATATCGAAAATACACCTGGGGGTCGAAGATACTTATCAGCTGATGGTATGTATATAACTGCACCTATTAAGATATTATCATTTTAGTGTCTAATATCTGAGAAGCAGGGCACTAGCTATAAGATTACACTATCAACTACTTAAGAAGTGCCAGTAGTAACAGCTTAAAATTTAAGAATGGAAAGAAGATTTCGACACTATATGGCAACTTACTACTGTTGTATTGACTGTATTAGCTACGGTAAAGTATCGAGATTTGTACGTTACTCCTAAGTATTTTAATATTAATGAGGTATTTGTTTAATGGTATGCCACCTTGCCACTCAAATTACTCGCTATCAATGCAAAATTCAGAATGTAAAGTAGAATTATCTAGAATACCAAGACTGCCGCTATCTATAAATATTACATACGTTACTTAAAGTGCATTTCATAGTTATTTTCGCGATTAAGGATTCGCAAGAATTGAAGTATTATCTATAGAACAGTAATTAACGATGCACTTTCGGAAAAGAAATAGCGATAGCATCGGCTTGTCAAGATGATAGGCGAGAGTACGCTGCAGCCTACAGTTGCATATAAATAAATAAAAGCTTTTGAAAATATCTAGGATATCTACGATAGTTCTTATATTAATTACATATTAACGAAGATTAATTTGATATAATACTCATCTGTTAGAATCTATAGTACGAGTATACAATCATGTGTTGCCCTAGTTTTGTTTTATATTAACGAGGAATTCATTTTTTTATTTTTCTACTAATTTGGACTACGAAATCAATACAATGATGTACTACCTTCAAAATCAATTTAAGATTTTATACCGTTACTAATTTACATCATCGCCAAGCTTGGAATGGAGAAATTATTGTTGGAAGCCGATTACATTGAAGGATTGCTACCAAAAAATTTACTTGAAAATGGTGAGAGTGCTTATTATGCTACAGCTTTCAAAGCTGCGTTGCTGTATCTTAAAGACGAAATCCGCTAAAGTAAAATAACGTCAAGGTTCGAAGCTAACTGATATTGAAAAAACAATAATTCTGATAATAATACAATGAAGATAATAATAATGCACCCCTGTCTGTCGAAATCAAACGTAATCTCAATCTGGTAATTGACTGTGATGTTTGTATTGTAAAAATATGGTACATTGTATTCGTACTACAGCATAAGGGTTTATTCCTGTAATTATCTGCAAGTATTTGTACGAGCATATGTGCCTGGAATACGCGTTACGTTAAACTACATCACTTACACATTTACATTCACATGTAGTACTGCAAGCTCTACTGTAACGCTTGCAAACCCTTACAGTAACTATGCATTACAAAATAATCATAATGATTAGAAAGGATTATGCATTCTTAAGCGTATCCATACAAAGATCGTAATTATGAGCTAAGCTAAAACTGGTCGTTCTATCTAAAATTTCAGTAACTAGTCAATATCAGTGAACTGCAATGAAATTTGTTTATTATGATCGCTACTTTTATGGGACCTCAAAATCTTCCTGTTTGTGCAATCTTGATTTATTCGCATATTTATAGCATTATTTTTTATTCAGATAATGATAATTTTTTCTAAGGATGGTATCCAGTATTAGTATTTAAGGAGAATGTAGAACGATCTCAACACTATCATGCATAAGATTAATTGGAAATATTTTTTTAACATGATCAAGGTATATGTATGCTAATTCAATAGTGTAATAAACTGCTTCGTTGAGCCAATTGTAATAAAATTTTGTACCTCAATTCAATCCTACGACTTATCCGAGCTTAACTTGAGACTTTATATCGCAATTTATGTATATGAGCGTACATTTTCAATAGCTACAAGAAGTGATTTATTTACTACTAGTACATAGCAATATTGTACTATTCTTAGGCTATTTACTCCGGCAGAACTACACAGTTTTGTAGAATACTCTATGATGATTATGTAGTCTTAAAAACTAAAAACTATTATCATTTCATTAAGTACAGTATTACATTTTCTTCATAGCATAAAGCTATCGCAGCTTACTTTCGCTTTAATGAAGCTAAGAAAAAATTCCATTACGCTCTATTCTTAAAAGACGAACTTTATTTATACCTTGAGTCTCTGGTTGTCAACAAATCACATCGTATCCATAAAATACAGGTCTAATGATCAATACATGAACAGCTGCAAGTCTACGATAAGTGTACCAGATAACGAGACACTATACTGGAACGGAATAGTATTGAGTTATGTATGAATAATTCGATTTCAGTACCACATTTCGTGGATACAAGGGTAATCGATAACTGTACGCAAGAAAGTTACGGTATCACTGATATTCTCATTGTCATATTTGTAGCGTACTGCAACTCGTACTGAACGGAATCCAATGCATTCATCTATCTCCTAAATCGTTACGACGACATGGATACAATTTCACAGTTAATATACATTGGTAGCAAAACTGAATGCACGTAAGCTGAGCATACTGTAAAATAAAAATTTGGGATTACGTCTACTATGCTCTGCAATACAAGAACATTTATGGGAAGATTTGGCAAGTGTGTAACGTTAAGATATTCAGCAAAACCGTTATTGAACGAACAAATGCTGATAACGACATGCTACAATAATTAAAGCACTTGCTATTCAATATACCAAGTCAATAGTATATACTGCTACACACCTGTCCTTACGATATAAGTGAAAAAAACGATATAATTTTCGAATCTTTCAAATCGTACAATATCAATCCCTTAAAGACATAAAATCAAATTTCTAAAATAAGGTTGCAAAGAACCGACAGAATACCACATTATTTCTAGATAATTGTCAGATAACACTATTACCTTTCTTACTGTTTAAGATTCAATCGAATAGAATTTTTTTGTACTGATGGAACAGAGCGTGAATCTTCTGCATCTAACAATTCCTCCTGCTCAAATTTTGACGTATTACGATAAGTTAACTCAATATTATAGATATTTTCTAGAATTCTGATACTATATTGTACAGTACTTCATATCATCAAGTCCATTACCTCCGCTAAACCATCCTTACTGGAATTTTGCCTGATTCCAGCTTCTTCACAAGATATATCATTCGGATTGCTTGATAATATTTCGCCTTCAATCTACAAATTTATTATCAGACTTGGAATATAAGTCATAGAAACATGCAGAAGTTTGCACAGATACAAAAGTTCAATTAATGTAAAGCGGTAACCTTTATCCGTTTCTCTTGAGAATTACTAAGTTCTTGTTCATTCAATACTCTCTTACGATTATCAGTAACCAATTCAGTAGCTTTATTGTTCTCATCAGACTATGACCATTAAAATAGATTCAAGTAAATGCTCAAGTACTAGTTATCTGAAAGAAATCTATTATATTCCATACGCTCACAAACCATTGGCAGCTTCTCTTTCATGTTGTCGTCATTTGCATTTATATCTGTTCTATGATTGTCTTCACTTGCATTCGTAAATTCTAAACTACCGCTAGACTAATTTTGATAATCCTTTTACTTAAACAGTAGTAATATTATACTATGTCCAAAGTAATTGGTGGCACAACTGTTATCAAAAAACAACTCAAAAACAAAGTAATACCTTAACTGATGAATCGCTTTTTCTAATATTATCACTGGTTTGCTCCATTGATACAGGATTAAGGACAGTATCGACAGCTTCAATTTCAGTATCTTGATCAACCTGTTGAGAATCCTTTCCTAATGCCACTTCTAGGGGTTCCGTAGAGGCTTTGCTTGTTTCTTCGCTCTCTGTCGATTCTTGTTCATTTAAAACATTTGTTGCTTCTGATTTTTCTCCTTTAAATGCGACGTTCAAATATTGAGTTGATTTAGATTTTATACATTAACGCATTGATATAAGTGATAACTTGCTAGTGACAACAGGTGCGAACTATCTATAACCTGCAGTAGTTTCTTGTGTAACTTGTGAATTCTCAGATACTGATTTATCAGAACTATCAGTAACATTGGGAACGGTTAGCTTCGTTGATGAATTCTTGTGGGGGTATAAACGTAAATAGGTTAATAGCATGTAAAAGTCTAATAGGAAGTTAAATACTAACTTGCGATTGTGAACGTTTTTTCAATTTCAAAGCGGATTGTGGTAAATATTGACTTAATTGCTTTCTTTATTCCAAAACAAAAATATTTTTATTGGTCATCCAATGCAAGATATCCAAAATATAAATTCTGTTACAGACCGTTTCATATATTGAACTTCTATATTCATTCCGTCTCTTAGAACTTTGCCTGCGGCTTGCATTTTTACTTTTGATCGTACCAGAAAATATAGATCGTCAGAAAGAAATTCAAGTTTTGGTAATGTTGATTATGGTCTCACCTGTTTCAATGAATTGACTAATATCCTTTGTTAAGTCCAAATTAATGTTTTCTGAAATGAAACCGTTTAGCTGTAACAAACTTCTGATAAAATCATACATTAGAGACAATCTTACCAGTAGAGGTAAACCGTAATCCAAAAAACCAGCGAATAGCGTACGGTTCACTATAATCATAATTTTGCAAATCAATATCAATCGAATATACAATGAAGCAGTTTAAACCAGAAAGCATACCTCTGAGGGTCGCCAGGATACGATTTAGGATTAATATGTACAATATCGAAATATTCATTTCTCTCCAGAGTCAAAACTAGCTTTCGTAATTTCGATTCTACTAGTCCAATCCTATAAAAAATTCGCTGAGTGCATTAAATTCAAAATTTCATAGCTAAAGTGTTAGCTAAATTATCTTATTACCATTCTTTATAGTTGTCTTCTGATGTAGCTTTAGCGGTCAGTACAATATAGTGTCTGTAGATAAAATAAATTTTAAGTAGAATACCTCTAACAAACGTTAAAATAAACGCAAGAAAAAACTTTTACGTACTTGTAACGCCCAAAGAAATCTGCAGGCTCAAAAGCATCTGTCCACTTTGCATTCCGTAAAAATATTTCGTTGCATATTTTAAGCCCTATGAAATAAAGTAAAGTGAGCAGGATGAGCATAAAAAGCTAGTTATAATAAAAAACTATCAAAATGGCCTAATTTAATATGAGTAACGTATATGTTCACAAAGCCTAACCTCTTTCTATTTCCTCCAATAAAATTGTTTTCGTAGATTTAGAAACGTTAAAAGTAGAGTTTTGGTGAGGATATACAGGAGTAATAATTTGCATCAATTGACTGCGATCGGAAAAATTGCTCTAGAGACAATCATGACAGATTTGTAAAACGAACACATGTACGACCATATTATAGAATATAAAACTAAGATATATTAGAGCTACAAAATGTTAGCGTACCGTACGTAAATTTTAAAATACGTATTAGTTTATAAAAGATGACAATAATGTCTTACAGGAGTCCAGCCATTCAGATTTAAATCACTTTCTACCATTCTAGTTAGAAGAACTGGTTGTTGCCAATTCCTATCAACGTTAAGAAAATTAGGTTAAGACTACAGTATTGTACTATAACGACAAGAAAATATTACCTTCATTTAAGTTAGAAGCCTTACCATTGATTAAATACCAAGAAAAATTTTTGAACTATTGTAGCAGCAACTGCATTCGGATAAAGTTGGCAAGTTCTTGCAACCAGCATAGCCCATGAAACTCCTCCTAAGTAGCCTAAAGCATTCGAATATATGCCACGACCTGAAAGTAAACGAAATCAAAGCAGAAATATTATAAAATTATACTAACACGCAATCGAGTAAAAATGACATACGTTTTGCCCATAACTTTATGAATCGTAAGGCTGTACGAAAAGAGTCAGCATTTGGAACAAGACTAAGAATGGCATCAGTAACACGACAACCTGAATTGTAATTGATCATTAGGTGGTATTATAGTAACTTATATCATAAAATTACAACATCTAATACCATTGAGACTGCGAACGCATTTCATATCTAAGTTCCGTAATAATTCTAGGTCTAATAGGTCCAGATTTTCAGGAATATTCTGTAATCCAAGTCTCGCAAATAACATATCCATTTCTATACCATCGAATACCATTTTAATTACGGGAACAAATGCATCTTCTACAACCTGTAAACGACGTAAAATAATTTGATTTAAGCTATATATAAGCGATGTATGCGACAGCGAGTGAAGGAATCAAGGTGCAAGTTTAACGCAGCAATTACTTACAGTAATCTGCGTAACCTCAGTTTGAGACTTTAAAAGATCGACAAAGGACGCAAAAAAAGAAGTCCGATCTACATGTCGTGGCGCTACACAAAGTGCATCAATGTCCGCTCCTATAATATGACCACGTAATAATTATTGAAGCATGAATAATCCCTTTTACAATATGTTCAATTCAATTATTGGTGATATAAAAGGCAATTAATATTTTAATATCATTGTAATATAACGCTTCTCGCTACATTCCTACATGAATGAAAACTAAAATGATGTTTTTTTTATGTTAGATATTCCAGATATACGTTATTGTATCCCTCAGTGAGTTAAAGCACACACCTTTAGTATGAACACCGAGACGATATGAACCAAAAGTGAAGACGTTTCCACCAACAGAATTCGCTATGCTGAGAGGCATGTTCTATAATTAAATTATAGATGATATGATCACCACAATGAGCAATAAATAAAGTAAAATAGTAATCATTATCCACTTCATGTAGTATCTTCCTTACTTTACTTAAGCTGACATCAACAATCCATTGCTTCACAAGTTGATTGACTTTAGCCAAAACATTCATACTATAACCAAGGCCAAAGTTATAAAAGGAACAGGTGACAATATTACAGAATTTGCTATACTAACCGATGCTGCATCTCATCATTACTTTCAATCACATCAAATGGAATTATAGCTTGTATTAAAGCGTCCGTCAATTTAATATCCTAAAATTGATACCAACAACAACGAAGAATAAATTACCACCTTTAATTTTTGTATGCATGCTCAACCGATAGAAATTAATGAAAACGCTACCAGATAACCAAGAACAAATTTATAAATTAACAGCAAAATTAATAAATTTAAGTGAATCTGTTAAATGAGTGATGATTTAGATAGCACAAAAGCGTTCGTTTTACATTTTATAGAATTTTACATGACATACATTGTTCTTGTACGATGAAGTGTGGCATTTTACTAGGGCAGCTAAACGATTAAGATTATACCTTTTACCGCACGTAAACCAAATATTTATACACAGAACTGTACACATTGTTAGGTGCCATTCTCCCATAGACCATCATACAGTACTAATATATAGTACAGGGACAAATTTTCTGCATGTTTATGTAATAGCCTAGAAGTCCTATGGTACAGTGTAATATTCTTTCTAATTTAATTGACTTAATCCCCTGACAGTAGCATTAGTTGCAGTTAATAAAGTAGGAAAACTAAGTAAAACAAGCAATAATTAAGGAAAGGGAAAATTTCTTCTGATTCTACTGCCTGCATAATTATTTGTTTGTACTGTAGACACAAGGTTGCGGATAATAAACTAAGGTACTACATAATTTGATGATCATCAACTTAAATGTTGAGCACAGAAGTACGTTGCAAGTTATTTTGATATTCTGTAGCAACTACCAACTTTTTATTAGCTCAGTAAGCTATGTGGGCAATTTCAGTTTAGCTCAACGCCGTAATTTTGTTTACAGAATGTGGAATAGTCCATATATAGGGACTGAAGCAATTATCTGAAATAATTGACTATGATCAACCTCTCCTATGACTTCTACTCTAATGATGTAATTACTGCATTAGATCAGTTCTCTTTGGTTTGCGACCCCCTACACCGCACCAGATCGTTTTATAGAAGTCAAATTTATCTACAGCATGTTTCGTGTTATGCATATACGAGTGATATATTTATTACTGTCCTATAATGTGTAATATACATCATAAATAGATAATATAATATTGCTAGCGAATTATACTGTACAGAGAACGTACCATTGGCTTAGGCTGCGCTTCGCTGACCGGATCGGTAATGGCATTAAATCTAGTAGAGGTTCGGTTGGACTGTGACATCATGCTATAAATATCAACAGTAAAAAAGTTGAAGAAGGTTATTCATTTAAATTAACCCTTCAATTAATTAGTTATAATAATTAATTATAGGGATATTTATTGATTCGCTGTAACAAATACCTACTGTACCGTACATATAATATGTACAGTACTTTTCGTAGTTGGTTTTGTTAATTAATAGTGTGTACCGTGGTACAGTATCAGTACAGTGTACAGTACAGTATAGTACTGCATAGTACCGTACGTACTGTAACTGGCTGCGAGTTCACTATGAAGTAAAATAAAATGAACACTGACTGACTGTACTATCCACGAGATCTATAGTAGTGACAGGACAGTGGACACCATGGGGCAGTTTTCAAAAAATACAGAATTGGCAGACCCCAGCTTAGAAACATCTTGAACTCATGTTATAAACAATATCTACGGTAGCTTTTGCAGAGGTAGAGTAGTGCTTTTTACATTCTAAATTGTGTAATGATTATAATTGACTGTCAGTTCTAGCGTTAATACGAGTAGTATTACAAAAGCAGGACAATTTAACGATGATCCCGGATATTGTTACCTCAATGGTTTTAAAGTTATCGAATAATAATGAACACTTTGCTATCAAATTTTAGACTGGCAAGATTTCACATAATTAAGAAGTATAATTCAACAGATTGCAAGTTATGTAATACTATGTCAAAGACGATCAAATTCATGACAAAAGTTCTACTGTACACAGTAAAAGGATCATTCTTCCCTTACCAGTTTACGCGTACAACGGTATTTACGACAGACAATTCTTTATCCAGCAACTAAAAAAGTCGTTAGCAAGAATGTAGACGATACCAGTATTATTGCATTCTTTTAACGGATGTTCAATTTTGTTTTTCTTATTACCAGAAATCCAAGTGTGCCAAATATAATATGCTCTATGATTAAACTACTCTATAAGTATACGTTACTTCGTTAAATGATCTCTTTGCCGAAGTATGCGTGGAACTAAATATAGCGTACAGTTGACCGACTTTCAATGCCGCCGCTTTTAGAGTGCTGCACCATGCACCATACCGTAAGGTACAGTACACTGTACAGTATGGTACGGCCATAGAGATCAAGTTTTCGACTACAGTTACCGGTACAGTAAACCAATTGTATGAACTGTAATCTCGGTCATCGTTATAGCATGTGTGTGTACTGTACACTGTACAGCATGAAATGATATAATACAGTACTGTACTGTACTGTACTTCTACCCTTCCAGTTAACAGTCCTTTGATTTAAGAAGAAAAGTTTTTTTCTACTGTACTGTACTGTACTGTATTTTCTCCATACTGTAAAGTTACAGTACTGCACACTGTAAATTAAATTATTAATCTCGTAGTTACAGTACAATACACTACTGCACACCAATGCTCCCATACAATCCTATTGTTGATTCTGATTTGAGATGTGTTCTCTATCCGTCCATCCGTACATTTTCGACCGGCTACTGGCGTACCGTACTTGCTTACTCACTCTGGTACTGAAGTCGTACCGTATATGCTTTTTACAGAGCAGCGATATTTGGTTCATTAAATCAGTTATGTCAGCAATCCGGTAGTTATTTACAGTTAATTAAAGTACTATATACTAATGTACTACTTCGACATTTATTACTTTAATTCTGTCTTCAAGTTCTAGTTTATCATATTTCGTTGTGGTCTGACACTGCAAAAACTTGCATTTTCTTCTTTGTGTACGTAGTTGATACGGTACGTACTTCGCATATCTGCTGTTGAGCCGAACGCGATATACTGTATACGAGTACACCATACTGCGCATTGTCCAGTGTCAGTGTTTCCAATAAGCAGCCATTTTAAAAGCAAGATGGAAATTTTTCTGGAAAGGTTTCATCGTCTACGAAGTAAAGGTAATATCACAAATATAATATTGGCATGTCACTTGACGCTTTATGGTTATTCATCCACGCATTGACCATATTTTGTTTTCTAAGTTCAATTTTGTTTATCGTATTTTAATAAGCCAAAGACTGTCGACCAAGGGTACCTCTACGGCATTAGTGTAGTGTATATTTACGGATTTCCAATTTATTACTTTGATTACTTCGACATTGCTATCCACTTGTCCAATTCTATTTTTAATTAGGGAAATAACGGAGAAAGCATTACAATTAATGTGTTATTTATATGATAATATTACATCTGGCTTTCGGAGTGCTCGACAGTCGATACTAGTGCTGTAATAAAATTCACACATACCAATGATTCTCATATGCACTAGGATTTACGGTAAGATACCATAATGTCGAAATAGTAATAACAAGGTATACTGTACTATAGAACGCCACCGTAGTGTTTAACTGATGACAGTATATGTACTACAGCACTACTTATACTTAATTACGTAGGACAAAAATGGTAATTAGGACTATGGCTTTAATTATGATTTTATGTAACTTACCAAGACGGTTCTTGAATGCTGTAAATGATAGATAAAATCTATATACTTATATATATAACTTGAGATTTTTTAATCAGAATATTGTATTATAGTTTACGATAGTTACGCTTTGTATAATTAGTCTATGGGCTATAGCAGCACACGCTGTAATTATAATTAACTATTAACGGATACATACTCCGATATTATGAGCTGCAAGAGTTACCGACTACTCAACTTGTATTGCCTTCAAACTCACTATTTTCGCCCTTTATTGCAGATAGAAATAGTAGCCTATTATTAATAGAAATGTTAAGATATTCATGACACTCTCAGATATTGCTACCAAGAATTAATCATTCAAAAAGAGTGTATCAGTGTAACACTGTTGACTTGGCAGTTGTATTAAACCTCATCATGAGTGTCGAATTGTAGGAAAAGAAGATATTGTCCATTATAAATACGGTCAATTCTTGTAAGAAATTGACTACACAACGAACTTATGCAATGTTGTATATTAATATACCATTGTTGGGCGATGATTTTATTCATAAGACTTCAAACTTTATAGGGCACGAACGTAATCCCTTAGACTAAACTATGAATCGCGAATAATTTGCACAATACTCAACGTAGTTCCCTTCCTGTATGATGCCAAAATGCTCTTAAAAGCTTACGTTATGGTAGATATTTTTCCCCAAATTTTGCTTAATTCATGTAGTAATAAGTAGGTGAGTTGGAACACTCTACTGCAGTTCTCAGTTGGTACTCGTTACTCGTAAGTTGTAAGTCACAACTCACTGTGGAAATCTGCGATCTGTGTTGATTCTGCCGAAAAACACGAATGGAGTTCATGATTACAATCTACATATATAAGGTCTATATAGAATATGTACTGTCTATTTGGTAGAAAAATGTGCATTTATTTGATAGTATAGTTATTCTAATCCAATTCGTCTAAATATCCATTGACACCACGACGATATGTCGCAATTTTTGTTGATATCCAGACTTTTGAACTCTATAGTGCCATACAGTTAATGTATTGCATAATATTTGACCTGCATTTTGCGTACCCGTACATATTCACAGTCTTTTGCAGATTTACAGTGACTGCCTAAAAAATGGATATCAGTTTTACTTCAGAACAGGTCTGTGATAACTATAAATGATGATTAATCTTGAATAAAATGATCTAAGGTAATCCAGAGTTTAAGAGTGTTTTCGATTGATTCATTATTCCCTGGCATATTACTGTAAAATATTATACTAAATGATCAATGTACTCATTAAATTCAATTCAACGTAAATTACCATAGGAATCATGCGTAATTTACTAAGTACTGCGCTGTCATTCCAACAGTTAGCCTGGTACTATACGGTACAGTATATGCAAGGAAAATCATTCAAGAAAAAAAAGTGTTGGATTTAGGGCTAAAATTCATAATAAGTTGCTTTTTTTTATTGCTGAACTGCTAAAATAAAACGTTCTGTGGTCGCTGAGACAGATTCTTTCTTTTTTCAATTCATGTCCATAGTTACAAGTTTACATTGTACAGTACAAATTTACAGTACTATACTGTAACTGTACAGTACGCAGTGATACTGTACACTGTACAGTACAGTACTGTACTGTATTACAATAACATCATTATCCAAGTCAAAATTTAACAACATGCTGTCAGTAAACATCAAGTACAGCACAAGTACTTACTGTGTGTACTACAGTACAGTGTACAGTATGTTTGTAGTTGGTGCCCTTATGCGTGCAGTACTGTAAGCTACCATTTACACAGTACTGTACACTGTACAGTACGTCACAAACACTAGCACGTGATGTCAATAGCAAATAATGTACAGTACAGTATAGCAGATGGACAATTACTGTACTGTACTGTATACGCGCCTATTTGCTATTTTCCACAACTTTCAATGAACGACCATCTTTGACGCCAAAAAAAATCAGCATTTTATTCTTTTTCTGAAGAGTAAACGTTATACTGTATACTAAACGGTCACAATAAAAAGGCTTCAAAGTATACAAGTTGAAATTTAGAATAGTGCTGAAAAACAAAACTAACAGGAAAAGATTTTTTTTGACCTGTAGTAAAAGACATTTTAGTCATTATACTGTATGGGAGAGAACGAAAGTACAGTATAATCTAGTGTTTTATGGACGCTATACTACACTACAGTAGAATTCTACAATAAAATTTGTACGAGGTAATAAGAGAAAATTAAACACCACGCAAGGTATGCATTTTGAAACGGTTTTTTGCCCTCTCGTGAGCTCCCTCTACGCGTAAGCGCATATTTCTCGTTTGGGAGTCTCGATGAAAATAAATCTTTTGCTTGCTATGCTGCATTTGTAGTAGAAAATACTACCTACGATAAATCATCTACAGGTGAACTCCTAAATAATGCCAACGTACGTACATTCCACTCACGTCTACACATACTTACCATCATATATCAAGTATTTTGCTGAAATTCAAAACATACGCGTATTAGTTTATGAACTTGATAAAAAACTCTTGATACGGTACAGTATATCTGTCATATCCATTCATTTACATACGACGTATTCACTCTGAAAAGAATGGTGATCAAATTTTAAATTTTTTCAGCGCTGTAAATAGGATTACCACATGAATTGCATGGATCTGTCATGTTGATAATGATAAACGTGCACTGCAATTGAGAAAATGACTATTTTAAATTAAATGTATCTACAAATCCTGGTGTTATGGTGATAAATTTTCAATAACGGTACACTATCAATATTCTTTCTTATACGTCTATGCTTAGACCCCGAACGATCTGGCATTGGTGCTGAAGATAAACATTCGGAAGATCTATTAATCAATGATAACATCAATGAACATACAGTTACTGAATGTTTAAAGTCACGTTTTATGGCCGATCAAATTTACGTAAGTAATAGTATGTTCGAAATGAAGCTGTTTATGATCAATCCCGAAGTTGGACAATGCCTGAAACAATATTCAAATCTTGCAAATTCATTCTATTTATTTATATCATCATATGTAGTGGAAGTCGACGAATTGAATAAAAGAAGTTTCAATTTTTAAGATACTCATTCCAATGTTTAGTATAGTCTTACATTTTAGCGCAATGTGTAATTGGACGACATAGCTGTAGTTATCGATAAAACCTCTCAAACTCTATACAGTACTTTGTTACTTGCTCTGCATACAATATTTTTGCTTACATTATGATAGTAGGTTGAGTCTTCATTTGATTAATTATTAGGAGTTTCTTTGATAAAGTTATTTGTAGTAATATATCATCAGCCGATCCTACATACGTGTATCTAACTGTACATTGGTACTAATTTTAAGTTTTCTGTATTACTGTACAGTATAATGTAATAAACTCATTATCGTAAGATAATGATTTAGCTTGTGCTAATACTGAACGGGTAAGTTGCGGACCTTATGAGTCTAATACGGTCTATTAAATCAGCACTTTTGTCTTTTCGATTTGCTATATTCGCCACATTTCTATGCAGTATCACATAATGTAAACTATATAATCAATCCTTCTGAGTAAGTATTTCTAATTCTACTGTAAATTTGGCCTTTGCTAGTCCATTTAAGCATCGTATCCATGACACGATGTCATTGACATCAATAGAGTATGTAATGCAACCAAGCATAGTCTTTAGTGTAACCCTTAATAACTAATTTTTCTGAATTATATTCAACTTATTGCTGGTTTGCTTATAAAAATGTTTTTTTTTAATGTTACAGACATATGCAGGCACAACATTACTGGCAATCAATCCTTGTAAACCGTTAAAAATCTATGAAATCGTAAGTTGCTGCTTACTATATAATACTAGTTAATTTTATAGCAATTCAGTGAACAGTTAGTGAAACAATGTGATAATAATCATTAAACTTTCTAGTTTCAATAAGACACTATTTTTGATATTAAAAGTAGCAAATTTGATGAATAGTCCAAACTTGTGTAAAATGATTAGCTGTCATATTTCTATTATTACAGCATATGAAGCATTTTTACAATTTATGATTCCTGTAGTATATATATAATATATCTATTGTATCGTACATTATTCCTTAATGTCTCTTTAAAATACCATATTATTATAATACGATAATTAAAAGTCTTTCGGAGTAAGGTAATCTAACTGTAGAGAATATAGAAGAATAAACATATAATGACGTATATTAGTTCTATATAGTTACTGCTTAAATTAATTATCTTGCTACCCTAGCCAAAGTAATTAACTGAAAGCGTCTAAGAATTATAAGAGTAATGTTTAAATCGTAATAGAAGTCGCTATATATAGAATAATGTAGAGAGTGTAATAACTAATTACGTGTGATAATCAGTCTATTAAGGTCAAATCACATTGCTTTTTATCTAATTTAATCCAACTCTTCTTTATAGGAAAATATCGTAAAATATAGCAGAACCAGGCTCGATACTTTACCGCCGCATATATTCGCCATTGCACAATCAGCATTACATTCCTTAAGATGCACACAAGAAAATCAATGCTATATTATTGCAGGTGACACGGGATCAGGCAAAGTAAGTTTAATTAAAAATATTTCTGATATTGCAGTAGCATCTATATTTAGTCATCAACTAGTTGTATTATTTAGTACAGCTATTCTATACGCTAACAATACTGAGAAAGATCATAACAAATCCTAATTATCACATCTTTGAATTAATTTCACAAATATTAATGATAACAAATTTTTTGATTTATGTAATATAGACTGAAGCTACAAGAAACATCTTACAATATTTATGCACGCTATCTAGTTTCGATAGCACCGGCTGGATGGATTCTTTAATACTAGAAGCGTTAATGATTACGGAAGCATTTGGTAACGTTTTGATATTGCACCTCGTATACATATACACTGAAGTGATTACGATACAACATTACAATTATTGCACTGTTATTTGCGGAAAGATTCTTATATATCGCTATATAGCGTATAAAGATTTAGTCTTGCAACGACTGTAACATCTGTGATTAAATTTGCACGTATGCCTTTTTGAAGACAGTATAAATAGTTGCTGTAGTAGTCTACATTTCTTCTATAAGGAGTTTCATAACGTACAATATAATATGTTTGGAACTAGATTATGCGCGCATAATTATAATATAGATGAACCTCATGCATTGCTTGGGCTAGAAATTGTTGTTTACCTGCACGTGTTTTGAACTATTGATATTTGAAAATTAAGAAACTCAAGTAAATCAGACAATCCAACAAATTGTTTTCAATTTTAGGAAATGCAAAAACTTCTTTATCACCAAATGCTAGTCGCCGAAGCACCTATATGCGATTGTACTACAATGATAAAACATTTATATGTGGATGCAAGTTTGATACGTTTCAGTTAGAAACTAATCGATTGGTGCATCAACCTATTGGAGAAAGAAATTTTAATATATTCTACTACTTACTGGGAGCAAGTACATTAAATACTGACGTTAAGAAACTATATAATATCGATACTCAATTCAACTACAATCTACTTTGCGATCAAGAACAAGTCGAAGTTGGAGATGACGAAAATCAAAAATTTTCAAAGCTACGATTAGCTATGAACTTACTCTCGATTTCACCAGAAACCGTTGACTGCATTTTTCGAATCCTCTCTGCAATATTATCAATGACTAATTTTGAATTCGAGGATGTCAACGGTGAAGCATGTCGCTTAACTTACCAAGATTTAGATTTAATTGAAAAGATAGCGCACCTGCTAGGGATTTCTCAAGAGGCCGTTGCTAAATTGATAACAATAAAGCAATTACGTATTAGGGGTGTACTAACTGATTACCCATTGACAATAGAAGAGGTATTAACATCGATTCAATGCCAATGTCGATAAAGCATATGATTTCGTAATATTTATGTTAGAAGTAATGTAACGGTTAACCACATCTAAACTAACGATTTTTTATTTACGCTATCTGTGTTTCACCAGGCTAAATCTAATTGTCGTCTTTTAGCGAAGTTATTATATGAAAAGATCTTTAACTGGGTAATCGATAAAGTTAATGCTGTACTGGCACCCCCTTCAGCTTCATCATTATATATAGGAATTCTAGATATCAGTGGATTTGAGGCAGCAGATGTAGGTTCTATTAAGTTTTGCATGGATTATCTTTTAAAATTTTTTACGCTATTGTGAAAGCAATTATGTTACATTTATGCCTTCTCTACAGAAAAATACTTTCCAACAGCTTTGTACTAATTATATCAATGAAAAACTGCACAATTATATCATCAACGACACATTCATCAATGCGCAGCAGGCGGTAAGTTATATACCATAGAGTTAATTCTGGCATCTATTTCATTTATCGCCTTTTTCAATAGAAGCATGAAGTTTAAACGTAAATACAGTAAAAGTTAATATTTTCACCGATAAATCTTTACATGATTAGACGTCGTTATAAATATAACTAATCTGAAAAGGCTTTCATTTCTAATTTTTGGTTTAGTATGCGAATGAAGAAGTTGATGCTTGCGTCCCTAACGTTTACAATAACATTGCCTGCTTATCAATGATAGAATCAACGGTACGTCAGATAATGGATTTCTCTAGAAAATCTTAGCGAAACCTTATGAATTGATAGCATCGGCTATGTTACAAATACACTTATTTGGATTATACATTGTATGAAAATAAACTAGGAAGAAAATTCGATCATATCTACGCTACATGTGGAAACTGTTTACAGAAGATGGGCTAAAGTAAGTAAATCTCCCTTCTGTATGCTCCTATTTGCTAGTTGCAAGCTTAGCGTTGATTAAATCAGCGTAGCTGTGTGTCAAGGTGCCCTAGAGATCTCGTAGCCAAGTTGTGCATAGTATCTGTAGGTATAGCATTAATTCAAAAATGTTCTGTATTAGGAGCCGAATACATCTTATGTGTTGAAGCAGCATAAAGCTCTAGAAAAGAACAAATATTACGTCAAAAATAAGGACAGGCGTTATTGGAAGCAAAAATTTGGAATAGAACATTATAACGGCCGCGTACTTTATAGTGTTGACTCATTTTTACAGAGTAATAAATTATTGCAAAATCAGATACTCTTTGATACTATGAGAGACTCGACACAGCCTTTACTTCAAGAGTTTGGTATTTCTGAGGTAAAACAATTTAGTTTTCTATAATATATCCTTGCCTATACATTTTCATGATTGACTATGTCTATTGTAGATTATTAATATAAAATTATTTTCAGGTAGGGGAAAAGGTTGATAATTTAACAGGACAACTTAACGGAACGGTAGGCGGCAAATATTGTAAAATTTTGCATACAGAAATATAGAATTAACTACTAAATTGCTATTTTAGGAAATAGAAGTTCTATTTGCTTTATACTTTATGTCTATTCTTAAATAAAATGATCCTAATTTCAGAGCATCGGAAGTCCTAAAATAAACAGTGGCGAATTGGATGACATCAGCTCCAGAACTAGCGAACATTCGTCAAAAACTGATGATACAACTGGCTTTAGTGATGACAAGACGTCTACTGACGATTGTAGAGATGATAAAAGCGAGAAAGAGGAATATATCCAACCAGAAAGTAACAAAACGAAATTATCCAAAAGAAGAAACATGTGGTATAATCATCCTAGTACTCAAAAGTTATGGAAAATATCTTATGGCACTAATAGAATCAACAAGAGTGCCATGGAAATAAGTGCTAATTCCCGTACAAACGGAGATGTCTCCCAAGACTCTAACCAAGTCGAAAAGAAATCCAATGACAAGGTAAGTTTCCTGTTTTACCATACTGTTATTATTATTACTGTTTAGTCGAAAAATTGAGCCAGTTATCAGCTAATATTGCAAATGCCGTTGATTTTATAATAAAAGCTCAAGCGATCATATATCAGTATGCTACGAAACAAAATCGATGAACTGTTTTTAGACATCAATAGCTGTAATCGATGGTAAGCTAGTTCTAAATTATTACAAAATATATAATTTGTTTAAAGTTGTTATCAACTATTATAGTTTGGAGGAACCTCATTGTCGAGTATGAGAGAATGTACGGTAACTGTGTGTAATTATTGTCCATTAACTATAGGTATATCAGATGCTTAAAGCCCAATTTGTCATTAAACCCGGAAACTTACGATGAGGCACTTGTAACAGAGCAATTACGATACTCAGACCTAATCAGTATAATTTTATTTAAGAAACAGGTACAAACATGATTTATATCTTTACCAATCGCTTCGTAGCAACTTCTTTTGGCTTAAGGGATCGTATTTTGATATTTGGCACTCTACTATACTATCTACTACATTAGCTTTCGTTATTCAGCAACTGTCATTGTGAAATGATTTATGCATTTTTAAAGTAGCGGTATAATGTATGCACAATGTAGTGAGTACTTAACATCAGCTATTTTTATAATGTAGTGAGTACTTGACATCAGCTATTTTTATTCTTGACCGTTGTTCATTTCCTTCTTATAGGGTTATCCAATATATTTTGAATTTAAGAGTTTCTTAGAACAGTTTCGTTGTTTGGTTTCTACCAAAGAGTCGAATACACCTTCATCAGATTTAAAAGCAGCTTGTGTTGCATTACTGGATTTGTTACCAGTGGATAAGTCAGATTGGTTGTGTGGTAGAACGAAGGTACAGACATTTGATGAACTAAATACGCTACATACCTTAAATTATTTCGAATATCTATTTGTGCAATATTAACCATAAATTCATTTCTTCTTTACGTCTGTTAGATATTCCTACGACAATCTGCTTTTGATTCATTAGAAGATAGCCGTAAAGCGTTATTCATGGAAAAAGTAGTGACTGTACAAAGACTTTGCCGCGGGATGTACCACTGGAAGCGTAAGCTTATCACAATTGAACAAAGAGATATGCAAATATAATAAATTAAGACTACTTGATAGTTAATTTGTGGGTATCTACTACACGTCAACAGGTTACTTGAAGAAAAGACAAGCTGCTGTTATGCTGCAAAAGCACCTTAAAGGAAGAAAAGATAGAATAGCATTTCTAAAAAAGAAGAAAGCAGCTATAGTTATTCAGGTATTTCATTTTCTGAATAGACTATATAAGAAATTATCCAATATGCTGGTCCGTAAATTCTTTGAACTTTATCTTAACTTGCTCTGTTCATATAAACTATTTAAATATTAATGTTATGTAATTATAAAGTCTTACTGGAGAGGAGCGTTTGCTCGGGAACTGGCAAAGGAAATCAGGTACAGGAGACAGCAAGCAGAGGAAGAAAAGAAAAGAAAACAACTAGATGAAGATTCCACAGACTTGATGAAACAGATCATTGTCAAGCCAGAGAAAGAAGAGGATCATGAAGCTATTACTGAAAGGTCCTGCAAACCCCTTTGTGACCGCTACTAGAAAGTTAAAGTTAATTTTTTCCTTTCGTACTAGCAATCAAAATTCTTTACCATATTATACTTCAGTAAAATAAATCTAGCAATCAGAATTTTTTGAACCTATAGAACGCTTAAAAATATTCGTATTTCTTTCTTTACTGATATCCTCGATAGGCGTGCACAACGGGAGTTGTATACTTTGATAAGAATGGCAGAATTAAATTGCAAACCTAATGGCAAAACATCATTGGAAGATCTGATTAAGTTTATAAAAGGCCAAAACAATTACTATCATCACAAAATTAAAGCACGTCGTGATATGCAAGAGAAATTAGTTCAAATTTACAAAGAAATGGATGTTATTTTTAATCAAGATACCAAAGAAGAAGTTCGTACATTTTTATGTTTTATTATTTTTTAGTTTTTAATTTTGGCTTTTGAAGTCCTAAAGGTTCTTAATTATTGTAGCTTAAAGAAATGATTAGCAGTTTTAATATGCATTTATATCGCTATCGTGAAATAAAGTAAAGGAAACTGAACAATTTTTATTGTATCTTTAGGTGTTACCGAAAGCTACAGGATCGATATCAGAGCAGCGAAGAAATCGTATTAAGAAAGCTGTTGATAAACTGGAACGAAAGACTAAATCTCAGCCAAATCATAGATTCCCACCTGGATCTGCACATAATAATCCAGCTACGAATGAAGGAGATTACAGTCTTGTTGAATTCGCAAGATTATACTTTAATGATCATAATAAAGATAGCAACCACAAAGCCTCGGGAAAGAAAACATTAAAGAGGAGTGGTGTTAGTAATAAGAGTAGTTCTTTATCCTCTATAGATGACAGAATATATTCAATGCTTGATCTTTATGCGTAGAATTTAACAAATTTTAAAAAATTTTTAAATTACATGATTATTTACACATTGGTGGTCTCTTATTTAAAAAAATATTTATGCATCAAATTTAAACATTGATTTATCCAATAGACAACATCGCGTGAAGAATTACTAAAGTATACATCATCAAATACTATTCATATGTCTCATATTCATATCCACGATAGAGAAAGTGAAAGATTAGCATGTTCAATTTTTAAGGTATGTGATGACTGTAGGACACTATCGAAGGGATCAAAGTGCACTTTTTAAAATATCTTAAGTAACCACGTAATTAGATGATCTTTCTAAGACTTACTGGTTTTAATTATTACTAACCATCATTGACAATGAATTCTTTCAAAGGATTTAAATGTATACTTGCACCCTGAAACGTCTGAAGAACACTCTTGTGAAGTAGTACAACGCATTGTTGGCCATGGTATCAATAATAGCGAACTTAGAGATGAGATCTATGTACAGATTATCAGGCAAGGAACAGAAAATCCTAAATCTGGTTCTAGTTTAAAAGGCTGGTGTCTTATGGCTTTATGTGCAGTAGCATTTCCGCCTAGCAAATTGTTTAGTAAGGTATGTATGTGTCCCTGCAGATCATCAATTTTGTTGAATTATAAGCTTTTGAGACACAAATTTATCAGAAACGAAATAATGCATTCGCTCAATTGTGCTATTTATATAATATACATAATATCGTAACATTCAATGCATTTTGAACTGTTAACAGTATTTGGTCCAATATTTAAAATCGAGTATGGATAACGTCTTTATTGGTCACTATGCTTCATGGTGCAAGGATGTACTTCGCCAAACTAAAATTGGTGCTCGTCGGCATTCTCCATCGAAGATTGAATTTCGGGTATATAGTATCTTATAAGAGGTTTTACTATGTAGTAAATTATTGTAAACGTTCTTCTCTATTTAATCTAGGCTGTGCAATCGCTTAGTCCATTAATGTGTCAATTTTACTTAATGGACTGCAAATCTGTAGTCATTGAGTATGAACTGTATCATACAGCCTCCGATGTCACTAAGTTGTTAGCCAAAGCCATAGGATTACAGAATTATGACGGTTGGGCTTTGTACGAGGTGAGCTAACTACGCTAGAAAACAGAATTAACCATAAAGATGCTAAGTGTTATTATTAAAGAAATCCTATCTTCTCATCATTTAGTATGTACTATAGCGGAGAACTGTCCATTCTAATAAGTTATCACTTAAAAATTTTACCTTCTTTATTAGTCCACGCCTGACGCTGATAGCTACATCAGAGGACATGAATTTCTGGTTGATGTACTAGCTCAATGGGAAATGTAAGTTTGTTACGTAGATATTTGTGTTAATCTTATTTTTTAGTCTTTACATTGCAATAGCATAGTAACTGGGGAAACTATATCTCTATTACTTATCATTTCTTTATCATTCATGGATGTAATTTTTATTAGAAGAGATATCATGCATCCTACGGTATTTTTAGCTTATCATTCTACGTAAATTAACTTTAAGATATCGTTAAATATTACAGAGATAATCGTACGTCAGCTATCATGAGGAACTATAATACACAGACGAAAGAGAGACCAGTGGAAGTATTAGGCGCTGGAGACGCTCGATTTATTCTAAGAAAAAGAATATTTCTAAATCCTAAAGCATTACCACAAGACCTGGTTGAACATCATTTAATATATGCTCAAGCTGTGCATGACATTATAAAGGTTAGCATCTTAACTTTATGTTATTACTGTGAATTACTAGTATTGATTTTCTGCGTCTAGGCTTGTTAACGAATATCGCTATTTATACATACGAATTAATTCTACATTTGCGGTATCAATCCTAGGAGGATAAATTTCCAATCACTAATAAAGTAGCCTTTCAATTAGCTGGCCTGCAAGCTCAAGTCTGTTATGGAGACTACGTATCATCTAGAAAGGACAGGTATTATCTCCAAAGTTGATAATAGAACATGATTATCCATCTGCAGGGAGATAAATTTAATTGCTAGTAGTATCTATGTTGTATTGATGTATCCCTTTATTAACATTCGGATAAAGAAGCTGCATGATGCTTAGTGATAATGTTAATATAAGCGGCGACTATGGTAATTGAATTGATTATCATCTGAGCTGCCTCTTGTGGTTATTCGTTGTTAACAACATCAAAAGCTCTTTATCGCCAGTATGAAAATACCCTTATTTATATTTTGATCGTGACAGGTATACTCAACCTTTCGATTTCCTAAGTTCGAGAATAATAGAAAACAGCAATGCTCAACGTATGGAGGATATCTCTAAAGCAATAGCACAAGCGCATAAGGTTAGAATCTGAGTACTATTTCACATAAAAAGTTAATCGTTCCTATGTAATCAATTCTCTGATTTAAAAATAGTGTACTTACTGTACTCGCATTAGTTGTTTATGTGGTTGCGTCACCATATCGCCGATTGACGTAATAATTTCTACAATTTAGGATTATGGTTATGGATTATCAGAAATACAAGCAAAAGTTATTTATTTAACTTGCATTAAACAGTATCAACTTTACGGAGCGACCCTATTCGAAGTTACCTATAAGGGATTCTGGATGTACCCTAATCATATTTATTTGGCCGTGGACCACATCGGTTTCAAATTCGTGAACTATCACAAAAAAGAAATATTAGCTTCGTACCCATACTCTGCATTAGATCATATTGGCATAGATTTCGAACATAGTGTACTGACCTTAAATGTTATCACCCAGGAAAACGATCATCGGTGTTTTATGTTTGAAACAAATCATAAGGACTGTATCGCGAGTTTAATCGTTAGCTATTCTCCTACACATAACAACTGGCTACATGTTCAAGGGGGTCAGAAGTTGATAAAGGTTTGTTTCACTGAGAAGAGACAACTAAATATTCATAAATTACTGTAACTGAATATAAAGTTACATGTAATATAAAAAATTGGGCATTGTAGATATTCAGTAAAAACGCTGTGAAAGTTTGATACCAGCGAATGAGAATAGCTGAAAAACTTAGTTTTACGTTCTATTTACATGTTTCATGATTGCTAAAATCTTATGGAAAACAAAACAGTTTAGTTCATGGGTAGCAGGATTATAAATAACGTAAAGTAATAGAATTTTTGTTTTTGTCTGTAATAGGGTCATGTTAATAAAGAAAGTAGAGTTAAATCAAATGAAGCAATAATTTCATCAAGACGTGCTCTAGCTAATAGTGGACTATTAAGAAAATTTTACGATAAACCTGGACTGGTTGCCGGCTCTATAACGCGGTAATTGTAGTACTTTACTGAGAAATTTGTTAACGTACAAATCTGGAGAAATCCTTTAGCCTATTCAAACTATAATTTAAAACGTAGTACTTACCAAAGAAAGTAATGAATACTTATTTAAATTAATATTCTTTGTTTATATAACGTGAAGTAATTGCAAATATTAATAGTGCTTTCAGTATCTTACAACTGGTGTAAAAAAATTTGTGTTAAGACAGAATATTGTAATATCGATACTGATGTTATCTCTTATTCTGAAAATATTATCGTTGCATTGCATAGTTTTGCAAGAAAATTTGATAAGCATTATGGTATTCCTGATGAAAAACTCTTTAAATCATCGTTTTGGACCTTTTCAAAAATTCCGATTAAAAATTCATTAACGAAACTGAGCAACGCTAAAGGAAACCTAGGGGATGTTCGTAAGTGCCACATACCATGATGTAGATAGAATTATTGTTTACCTATATGATAATTCGACAACTCAGAAAAAGCTCGTTAACGAATGGTCTCTTCGCCTTTTTTTCTATAATTTTAAGGAAACTAGTAATAAGCATAATTTTGTAAAGTATGATACTTAGTGTATAGGGTAGTAGCTGAAGTATATGCAGGAGGTTACTTCAGCGCGGGTTTTGACCATCATCTAACAATTTAGATTAGGATACAGCATACTAAGAATGTAATATGAATTGATTTCACGAAATGAGAGTAAATCCAGGCTAGTTTCGCTAAACCTTTAATAAAATAACATTAAATTTTATTCTTTTTATTTGCAATGTACTACAATATAGCACGTGATGAAATAGCTTTAGAAATGTTTAGCGAGATTTTGGCATTTGGAAATCCAGGACATGCTAGTAGACGTTCGAGTCTAATAGAAGCAGGACGATTAACGCCCGATAGTAACAACGAAAACGGTTCAAATCGTGTTCAACTTCAGGCTAGAGAAAATGAGCACGAGTTGCTAGCTCAGCAACTTTTAAATGCTATTATAGCCGATAACGAATTATGTAATGAATTTTATTTGCAAATCATTAAACAAACTACAGATCATCCAGGTAAAATGGCCAACTAACTTTGTTATATCTACGGAAATTATTTTCAGCACTTGATATTAGTCACATCTTGGTTATCGACGTTATTAACTTGCTTCGTACTATTAGATCCTACTAGTCGCGTTAACACACGGAATTGGCAACTCCTATCGGCAGCTGTTTGGACAGCACTTTCATCTAACAAAGTACGATATGATGTTTGCACGCAACTTTGATTAGTTCAAAATTTTTGTAGACCTTTAAATTCCATCCTTGAACTTCGATTCATCATTTCGCTTATGCTAAACCATATATTTTCTAGCAATGATTTAATAAGTGTTACTTTAGTGTTATCCTTGATCTTTACCTTAAATGTATTAATTTCTCATATTATAATTACAAATAGCTAATTTTAGATTTGCTATCGGCACATCTTAATAAATATATGCTGGAAGCCAATACGGACCAGGGAAAATATGCGCAATTTTGCTTGAAGGTAAAATACGTTGGATTTTATTTACTGTACGGCTTCAGTAAAGTCATCGCAATGCTATATAAATCACATTGTAGGGACTAGCACGTGTTAGAGAGAAAAAGAATCGTAAATTTGCGCCATCGATTAAAGAAATTAAGTGCCTGATCCGAAGGTAAGCTAAATTTTTTGATGCATTGCTGACAGGCTTTACTTACGATCTTTTCGTTGTAATTGAAATGTTATGTTTGATGTTGATCCTTAGACGGCCAATGCATGCACGATTTTACTTTATGGACGGTGAATTTAGAGCATTGGAATTTGATTCTGTTACAACAATAGATGAAGTAAGTATGGATTTAAAGCATATTTTTACTTATGATGTTAGATTACACGAATATAAATCGGTACGCCAAGTTATGTTCAAATGATCTGCTAGTTGTCTTTATATTGTATTGTCTATTCTAGCTGATATTGATTCTTTTTTGTCAGATTACCGAATTAATAAAAAGGAGAATTGGTCTACTGCCATCAGCCTTTGGCTTCTCTCTATACGAATGTCGGAATAGTCTTGAGAGAAGTATCAACGATAGTGAAAAAGTTGCCGATGTCCTATCAAAATGGGACCTGTACTCACGTGTGGAAAATGATACGACAGAAGTAAAATTAACATTTAAGGTAGTAAATTCAATTAAATCTAACAATTAACATCTTTTATCCTTGTGTAAGCTCCAACTTAACATTTTATTGTGATGCAGAAACGGTTATACGTTGGTAATGGTACATTCTATGATCCTGAAGATCGTGTTGAATTTGATCTCTTAATACATCAGGTATGTAGCCACGCTAACTACAAATGTAATCTTTATGATAAATTAAATTATTGATAGATTAATTAATGAACAACCTGTATGAAACTAACATTCATAACAATTTATTAGGCTTCAAGCGATATCATTAACGACAAATATCCTCTGTATTACGAGGAAGCGGTAGGATTTTTTTAGAGTAAAATAAATGCTTATGTTGTAAGAAACTTACATCCTAAATATTCTTAATGATTTTTAACTTCGTGAAATCTTCATGCTATTGTTATCATGTCGAAATTGCTAGTGAAAGAGATATTTTAAAACTGTAAAATTTTTTAGGTTTTTCTATGTGCATTACGTGCACAGGCTGAGTTAGGCGACTGCGAAGATGATCTAGATGAGAATATGAGACCGTCTTGGGTTGGTCCAGAAATTGAAGTGACCGCTGATTATGGTCCTATCGTCAGACGAAGTCTTCCTCGATATCTGCATCATAAAATTAAATTTATTGATGTTAAGCGATTGCATCGTACACTTGTTGACAAAGATCGTGATTCAATATTCAAATTGTACATGGAGTTTGTTAAAACTACATGGAGTTTATATGGATCCACCGTGTTCGATGTAACGCAAACGTACACTTCGGAGTTGCCAAAGACCTTATGGCTAGCGGTATCACACAGTGGTGTGTATGTTCTAATTAGAAGGGCTAAAGAGCCTCGATTTAGTTTTAGTTACAGTGAGCTAGTGAGTTACAAGCCATCACTGACTAGTCTTATGCTTATAGCCGGAAGTTTAACTAACGGTAGAAAATTCGTCTTTAATACCAATGAAGCGGTTCAAATTGCTCTCTTAATAAGAGATTATACACATTACATAGTTGACCAAAAGAAACACAAAAGTGTTTGACCGTCAGAAAGTACCAGCTAATATCACACTCAATATTGCTAATTAAAGTAAGACTACATTGTATGCCAAGTCTATTAATTTAAGCAAAATTATTGTTACGTTTCATTCGTTACAAACGAAACTTCAAGCTATCCTTGTTTATTGTGCATAATATGCTATTGAAATTTGGTTACTCCTACTTGAGATGAACTTAAGTTTACATGGACATTACTGTAAGGTTCCATTCGTGGTAACCAAAAAAAGTCTTTTATGAATATTTATAGAATTTAAATTAAAGCAGAAAAAGCTTTTAAAACAGATAATTTGTTATAAATTATGAAATTTGAAAAACATCGTAACTGTTCGGTTAATGTTAAAGATGTGATGAAATTTATTCTGACCTACTACAAAGTAATTTCTCTTTTTTAGCACGGAAAATAGTTTACATCCAATTAAAAATTTTATGACAAAATTATGTATCGACTGCCTTCAAGGCCTGACATCGTATCATCTAATATTTAACATGATTTAATTATGGCTGGATCATGACTTACACGTATAAAATCTACAGTGAAAACTTTATATCAGTGAAGGTACAGTAACCCCTACATTCTATTTGTAAGAATTAACTTGGATTTGACAGTAATAATAAGCTGTTTCATTTCTTACTCAGCTTATTTAATTCTTAATTCAATATTGAACGCATCGCTTCACTCGTATCAAATTTATTTATTTTAAGTTATTAATCAATGGCTGTAATTCTTAAGATTTATTATTCTGAAAATATCTTGAATTTTTACATGATACAGTAAATGTAAATGTCGTATTCATAATTATTATGGTAGTATGTTCTATGGTACCGATCGTTACTTCACGTTTGAGTGATAGTCAAATATTTGATATAGTCGATTGATAATTTAGGAATACTTTTTCAATTCAAAATTACTGTACAGTTAGTTGTACGTACTGTATATTGTATGCAAAATATAAAAAGACTAAGTCATATTTGCTATATGGGCTTATATGTAATATTATATACAATTTAACCAGTGATGCAAAGTAGCTGTCAAATAGTATTATTGTTGCTTGTATAAGATCGATTTTAAGTATGTTATATACAGAATTGTTAGTCTTTTGAGAACTTTTGAGACCATAGTTGTTGCATCTTATATGTTTGATATTTACATTAATATTTATGTGTATAAATACTGCGAGATCGCCGACAATACGTAAAAGTTGTAAACTATTATAATATGTCTTAATCTATACTTTATATCGTATTCATATTTTATGTTGAGTGATTGAATATGATGTACGTGTGTTATAATCATTTTGGCATGTCTTTATGGTACAAGTGTAATTTGTATCTCCCTCTTTCTTTCATATACGGCATATACATAAGAACTATTTTCAAGTAAATTAATATTAGACTGTAACAATTATTTATTTCAACAAGCTCTTTCGCATAATGATAATAACGACTTGTAAATGATGCTTTTCCGTTATTTATGACATCCTAAATATTTCGTTAATGTACAATCGCAAATAAGTATCAAATGAAATGAAATTTTCAATATTCTTGACTTTTCGATCACTTTCATAAAAACACTGACAACTTTAATAAAATTTTGAGCTATCATATTAATCAAGACGATGATCTAAGTGTAAAGGTGGTACAATGTGCATACTTTGGTCAATGACATACGGTAGCAGTTTACTAGAGGAAAAAAATTTTACAAAATCTTCATAGTATTGTCTGAAAACAAGTAACACATTTAAGCGTAAACTCATAGGGTTAGTAACTAGACTTTCTATTAGATTCACTAACTATTAAACAAAATAAAATAACTAAGAAGGTCTATGTAAAATATTCTGTAATATCAGTAAACAAAAGAAATCCTCGCCAAAGCACTTTAGCGCCAACTTTAGTGAGAACTTGTTATTTAGGTGCATTATACAATATATGATAAAAATATTGGTTATCATCATGTAAACAAATTAATAACTCGCCACCTTACCAATAACAAAATGAAATACTGTACATGAATACAATTAAAAGCATCCAATGAAGATTAAGATAGTTAAAATGTACTATACGATCATTTTCATTTACCGGATATTTGTTCATATTAGGGTTGCTATTAAGTTGCTATCGGTATAATACTGTTTATGAAATTTAAAAAAACTATATTGACCACATTATATAAGTCGCGCATTGATTCACCTACTGTACTGTTGATGGAATACTAAGGAGTAGTATACAAATTATAGAAAATTAAAATTAAATTTAAATTGGTATAAACAGGTTTCTAAATTTCTTTTTCAAAAACTACTACGTAACAAGTTACGAGGTCTATCTTGTAACTGAATTGCAGAATTGAAATCTATTACGGAGATTAATTCGTTTGTAATTGCTTAAAATAATTAATGTCTACAATAATTAATAAGAATCACTTAACGTTAGGAAAAGTAACGAGAACGTTTATCTTATTGGAAAGTATTTCCTTGCAACGTCATTTACAGCGGTCGGCAACTAATCCTCGTTATGCAACATTACGATATAGTAATTTATTGCCAAGAAGTTCCATAACTTTGTTTCTCGTTTCCTAAGAGTGGACTTTGTTCAAAGCTATTATAGTTCACATTAGCATCTTCAGTGATTCGATCAGTACGGCTATTGTTGGTGTTTATTAACTCAATATTTTTTCGTCTTTGCCAGCATCGATAAAAAAGTAATGGTGATTGAGGAAAGGGTGTTCCTCTGTCTCTTAAGCGATTCTGTACAGCTATGCCGACAACAGAGAGTACAATCCATAAAGAACAAAATATCCAGTCTGAAATGATGATAAAAATTTGAAGAATCAAATATACAATCCTTGGATCAAGCTATAAGTACTTGCTTTATATCGTAATGTCAAATAACCATTAGGATTCAATTATAAAGATATAAAAGAAAAGTTATATAAACAATACAGTAGAACTATTCTTGATAAATTTGAAGAAAAATATAATCGTAAATTAAATTAGCAGTAGATATAGATGAATGTATTGTAGGATAACTTTGTGAATTTAACAGTGATACGTTATTTTTAACGTGCAAGATTTAATTATAGAAATTGCTGTCATCATAGTCAGCGATTATCCTTACCGTCAATACTAAATGGTAGTGATGTTATAAGAACATCCACTTTAGTCTCTACTAAAGCATGCCTGAAGATCGAGAGAATAAATAATCCAAAACTGCTATGCACAAAATGGCTAATACCAAATAGGAAGAGGTATGCTCCAATAATAGCAGGCGTGATAATAGTCATGGATTTTGTAAATATAATAGTAAGTAGAGCAAAGATGACCAATATTAAGACGAATAACAGAGCAAAGTTAACCCTAGTCCATACGGTTAATAGGCCAAGTGGTGTAACTGTGAACACTATCGATATCAATAGAAATCCTAGTGGTGAGGCCATAAATGCAAGAAGAAATAGGCACATGCCGAAAGCGTACCATATCATGACAAAAACAGCACCAACCAGAATACTTGCTAATGTCGTAACAGTCAATTGTAGAGATAAATGAGTTTTTAACCAACCAGTAACAGCAACGACAACGAAACCAGCGATAGCACCAATCAGGCAACCAATAATGAATAGGAATGACTTAAAAAATCGCGCAGAAAACAAGCACATACATAATCCGACAACTGACAATACAACAGCTAAAATTGTTGCAAAATAATTGTAAGGTCCAGTTTCACAAGAGACAATTTGATTTCCCTTATTATTTTGTTGTGTTAAATTGCAAAAATAGGTTGTTGCTGGACTATATGCGGCTTCACTCCGAAAGAATGGATCTCGTACGATAACTCCATAAATTGCACCATGTCCGAAGACTGAATTCATAGCAATGATAGTCTGTGTTTCACCGCCAAAAGTTCGAATCTGAAAGATGATCATCGTAATAAATAGATGGCAATTATAAAAGTTACTACAATCATAATCATAAACTTAACTCGTAGTTGTTGTAAATAAGCAATGATCAGCAATCACTTCTATTGACCGTTTCATCGCTATATATTTTAAATCTAAATCTAACGATGATCAAGGATACTAAAATTGGTCAACGTGATACATATACTGTATATGTAGTTTAATTGTTCATATTACTGGGCTATTAAGGGTCGTTTTATTATTTTACCATATTTGTTTATCTGAAATGCAGCATGTAAAAAATACACCACGACGAGATAGTGTTGAAAAAGTCATTTCTTGATTATTTTGTTTCGTCACGATATCTCAATGCTATGGAGAATGTTGTACTGACAATTTTATGTTAAAGTAAAAATATATAATTATTTCTTACTGCGTAATCTGCGAGAGATCCTATTAAAATGTAGCACATATTTTGAAATAGCTTATTTGATTTGCGGTACAACTCCAAAGTATATGTAATCCATGAATTGTACAACAGTGGGCTTCTTCAAAGCTAGTCTATAACTTTACCCACAGTAATTGAAGAGAAAAAGTATGCAAAGTACGTACAGCATGTTTAAAATATTTAAAAGTTTATAGCATTTGTCACTGATATCGCATAGATTTATGCTGCAAATGCAATACAGTAGAATATCGCAGTAAGAAATAATTATGATGTTGTCACCTCTTTTCGTGTTATGTTAGTACGATACCAATGCTATCATGTCGTTGCTATACGCCTAATTTACGATTCTCCACCAATTAAGTTGAATTCTAAAACTTACAAATTTGCCATGTTTCCGAATATTTTCAGGTGTAACCATATAGTGGACATTTTTAAATAATTCCTTGCCATTTATATTCCATAAAGGCAAAAATAGTTGATACAAGTCGTACTGTAACCGAAATCGACTAGGCGAATTACCACCACAATGTGGCTGTTGATCTGAAAGTATTTTAAAGACAAGACATTATTAATAATTTCTATTAAGAGAAGGTGTAGTAACAAGAAGCTTTGAAGATACACTCATAACAGATATGTAGATCAAAAAAACCTAGTATAAAACTTATGCATAGACATAACTACAAGATAATGTAATTGCCAATACTGTACTTGGTTTCGATTTTAGTTCATTCTGTGATCTCTGAGAATTAACTTTTATTGCAAGTGTTATCTATGCCTTGATCAAATGAAACATCGATAAATATCCCTTCAGTTATTGACTCATAATCTCTCATTCTTTGCTATCACCTATATATAATTTGGAAATTTAATGCCCTAATTTGGCAATTTAGTAAGAAAAAAAGGAAAATGATTGAAGCCTATATCGTCCATATCTAAATTATGATTGTCCTTTGTCATTGTACAGTCCTGTGAGTATCATTATTAGGAGCAGTCCCTAGTCCCTGTAACGAATTGACTTGTATTATAACCCTGCTAATACTTTCATTGCTAGCATGATGTTCACAGAACAGTAGTGCATAATGAATCCATTTGATCTAAAAATTATCTTCCAAGCTACAGTACCCTAGTACAGATTGGATAGGATAAATGACATAGTAACTGTATCATTCACGAATGACTACTGTCATTACAGTACTGTATTTGTGATTGTGTTTGTAATTGAAGAAAATTATCCAGTTTGTGCTAAATACTAAAAAGTACATGAATAGTATGGTAAAATGCAAAGCAGAGATGATAGATGATTCGATACAAGTGGTGATAAAGAAATAAAACTAAGTCATATAGCGTTCGAAGAAGCATTACTGCCTACGTGTTTGCATGTATCTTGTCTACTGAATAACATCTTACTACCGATTGTATTGTAACAACTCCATTAGCCGATTATGGTTAATTGAATTAATTGAGTCCATTTGTGAGAGGCATAGAGGACTAGGAGAGTACAAATATTAAACATGGGCTGCATTTTTTTTCTCTTGTAGTAGTTACCGTTTTGAAAGCCAGCATTTGCCTGATCAAAAGATACCCAAGTAATCCATGATGAAGTTGTTAATACAATATTCGGATCAATATCCAGATCGCAACTTAAGCAACAGCCACCAGGTAAGGGTGCGAAATTTTTATAAGGAACAGCAACAAGTTGTGTAGCAATAGTTGAAGGCAATCGAGGAAGGTTTTCTTTGCTGTTGCCCTCATCTGTTGATAAGCTTAAGTATAAATTGGCAAATTGATTTTCATTGGTAAAGACTTGGATTAAGCCAGGATTGATCGATGTTATGGTATAATCACTGGATGTGGCATCTTTTAACGATGCTGTTATAGGATAATAATGAGAGTTGGCAGAAAAGACAACAAAACCATTATCACCGCGTTTGCTGTAAATAAAACGATAACGATCGCCATTGCTGCTAAGATTATATCGGATAAACTGATTAGCGTTGAGCATGATTGCATCATGGTAGTCACCATGTTGTTGCGATGGATTGAATTGGATTTTAGTAGCATTGACTGAAAGGCATTGCACAGTCGATAGTAACAACAAGCAAGCCCAGATGAAGTTGTTGATAGGCATAATGGAGATTTTACTTGGTTATGATGAAAACAGATTGATTGCTAGAGTCCACTTAATTTTCTCTCAAGACTTTTACCAATGGTGGCGTCGTTCATTGAACTTGTAATTTCTTCGCTTCACCAACGAATTCCCTACGAATGACGATACTTTAATCTTTGAATCCAATGGAAAGCCAGGGGGGGGGGAAAAAAAACACAGGACTGACAATTGTCTTTATCCTTCCAATCCGCTAGGTAACCTACTACCAAATAGAGGAAAATACGACGACTAATAGATGAAAATCAACAAATAGACATTGGCTTTTCCCATGGCCATCTTCTTCTTCTTTGTCGTTCTGACCATTGGCGACGAGTGAGCCTACTAGATTACTGATGGGGGGTGGGGCTACTGAGTGACGCCAGTGACGGATCGAAACATTTGGCATGACGTTGATATGATTCATATGATTTGTGTGTGACCTGCACCGCAGTACGACCCGATGGTCCAGTGCTTGATGTACAGTGATACAGTACAGTGCAATACAGGACCATAACTGCAGTACAATACAGGACCATAACTGCAGTACAGTACAGTACTGTACGAGTGTACGTCCGTGTCAACATGATGAGCAAAATTGTTTGTTTACTACCTTAGTACTGTACACAGTGTACAGTACAGATGTATTGAAAAGAGAAAAGTCTCAGTACTGTAGCTGTATACGATCAATTTCTGTGGAGAAGATGGTCCATCCATCCTTCCTTCGTTCTACTGTATCATTCTAGAAGCAGGGCTTACCGTAGTTGTCGGCATTGTACTGTAAGAGACAGAAACAGTATGGGAAATTCTACAATATATAGTACAGCAATATTACAGTATTTTCGTATCAGATACTGTATTTTCATCAAAGTACAGTACAGTATAAATGAAATGTACTGTATTGCTAGATAATTATCGTACTGTACAGTACAGTGTACAGTACTGTATCACTGACTCACAATTTCTCTCTCTCGAATATCTCTCTTCCATAATGTTCATGCAGCACATACTGTACAGCAATATTATTTTCGTATCAGATATTTTCATCAAAGTATAAATGAAATCTATTGCTAGATGTCGGTATAAACTACTGCATTAGCCCGCTAGTTTTAGTTCTATTTTCTTTTCCCCAGTTCAACTACAGTATCTACAGTAAAACGAAATTGAAGACGGCGTACAGTGTACAGTACAATGCTGTACTGTATTGTACTGTAGCAAACGTACTGCACATTGTACACGATATGCGTATACTGTACTAGTCTACTGTATGACGTACACGAAGGTACGCTACAGTACACTACAGAGCTTACAGCTTGCAACGGAAAGCATACTGTCACTACATAGCCAACTCTTGTATCAAACGCTTTCAAGGCAGGGAAAAATGGTAGATCAACAAGATGTGGGCAATCACTCCATTGGAGGAGAAATTGGTCAGGTATAAATCATGACAACTTTGCTTTAATTCCTATTTTACACCTTGCAAATACTTGCAAGACAAGATTAGCTTACTTTATTTTCTAGTTCTTCAACTAGTGTGCAAAAAATGATACAGTACGACATCATGTTTATAATGTCGTAAAAATGGGCAACCCGGTTGTTGATAATCAGGAATTAATGAATGATTCATAAAACTGCCATCAATACCATATTGCCACCAAGGCTTTCTACGAGTTATTCGCACCTTTATTCTCCACCAAAGTCGTAATTTGTTGTCATACGACAATCCTGTAACTCTTCCCGTGCACAATACAGCATTGAACTGCTAATACATATACTCTTTTTTGCTTGTGTAAGTATTATACCAATGCAATATCGATTTCTCGGCGTTATACCACACATTCACTTTTTCTAGCTTCAATAAATTCTTAGTTTACTATCATTCAATAGAGCTGTAAACACTCCCCCTTCCACAATAAACATTGCAATTGCTTCCTGACTTTATCCACTGTACGAGTATGCTGGCTTACTAAGTCAATGTACTACTGATGAAATAGAACAATCTAAATGACAATCTTGGCTATTAACAATTCACGAGTAATGTAGTGTGCAGTTAAAAATCACCTTGCAAGATATTTTCAATGCATACCAGTATCTTGCTAAATCAACGATCATTCATCATTGACACATGCACGTCTAAGAATTAGCAAAGTGATGTATTCACAGTTAGTAACTTTCACTAGCTGTAAAATTCATTTGTCAACTGCCTAAACACTGTAAAGAGTAAATGGTCTAAGTCATATTCACTATATATCATAATAATAATGCGTTGTTTTCGCATGTATTACTTATACGAAAGATTGTTTAAACCATGTCAATTTCTTTTATTATAATACCTCAATGCTAATGTCAATATTAATAACATTGCCATTCTAGCTTGATCTACAACGAGCTAAGCAGCAAGTTCCACAGCTTGAAAATATTTGCAGTATTCCTAATTATGATAAAGATAAAGAGAGTCCCCAAATTTCTCTTGTACTCCAAGAATATCGATATATTCAGTCATTCTTAGATGATCTGCACGACAGCTTATCTCAATATTTAAGTCATGAAAAAGGACAATTCGATCAAACTACCAACAGTGCTAACAATAAAAATTTTCCTCAAGGAGATGGAAAAAGGTAATCGATGATTTAGGCTCAAGTACTAAAGTAGAGCCATCATTAACCTACTCGCTATAATAATCAATGGTTATAAATATCAACATACTGTACTGGTACATTATAGTGATAAATGTGATGGTTACCAATTTCTTTCTAAAAAGATAACCACTAGCTATTAATTATATTATACGAATTAATGAATTTCATTTAATGTAATTAATGTTTTTATACCTAAATTGTTTTAACAGTAGTACTGCGGTAATCAGTAAAACTACCATATTTTTACGGTACTGTTTCTGCTATTGAAGAGATTCTAGCAGCAATTTTAGGGACAAATACAATCATAAATCTACCGGACATGAACGAAAAACTAATAAATCATCAGCTAGAAGGGCTACATTACGTTTAGTAACAGATAATCAACGTATGAACAATCATCACAACGGTAAGTACAACCTATCTACTGAAAAAGTCAGACCTGGCCGGAAGATAATAATTACCTTAACCGTTATACACTGATTTAAAAACAATTATCTAGAAGCTAAAGGAACGACAAAGTTGAATACCGATACTACAATTGAATTATCCAATACACGGGAATTTCCAACACTCGGTCAGAACAGGTACTACTGTAGTATATATAGTAAATTCTTGATTTACATTGATTACATTGTAATACCCTACTAGGACTACCGGAATCATACTGTTATGTACAATTCTGGTGGCAATTTCGTACGTAATAGCGACATTTCCTCAGCTCAACTACTAACCTTATCACTATCTCTCTTTCATATGTATAAATAGCCTGAAAGAACAACCTGTTAAATCTCCTAGAAGAATAACACCAACGCGTATTAATACTACTACAAACCCATGGTGTATTGATGATATGACGGAAAAATTTAATCATAAATCAAATTCCTACAATCCTGAAGAACTAGATGAGCAAGATTTTAACAGCGAAAGACGCCTTTTGAGACTAGAACGAGCAAAGAGAAGCACTACCAAGTCTAAAACTTACAATAGTAGTCACACTCCAACAAATGATGACATAAGCAACGCTAAAGGTCCGTTACATGATACCGGTGCTGCAATTAATACCACAATAGTTCAATCAACTACACGCCACTGCACACAAATCAATGAAGTAACAAAAACTCTAGCTGACAAGCATACCAATGATGGAGTGCTACAAATTTTAGCTAGTGTATATGCTGAAATTATTAAAGGTATTCATTAATGTACTTAGTTAAAATTACTACTAGTCATGACAATGTCAATATTAATGATATCAAAATTTAACATCCAACATTTATCAGTATTTATGCATTTCTCAATTATCACTAAAAACGTATTCATTTTTCTTCAATTTTTCCATCTGTATTCATTGTATCACTTTTGAATTTGATTGTAGCAAACTTGGTGCCGAATTTGACTGTGGAACTCTACTTTCTATCGCAAGTTATAACTAACAGTTCTCAAGAAAATGTCCCTACTAACAAAAATATACCCATTAAGCTTTTTAATACCTCGACAAAGTGTGTTCATTTTGTCATCATGGTTTTGGATAAAATAGTTGATATACTAAGAAAGTTAGATGGCACTACTGTTCGTTACTTTATCGAAAATGAAAAGGTACGTATTAAAAATCTGTTAGTATCTAACGATATAAATTAATAACTGGAGATACTCTTTGACAAATTTTAAGTTAATGAAATAAATTTATCATTCAATTATGATGTAAACTTCACTTTAGATACGTGAAGTTTCCCTACCATCACTGCACAAACTATTCTTTGAGTTTGATAGAATGAAACAAGACACCGTAAGTGTATTATCGAGATGCCTGTCATTATTATTTAATAGATTTTATTAGATCAGTATCAACTATCCAATAGCTTATAATTATACAGTAGTTACGACTGCTTACTATAAATCTTTTCTATCATAATTCTATTGAAGAAGTAAATTATAAATGCTTACATGTTTTGCTATATTCTATTATCTGTTTACTTAGCGATCATCTATAGATTACTTGGAGCCTCCGCTAACTAATGTCCCATTTCAAGTGGAGAAGGACAATAGAAGTAATTTTCCAAATGAGCGCAGTTTCCACAGTTTCAAGCGTCAGCGAGATATGTTTTACGCGCTGATACGTGAATGGGAAGAAGCGCGTGGAAAGCCAGATTGGGATATGACTCCTGCAATTGGCAGCAAAATCAAGTATAGTATAATAAACATTTAAATCATTGTAATACTTTTCTCTAAATTACCCCTTATTCTTCGGCTAGATTATTAGTACAAGAAATGGATGACATAGTCAACTATTCTCATTTTGTTCAACTCTTCCTATCTCAATTAATCCTGGTAAGTACTTAACATTATTCGATATGCAAAAGCGACTTGTATTATATCACACTCGTTGAATGTTCCTTAATTTCAATCATTTTAACGTTAGATGAATAATTCCGATTATGATTATACCAAACAATTTGATAACGAAAGTGGTGATAGCTTCCTAAAAAATTTGCGCAAGAAAAGTCCAACAAAGTTCCGGAAGTAAGTTGTTGTTTTGTTCTTACTAATATATCTAAATAATGCATATCCTAACGGCCTTACGTAATCAAAATATCTTATACGCGCAATTGCCACTATCTGGATTACTGGTTTATATTATAGCAATACTTGTTTACGTAAAAATTGTGAGATTTATACTATTCTATCAACTAATACACGTACGAATCTGATACAACCAATGTATACTTTACACTCAACCATTAACATGATGATTCTAATAATAATATGCTCACAGACTCTATGAAAGATTTTTCAAACCAGCTAATCTGGGTAGTCCATGTCCTCCACCAATGTTTACGCGATCTGAAAAATTTTTCCGTGATTTTATACTTACAGCTGACAGGTAAAGCACTAGTAGTACAAGGTCATTTTAGATTTTAATTTTCAGTATGCTAACAATATTTTAGTGTATACTTTGCGAAAATATTACTATTACCCTAACACATTCATACTCCCCTATAGTTACAGGTTCAATCGACATCTTACGGACGAGTTGTGTAATAAATTATATCAGGTATAGAGAATTTAAATATTATGCAAAACATTATTAGAATCAGGGATTGATTCCACAGAACTGTAAATGTTTTTTAACTTAGATCAATGCAACGCAGTTTTATTTCGTTGAATCTTCGGATGCTAATAATGACGATATTAAAAAGTTAGATCAGGTATGCTTGATTAACTGTCGCTCTGATAAAATTATTAACGCCATGTAAGATATAATAAAAAACATGAACTCACCAGCGATCATCATTAAATTTTTTCTTCTCTTAAGGAAAATATGAAACTATTTTCAAAGTGTATTTTAACTCTCCGCGTTATTGCTAAATTTTTGGGATTTTTGATATTTTATCCATACCACACTCATTCTAAACTTCCTGAGGCATTTATTCAAACATCAATTGATGCAAGAGACCAGGTTCGATATTTGAAATCGATTCTTTTCGATCATTGTTAATTTCGTTATTAATGTATAATCATTAATAATGTTTAGTGTCGGCAAGACCCAGTAGATATTATCAAATGCTTCCATCAAGCACGTGAACAACACCGAAAAGTACTAACCATACCATGGATAATCGAATATCTCAGTTGGATGGATCCAGTCGCCCCCAAATTAGACCAGTATGAAAGAATTTTGAAACTGCTTGTCAATGAATATAGGTAACTTGTCCAAATACTTGCAATCCCATCAGAAAAATAGCAATTGTAATAATGTAAAGATGATCATAATTGATGATCTCTAATTGTTTAATGTTCCTATAATTTTTTAGTAAAATATTGCTAGCAAGGGGCACATGTATAGTTGTTGATGTAATCTAATAATGTAATTTTAAAAACTTAAAAATTTGATGTTGTGTATGCTTAATCAACAATTTCTAGGTTTACATCTCAAAAGAAACATAGCGAAAACTACTATAGAAATCACTTATTTATCTCCCTACTTCTTGGTTGGCTATTTACTAATATTGATTCACCACAACTGGAATTACTTACATTAAATAATCCCGACTTAGATCAAATCGAATATCCAGATGATAATATTTGTGGACCGGTAATTTTGAAAATATTTACTGTAATGTACGTCGTGTGATGCTAAAATATAATTATAAAAATATAACTAAACCATGTTTTATTTTAAGGATGACTTTGAAGTTATTGATGAACAGTTGTTAACCGCATGTTGTCCATACCTTGGTAACACTATCTTTTACATAAAATTATTACTTTTCTCCTCCAATAATTAATGCTCATGATTCATATCGCATTTCCTCAATAGGAGAAATTACATCAATCTTCAAGCGCCATTCAGTTCCTACTACAGGTTTATTACTAATTGACGGGTAACTTTGCTACCCGACGTTTCTGATTGATAATAATTCTCCAATAGAATTTATAGAAATCACATTTGCTTACATAGGAATTCGAAAAATTACGCTTTTAAGTAAGATTCCATCCTTAACTGAAGTTAGAGAAGGTCTAATACAGGTATTGACGTCTTAAAGTAGTTAAATCTTGGCCTCAATAAGTCTATAAAAACTTCTGTAACTAAATATTTCACAATGAACAGCTTCAATTAGAAGAACACTTCTTACGCTATCAACCACCCTATGTAAAGAGTACTGTTGATTTTACTTCGGATAGGTAATGATGTAGTTATTTGCAGAAAAAAAAACTATATTAGAGTCACACAATATAACTATTATACAAATATATATGTACTCTAGTGTGTTTAATAACATCGTTATTAAACTCAAAAGTGAGCTTCTTCTCCCATTTATCGAAGACGCCTCCAAGATTCTACAACAATGGTGAGCACATGCTTAAATTTAGTAAATATTATAACATTGCATATAAATATTGGTAATTTTAATACTTCATGTAGGGTAAACTCGAAAGACTCTAGCGATCCAGTTACGGTATGCCATAAGTATAGAATATATGCCTTGGTACAAATTTATCAGTATGACTATAGTGTTTTTGCTGATTAAACCATGCTTTTTTCACTCTATTTTTCAACATTTAGGATCAGCTGCAGCTAATGACTATTGAAACGTTGGGAACTATTTCAACTAGGGCCCGCACTGAGTTACACACGATTTTAACGAGGTACAAATATCAATTTTCGAATAATAGCTACAGTAAAGCTCTCGTCGTATTTTACATCATGCTATCAATGATTTACGATTACAGAATTTGTCATAAACAAGTTAAAGAGGCTATACGTATATTACTACCTCAAAATACATCCCAACAGGTGATCTCTACGTCAATATAACATATTTGATCAGTCTTTTCATCAGTACTGTGCATGTGTAAAATGGTCGGGTTTAAACGTATAAGGGATAATTACTAGAAATTGTTTTGCACACGTGAATACTCTATCAACTGTAAATAATTATTAAGGCTTGATTAGATTCTTGCTTATGAATAATCTTAAGCAATATAGATTGAAATAATAGTGTCGATGATACTCAATGCTCTTAAAAAATAGATGTGTGTAGGCTTTCTTCTTAACTGAATGCTATGGTATCTTAGGTAGTTGAATGTGCAAGTAGTATTGCCTGTCGTGTGACAAGGGAAAAGGTAAAAAAATGGACTGATGAGCCCTTACTTCGTAAGTGAACAAATCGCAGCAATACTGTAGTGAATCATTCATGTTGCGCATTTATTAAAACTTTGGCTTTATTTGCGTCTTTTCAGGATTCTTGGAAAAAGAAATTAACGTTGTTTCAAATAAATTACGGAAGTCAATTATGAATGATTCACAACAAAGAAATTAAGCTTACAAAAATAGTGGCGTAACATAAATCTTTTTAATTTTGTAAATGTCCCGTAATATCTGTTAGTAAGAGTATAGCACTATTTCACAGTCTAAATCCGCGATATTTTGAGATTATATAAACAACGACTCTAGTATACTATTAAGCTAATTTTTGAATAATTTTATAAAATTAGATCAACACAATGAACTAAGAGTTTATTGAAACTGTACGATATCTATTTAAAAATTTGATAGCAGCAAACAAAATTTTATAGAAACCTGTACGTTTATCTTTATTATATGCCATATACTGTACTCGTATATTTCACGATTTCGCGTATCCGATACTAATGATTACTACAAGTGTGGATGAAATTTACACTCATGATATCTTCTAAAATATTATAAATTAATAATTTTATAATCAACTTTAGTCAGAGAGAAAAAGTTCACTAAATTGTATTTATTACCCAAGCAATAACATCAGCATAATAATACTGTAAAGTGAGTCCTTTTATTTTTACACCAGCGGCAAATGGAAATGTTGCTTTTGTTGGCTATTTTAAGTAAAACTTGCGACCCGTTGGAAAATTTACTCTGGCTAACAGAGTTTAAGGATTATGACTGTCTCATACCTAATTATTTAATTGACAGTTGTAGTTGTTATCTAACATGGTATATGCGTACATATGTCAAAACCTGATTTTTTTATATTAATGCCCGATGGAATAAATATTTTATAACTATATAACATCTTAATTGTTATCTATAGCAAATCTAAATCTTGTTTATACCATAGTATACTGTATTTATTTCTTCGACTCATGACACCAAGTACATGAAATACCTACTGACAAAATTGTTTTTTTCATGAAGTTCGCTTACTGTTTTTATATCATATTTTTAAAAAGATGGTAACTTTTACAAGCACAAATGATCATCATGCCAAGATTAGCACTTTACATGGAGAATAGATATGATAATAGTTAACTCTTTTATTTCTCGTTCCTTATGACGAGGTAGATAAAACGTACACATTATGCTAATATAGAAGATCAATATATACGATGCCCAATTTGCTTTTAACTACAAATGGCAGAATGAATTAAGTAAAGCTGATGGCTTGATGACATAACTGATCATTAAAGAGAGTATTTCAAATCGAAAATTTACTTGTTAATTCAAACTTTAAGATGATATTGTATCGAAATAAAATTTTTGATTGCTATAATTTAGCAATCAATCATTTTCCAATTTAACAACTTAACTAAAAGTAGCACATCCTTTTCATAGATTTGTTTCATGTTAAAGCATATATATGAATGACTTTAATCAGAGTTAGATCATTTTATAGCCTGCAGCACATCAATATAAAAAAAACACTGACCATAACTACTATTGAATTTCATTTTTATGCTGTTGAGAAATTTTGCTCACGATTTGGTGCGATGTATTGATAAGCTGTTATAGAAGGTGGATTCATAGCAGAATCGTAATTATAGTCTTGATCGAATGATGAATTCCTTCTTTCCTTGGTAACAGAATATGGTAATTCATGAATCAACTGTCCCTCATGACGATGATGAGCTATTTGAGCTTTATTTTCATCTAACACGAAAGGTGTTGTCGTAGTTTTAGTACTAGGAATTGTATCGCAGTGAGATAGCTGCTGAGTTGGCGTATATAACAATGACGTTGGTGATTTGCTATTTGGATAATTAGTATTTCTTGAACTTGCTGTACCTAAAAAGCAAAAATAAGTTGTAGTTGTGGGTATCACGTAAAGATAGAAGCAAATTAGATTTGTGCTTTTATTTAAGATATTTGCCTTAGTTCGAATAATTATTTATATGTATAGTACGCATTAGGAGAATTTGTAAATAAATTAAAGAGAAATATAAATTTCTTCTAAAGTAAAAATTAATATAATCATAATGCAAGATAATCTTAGAGAAGGAAATACGGGTATGTCGATTTTACTACTCCAAAATATTATTCCAATCCAGAAATGATCAATCATTATTCAGTCCTATGAACTTCTATAAATTTGCTTCTGAAGTATACATAAATTTACATTTTTTCACTTGATTGATCATTAGGATACCATAGGATAGAGAGGAATGGCAATTTTGCTATAGTATAAAATTGTTCGTATATTGGGACAATCTAACTCTGAAATGATCAGTCTGCATTTTGTCTAATGAAACTCTCGGATCTTGGTTCCTAACACATACAGTATAGTATTAATGAAAGTTAACCCCAACACTGAGTAATAATCATTTCTGCAGTTATGATCTAACCTAAGCTATATTAAGATTGAATCAAGCTTTAGTCAAGGCTATTAAAGATTTAAATCATATTAGAATTTATACAAGGGGAGATCCATATCAGCTACTTCTATTTTATATACTTATGTAAATGGACTTACCTATCATTGGCACAAAGGAAGGACTACTGCATGTTTCGTCACTATATTGAGGTAATTTCATATCATAACGTAATTGTCCATGTCTATACGGCAATAAATATGGTTGATAATTATGGCGGAACATGGCTCGGCATGCATTTTGTTTAACACGTCGCTCTTTTGAGCGTCGATTTTGAAACCAAACTTGGATAACACGCATATTTAATCCTGTTTGTTGCGCCAAGCGTTCCCGTATCAATCTAGTTGGCTTAGGCGTTATAGCAAAAGCATTTTTTAACATTTCTAATTGCTCTGTCTTAATCGTTGTTCTCGGTCCACGTTTCTTACAATTATTTCCACTTTCATTATCGTTATCAGCTTGAAGATCATCTTCATTATTATTATCTAATAGATCTTCTGTTTCATCTTCTTTCTCGTCATAGTCCGAATTATCATCTTCCTTGTCATCGCTATTATAGCTGCAAGGACTTGTTTCTAAATTAAAAATCAACACAATAACTGGCATTATCTCATTATAGTAACTACGGTAAATAAGAATAAGTACAGAAAATAGCAAAAAACAAAATTGGCAATGATACTGTTGATTCTGCTTCTGCTTCTTTTAATAATTATAAAGTAGTTCAAGCAGGGATAATTATAATAAAATTAATCTGACGACAATTTTATAAAAAAGCCTTCCTTTACCATTAAGTAATTCTTGACTATATTTAATTCAAGTGGAACAATTTCATCAAGATGTATGAAGGTAAAACACATTTGATCATTTTTATCATGATAGTCCTTTGATACATGTACTTCTTAAAGATGCCTACGAATATGTCTATAGCAACACAGAATATCCATATCAACAGGCAACTCGTAGATCATCGATTAAGCGGCCATATCTATCCAAGAAGATTGGAAGTGTTTTTTATAGGTCATAGATGGTACATCGAGATTGATTATATGGTAACAACAGATGTACAGTAAAATTGTTCTATACCGTATATCGTCACTCACGAAAATGAAGAAAGGGTTATATGTTCATATCATTAATTACTATAACTGCAATAATCGTTAGAGTACAGAGTGAGTTTTTGATATTCATCATTTAAAAATAGTATTTAATCAATCATGGAATTGAGAATAAACTACTCTATTACGGACAAACCGATCATAGCGATAGCCGTAACAACCATATTATAAGATATATATAAGTTTTTTGCGGATTGAACAGAAATACTGTAAGCTATTAATGGTTGATCGTTTACATTATAGAATAGCCGGCCATCAATCAAAGATACAAATAGGAATGGGTATTTTTACTGATACGGCCCTTTTTTCATGGGATAATGTGACAAAGCACAGTCTGTGTCATTTTACATATGACAATGCTATAAATCTAATTGCGTACTCCTATATCATCTTGTATCACTAATTAAACAGTTTACAAATTACGAGAAAGAAATTGAACATTTCGTGACTAGACTGAAGCAATTTTTTGTTCTCTAAACAGATCACAGACAACTATATTGTACGCAATACAATATAACTGACAGGGAGACATCCGAATACTAGTAATACGCACAATATTTCCGATATCATCAATTGTTTCAAGGGCTATAATACGGTCAATAACTCTTGGTATTTCATGGCGATAATTATTAACAGGTGCAACGTTATATCTTTAAACACTTTTACATATTACAAGTGACAATGGTATAGTAGCCACTGTCCTTCAATTAGTTATCAGCGTACATAGCAACACAGAAAAGAATGCAATGCAAATAATACCAATGAAATTATTTGAATAAAATAAGGTATTAAAAATGGGGTATGAACCCTATCTATAATTTATGTAACTAACATAACCGACGCTTTGAATGAGCGCTAATATTTTCTGCCCTTTGATACTAATAAATGCAGCTTTTGATAGACATTTTATGTCAATATTTAATTGTATGAGTGAGAGCAATAAAGAACTTTCTGCTTCGATACGCTCGATGATAAATTGTCGATTTCTCCAACAGATTTACGAATTATTGACAGCATACAACTATTTATTGCTATTTTTGTTCATAATAATCATATGATTGTATCTGTCGTGATGATTTACTCACTAATTTGTCGTCAATTTACAGTATGAATTTACAGTGATGAAAACTAGACTTACTTAATGAGTATTGTACTTTGCTAGTCCTATCTAATGGAGTCAACGAATATTCTTAACCACAATGCTAGTGTATTCTTACTTGCTCATTTTATTCCTACGCGACTTCTGTTCATTTGCCAGCAAGATTATACATTTCTGACCTCTTTTGTCAATCATTATAACTGTCTGCCATAGCAGATTTTCTTGCTATCATTACTTTTATGGTTTACAACTATAACTACCCGTATATTCAACCATGAAAACTGAAGAATAAAATTTTCATTTAGGATACCACCGCATTCAGATTTCGATAGCTTCTTCTTCAAATAACATTGTACGCAGTGTTTATAGTATAAAATTATACTCTTAAGTGATTTTATCCATGGTTACACAAGTGCTTTATCTACTTTAGCTAAATTTTATACCAGCACTAACTTATTCCTTACCGATAATGATAAAAAAAAAACTCCATGAGAGGGACGCATTTTGAAATCATGCCTCACATCGCTATAAAGAGTCCATTCTTTAACCATACATTTATCGAGAATATTGTTAATACTTTGTTATGATTGATTTCCCTTTTAGCTTATTAGTTCATAAACTCAATAGTGGAAAATACTTCTACCTAGAAGTCTATCGTATGCTTCGATATTATTACTGTAATTATCCAATAAAACAGTTGCAGCTTTTTCAATCATAGCACAACTAGGCGATAGCTTTCACTCTTTTACTCACACAAGCAAAAGTGTGTATAGGTTACAAAAACTCCTAATCTATAAATTCATATTTACACAAATATTCGTAAACTACACTAAAATCGACAATATCATGATACTGTCAATATTAAGATCGTCATAGTTTCTAGTAGAGTTATTAATATAGTATATTTTAACGTAAGCAACAAGCAAAATCGATTACATTACTGGTAGTTAATTGAATTTCGTAATGCACCTGTATCTTCTTTACTCTTCGACGTTAACGATTGATCATTTAGGCTTGTATTAGTTGAAGAAATTGAATTTTGATAATCAGCTTGGCAAATGTACTGATTATGTTGGTTAATATAAAGTTGCTCGCCAGTTGACATTTGACGACCACAAATTGCACATTTTAAACACTTGATATGGTAGACATCATCTCGTGCTCGGCGTACTAATTCATTAGGCGGTATTCCGATACCACAACCTGAGCATTTAGTTCCATACGTTCTATTCTCACATGAATAATTGAAAAAGGTGTTTGAAAGGATAATAATAATAACAAAATATTAGTCTTAGCGAACGTTTTACTTTTATGTTTTAATAATTATCGGTACTAAAAAAACGAAAGGCACAAAACTGCGTAGATTAGGATAAGAAATTGGTGATTGAGGTTGGGATTGATAGCTTTCTAACCCTTATTTTAGTTCAAAATTATTGTATTAGTAGTTAAAAGACAAAGTAGCATCAAGAAATTAATAGCATATTCGTAGATTTTTTGATGTAAAAATTAAAGTTTACAGGATAGATTGCTCGTTATCGTCCGAGAATGGCCTTCAATATGATCACCATATAAATTTATGAATAAATAGGTCTGCTTTAGTAACTGCTTGTAACACTGAAATGGGAAATAGTATCTTAGATTTAAACGGAGATATTGATGGTATCAACTATTACGAATCGTGATATTTTATTTTAGAAATAAAATACCATTGAATCGCTCATAATCTAAATGAGATATATGCGTATAACTTGAAAATCTAATATAAATATCATGCAATAATAAGCCATTCCAGTATTGTTGAAAAATTAGCTTGACTGTCACAATTTCGATGTGATATAATTTAGGTGTCATGGTAAAGCTTGGTAAAATTGTACTAAGATTTGATAGCTACTGAAATAGTTATGAATTTTTCTAAATTACACATACAGTTTATTAACTTATGCTGCTTTAAAATCAATTATTTTTAAGTAATTTATTGCGGTATAAGTTTTCTCTCGCCCATCAACTATATCGTACAAGCTAACTTAAATCATTTATATTATCTGCATTATGCAATTAGAAATCATGTTCATGAAATAGAATAACTGTCAAAAGTTTTGTCAAATCATATTAGTTCAGCAGTATCATGAATTAATTTTTATGTAAGGCCCCTTTACTATCCATAACTCACTATAGCAATAGTAAATACTTTGTAGAGTTATTATTTCAGTCTCATCAAGCGAAGACCCCTAAATTTTTCATAATATACTTCATATTCGTTCATCCACCAGCTACTTTAGATATTAACTGTAATGCTAGTCGATTAAAAGTATGTTATTATGGTAGATTATATAGAAATGAGATTAAAACGGCTAAATTAGTCCTGATGTACTACTCAAGGCATATTAACCCTGTTTCACCAGACTTTACATATCGATAACTCGATATCATCATTGGCTATCAATGATCAGTAATAAAGTTGTTTAATAATTTGCTAATATTACCTGTTTACTCGCAATTCGTAGTAGCCAACTACGCAATCATTGATAGTATGAGTTATTTCATAAAAAATGTCAATCTTACTGTCTCTTACTGTCTCCGCAAGAAGCGATATTGTTGTAACGCTAAGTAAACAGTTTGAATTAATTATTAATAATATTTACTTTATAGATGCAGGTTTTCAGCATTCTCGACTATAAATGGCATTGATGTAATAGATAAAGCGAAATCGAACGTGTTCGGTGACTATGGATCATCTTCGCATACGTATTAAGCATTGTTGCAAGGACATATAAAGTTAAAAAAATGTTGACAAATATTTACATCATCTACTATATCAATAGTAGTGTAGAATAAAAGGAGAAAATGAAATGTTAATGTAAAAGATGAATTTCTGACCCTCTCCCTAGTATCAATAGTAGGATTGCTGCGACAGAGGAGTCCTGATGAAATTTTAGGATTTATTGTCCTAGTACAAGCTACGATAAAGAAATTAAAAATATAAAAATAAGTGTTGTAGGAGAATTGCTAATATATTTCTCCTGGTATCGATAATAAAACCGCGATACGAAAGCACATTTAACGAAATGTTGAAACTTTCTACCAAATTATAGAAAGCGAAATAAACGGCATTAAGGTACGTCACGGTACGAACTACCGTGAAAAAATAGCTATTTAAATTTGGTTAATATAATATAGTGATAATATATTACAACTAGTTACCTACAATAGGAATTACTCTAATTATAAATGTGTTACAGTAAATTTAATGCTGTGCAGTAATGTGCACTGAAATGATTCTGTGAATGGACATGTTGTAGTCCGAACGTGAAAAATTAGTTAGTAGATGTTCTCACCTAAGTATTTTTATAAGATGACTCGTGAATGTTAGCTGCTGTAGAAGGGTATATAAGCCCGTCAGATAGTTGAAGAAAGTAGTTCTCAATCGTCTAGTTGAGTTTAACCTAGAATCAAAGGCGTCTAAATTCTTGTGAGGTAGTTAAGGGATACCGAATCCCGGAGACTATAGTAATTTAGAGATTTGTTTACGTTATCCTTGTCACGAAGCCGGTTTGTGACAAATTTTCGATGCGGTACCTCAAGCATGGGCATTTAAGATTACCATAACAAGATAACTTCTCAAGTATGAAATGCAGCATAATAAAGATTAAATATATTAATAATTAGAAACAGGAACTACGACAACTCTAGATCATTGTCTTGTTAGGAATTGACCAGGGAATAATTGAGAACTATGAAAGTTAGAGTATTATATAAAGATGGAATTTCGATCAAATCTCTACCATAACTGATAGCAGTAAGGCAAGAGGTAAAACTTTAATATCCGATGTTGTCTTAAAGCCATCACTAATGAGAATGATACAGTATAATGAAATACTTTGTAGCTATTATTTATATTCAGTTATCAATATAAACTTAGCATAGATCTTTAGTATCAACAACATCGAGATAATGATGAGAAATATGAAGCTAAAAGCATAGCGGTGGTAGGCAAAATTTTTACCGGTAATCCTTGAAAACACAAATTAAATTATATATATGTATGTCATGATATGAATATACAATTATTCAAGCTTATCTGTGGTAGGAGGGACATTAACTATAATGGAACAAAGAAAGTTAAGAGTTAAATAAAGCAACTTTAGATCATTCTCTAGTAGTAATCATGGAAATATTCTAAAATAAAGTAATGCATAATTGACCAAGTCTTGATCAGTTAAATTCTAGAGAATGGAAAAGTTGAAAGTGTTGGATCATTGGCTTTTTTAGTCAATACTATAAACAAATAATGTCAATAAGATAAAATAGGTAGCCAAAATTGAAAAAAGCTCTTACTTTATCCTTCTCAAGCGTGACTAAGAGTAGAAAAATAAGAAAATTGAAGGCGCTCGGTGAGCTATTAATAATACTTTCAACAGCGGTCACAGACTAAAGAAAAACTATGGAATTATAAAAATGCAATAGGTGAATCTCAAAAATTTGCTTACAATACTTCAGTAGCAGTGATGAAAAAAATAAGATACATAAAGTTAATAAACGTTCAATGAACCTTTCCAACCAAGATTAGCGGTAGTGACGAAAATAAGGAAAATATCAAACTGGAATAAATAATTTTGATTATTCTCAAGGGTGACTAGTGAAGATTAAGTTGAAACATATAAAATTGATAACGATAAACTCTTTCAGCAGCATTGTAGTTCATAATAAAGAAAAGATCCGAAGATAAAATAGGATATACTGGTAATAAGTAGGATTTTCAATCATTCTGCAGCATAATGAACAGTAATAAAAACAATGAATGTAAAGTTTGAAGCGTTTGATGAACTTTTCCGATCAATGATCTAGTACGAAAAAGCAGCAACAACATAGAAATAAATTAAAATCGGGGAGTTGTAGATAATTATTAAATAATTCTCTCGCAAACGCAATGACAGTGAATAAAAAATTATACAGTAAAAACAATTTGTTGACCTTTTTCAATCCTTCCAGAATCAAAAACGAAAGCCTAATTGTCATAATTTGAAGATGAAATATAGTAGATAAAATTCAGATCATTGCTTGATATCGATGGCAGCAATATAAGAAGACAATAGATAATTTTCGAAGAGTTTTCCGTCTGATTTCGATAAACATTTTTAATATTGACCAGCATATACATTACAACATAACGAATACACTGCTAATTATTATCCTAAATGTAACCGATGCTAAAGTAAATGTAGCCTACAAATGATAGTAACAACGATTATTGTATAGGGGTAAATTTTAATCTTTATTTAATCATTTAGTACCAAAGGTATTTTTAAGTCATTATAATATTGAACCTAAATCCTCATTTCATATTAATTTTGCTAACTACAAGATCACACTAATACATAATAAAGATAATGTATTGTATCAAATTTGGGCATTCAAACATGATCATAAAATGTGAATTAAGTAAACGATGATGACACCCATTAACTGGTTTACCGATTACCGATCGATAATAAATAATTATGGTTTGGAAAAATATCACCAAGTAATATTGTAATGTAATCGAAACCTAGAAACGAAATTAAACGTTTATTGCTAATACTAGTGAAAAGATTAATGAACTTCGATAGGGTTATTATGAATGAGCAATATAAGTAACATGTTTCATTTTGTCATTCTACTAGATATTATTATCTATAGTACACAGTTAACGATTGATTATTATTTTTTGTCACATTTCAGTAACGTGTGCCTTTAGATAACTTTTATCCAAAGTGTACTAGTAACAGTAGATTAGCATTATATTTATAGTTTAGACATAGTATATAGCAGATCAATTTACTTAAAGTGTATATAGATAACAACATACTACATTTTCTAATTTGTCGATGTCTTTCCATTGTGTAGCATAAACGACAGCTTCAGATATCGATAGATCAAAATTTTTCTAATGTTATGTATAACTAGGTGCTTTAACATAGCTTAGATGAAGAATTTTTTATATCGAAACTGAATTAATAATTTACAAGGTGAAATACACTCGTTGGAAGTTTCTATCGATAAGATCACAAGTTTTGAGTAGCATTATGGGTCATTTAGAGGATTAAGATTGATGAATGCATAGCTGATCGCAGCTCAGCGAGTAACCTTTAGTAGGTACGATACACAAGGAAAAAAGTTACAGACTTCTCAAGATCAAAATTTTGAAGAGATTTTGAATCATAGAGTAGATAATTAGGAATCTCTCAAGTTGTACACTAACTGTGCTTTTGCACTCATAAACTTGGTAATGTATCTATAACAATAGTATGGCAAGAGGCAATCTACTACTGTATAACTACAAATGACCAACAATTATCAACTATCAATTGAGATATCACTCTTTCAGATCAGTAGATGTCAATGATTTTTAATTATAACAAAATTACATATTTAATAGCTAAAGGTGGGTCAAAAGATCCGGTAATAAATATCTATAGTACTTAAATATAAAGTAGAATGTTAATAGATATAATTGATATATCTCCTGTTAAAAAGTCCTTTAGCGTGTAAAATTAACAAGATTAAATTGGATTTCATTTTGATCGTATTTTTTTACCCAGTTTAAAGTTATAGTTGATAGATATTCACGAGAATACCAATATCAATCGAACACCAAACAAAAGGCTTAAAGTAAAAATCATTAAATTCCCTATTCGCTTTAGAAGGCATAATCTTTAGCGTACATGCAATGCAAAAAATAGGGAAGACAATCTTCTTCATCAGTTCTACTAATAGGAGAATTATCGATATAATTTAGGTTAAGAAATATTATTTTTCAACATTTTGATGCTTCTTAAGGCATACTAAAGGGAATAGAATAGCAAAATGGTATTATCAGCTTTACTGACAAATGCTGGTTAACCCTTTGGACACAATTTTAATTTTCTTGGCATAATTCTTTAAGAAAATTTTTTCTATAAAGCATGAAAGATCCCTGATAAGACAAGAAAAGCTTGTTCTCGTGGGAATTTGTAATCATGATATACAGTACTATCATGGATTATTAATTCATTGTCTAACAATGCAGTAAAGCGTTTAAAGCCGGCATTGGCCATCTTTTCTTAATGTCTAAGATATTCCCAAACTTTAATACGACTGCTCTACATCAAAGCATAATTCCCTTTAAATTGGTACTATCCCAAAATAAAGTACTGACTTGACAGTAATTTGATCAGATAAAAATGAGGTCATGTAAATCGGTATTCAAAGTTAATATTTAAATGGAATTTCTTACCTATAGAAATCATTTCGACAGTATAATTTGCCATCACGACTAAAGCATTTTTCACTTAATTGCACTTTACATTGTGAACATTGAACACATTTGGTATGCCATTTGCGATCTAAAACGCTGAGGAGAAATTTATCACATATTGGCAATTGGCAACCGGCACATGAGATCATATCCGATCTAAAATTAGGAAAAGAAAGAGGAGGTAAGTTAGATGTTAGATAGAAGTAGTTATTGATGTAATTAAAATTTCAATTTCAATACAACGGTGATGCTGTTGTTTAATCATTCATTATCACGGTAATAACGCTATTTCATGATTTATATAATAGGAAAAGATAAAATCGAATGAAAAGATGTATCGATGACTTAGTTAGCTAAATGAAAAGTTCTAGTTTAAACTATAATTGTATTTGATGTTTTATTTTGCATAACTTTTCTATTAAAATAACATTGACTCTTGATAAAAAATTAACGGAATCATTGTCTATCATTTTGTATTTCCGCGATTGCGGTTGCAACATGATAATACAGTTTGAACTCATAGTTATGTAGGCGAGTTGGTTATGTTGATATTTACTTAGGACGTTGATAGCTTGTCATCCGATTATACGTTCATCACTTTCTATATACTATCTTTATTCTTGGTCATGACTATAGCCATAAGTTGGCGTTGACGGCCATGATAGAAGAGTATCAATGGAGTAAAATAGAAAATAGGCTCGAATTTACCCTTAACTTGTCCAAGTATATCTTTTACGTATTTACTTCCAATCCAATTTTTGTTTAATCTTATCTTACATGTACTTACAGCTTGGACTTGCATCTAAAAATGATTAAAAAATTTTTAATCGATAGAGGCAATATTAATTTGTTTAATCATTCTTATTCTTATTCATGTTATTATTGTGCATTATTAAGATTATTATGATGGTGGCGATAATAGACGAAAAAGGAGAGAAAATTGCTCAAATTTGAAAATAAAAATTTATAAAGCGTTAACGTAAGAGTTACTTCAGAATTAATTTCCGAATATTTCAAGACAAAAGTAAAAAAAGGAGATAGTAAGAAACCTCCCAAGTCGATGAGTAAAAATTAACTTTCCTATGGGTATAAGTATTCAATTCATTGCATCAGATCAAAGATCGGTTATATAGATAATCACTGGATGACTTGAATGATGCAAACGATGTAAATATCAATTTCAAGAAGAAAATAGACTGAATATTAAATATGAAAATATGTAACTTGTAAGAAATGGATCGATAAAAAAAGACTATTAGCTCTATCTCTCTCAAATCAACACTTTAGTAATGAATTGGATATTTATCTTTTCGTAAAAAGTTGGTAAAATAAATAATTTAATCTATGTTCATTTTTTCTAATCATTTCTAGACGCAATTTTTCTAGAATTGAAACTTTATTAGAACTACATGTTATAGATTTTTCGATCTTTTATTTCCTTTTACTCTCTACACTAATTCAGTCGTGGATAACAGCATACAAGAGAGTACAAGAGGAAGAAGAGTCGAAATGACGAAATGATAACCGTAAAAATTAGCCAGGAATGAATTAGATTACCTGATAAAGCGATGGCCTAATACTCTTGATGGATCGATTGTAGTTGTAGGGGCCTGATGATAGATGAATATCGATGCAGATATATTTATAGACTCACCTAGTTGGATAGATTTGTGTCAATACTGAATGGATATGTAAATTTATAGACATGGAGTTTTCAGGATATGAAGTTTTCCATTCAATGATACGAAAGACAGACAGCCAGGCAAAGGAAGCTGATCAATTACATAACAGCAATGTCCTCTATTGACAACCATTATCTTGCCGACAATAGAGAGTAGAATTATTTGCAAAGAAGAAGAATTTAAACAACGCTTGCCAATCTATTCCTATCTCCGCCCTCGAATTTTGTGCTTGGTTAGCTTTTCAAAATTCTCTAACTATGGGTATTGTAAAAAAAGTCAAGTAGTGAAATTGGAAGAAGAATAAAAAATCAGGCAGGACCGTTATCGTAAGAATAATTATTGTAACTTGATACCTATTCAGTAAAGATAAAATATTGGATAGTATTGCCCATCAAGGAAGTATTTTAAATGATTAGACGTAATTCGTATGGTTACATAGATTACGACATACAAACCTTTTTATAACATATCGCTATTATTATTTTTAACATGATACTACGTTTATTTAGCCAAGATATCATCATCAAAATAAGCATCAAGGAAGTATTGGAAATTACAGAGACAATATTTAGATGATAATTATAGATTAGAGGCACAAAATGTTATTTGTCTAGTTTAAAAATTACCCGTATGCATTTTGCCTTTATTTTTAGCCTAGATACAGTCTTAATTTAGATTATTAAGGAAGTAGTTAAAGTAGTTAGACGTAACTCACATGGTCAACATTGATTAAGGCATCAAGACTTTTTCTACTATATCGTCATGAATATTTTCAATATAACTCAGCCAAGACACAATCACAGAAAATAATGGTTAACCAAGTAGTTAAAATGATTAATTGTCATTTATTTGTGTGGTTAATCTTGATTAAGACATCAGATTTTTTGTGCATGTCGTTAAGATTATTTTTAATATATGCAATGTAGATTTAGCCAAGAATTGAACATGAAAGTTAATAACTAACCAAGAAGTTTAAGTGATTAGATGTCATCCATCTTGTCTAGTGAACTATGGTGAACACTTAAAAATATAATATAAATCGTCATGACTTTTATTTTCAATGAGATAAAACATTCATTAAGTCAAGACACTATCATAGGAAATAATGATTAACTAAGTAGTTAAAATGATTTGTTATCATTGATCTGGATGATTAACATTGATTAAGACATAAAAACTTATTTTACGTGCCGTTATGTTCATCTCCAATATGATTTCCCCTTTACTAAGCCAAGATTTGACGTTAGATATTTTATTAACTTTAACTAAGACCGGGTAATATTTTACTCATCGTCATAGTTTTCAATTTGAAATCATCTTAATTTAATCGAGATTTGATATTAGGTAACGCAATCTATTAAGGAAATATTCGACAGATCTCATAATACTAATACTTCTAAGAAGTAATTAATTATTAGCCTATTTATTATGGTACATCAAAACTGTTTCAAGAATTTTCTCTAATTTATTTAGATAATATTTAATAGAGACAAAATTATTAAAAAATAACTATCAAGGAAGTATTGAAAATAGTCAAACATTGTATCCGTACGGTTAACATACTTTTAGATCATGAATTAAATTTTTTCATAACTTTATTACTTCCTATACCATGTTCTGTCTGATAACTAGATATTTAATTTTAATGATCAGATAAACTCATACAATATTAAGATAGATGATTTGGTGAGCCTACGGTGGCAAATTTTTAAAATGTTAAATAATATATATTTAGTAAAGACCGGACATGGCGAATGAATTTAACCCTAATGTTTGTATGGTCAGTATTGATTTGAGGAAAAATGAAAACTTTTCTACATATGGTAATCAACTTTCATTATTACAAATTGCATCTATACAGTCGAGATTTGATATCGGAAATAATTTATCGAGGAAGTACCCTGAAATTGGAAGATAATATGATATTATAACGACCGAGCTAGTGCAAATATCAGGCAACGGAAAATTTTTCTCGTCTATGATAATTTTACTGTGATACAGCAAAGATAGATTGTTAAGATTCAATCATCTAAAAATTACTCCAAGACATGTTCACATTCTACGCTTATATGGTTAAACTATACCTAAGGTAGAGAAATATCATTACATAGCGTAAAGTTGTCAATAATATAAGGCGGCAGCTTGGATACGATTTTGAAAATAATAACTTTCAAAAGATCATTTGAAAATAAATAAAGACAATAAATGTATAGTTAAGATGTTATTCGATTCAATAACTTCTTTACATAACGCATTGAATTGGAAGGACATTATCTTTACTCCCTAGCTAATATACGCAGTCATCAAGAAAGTATTTTAAAATAATTCAATCGTAATTATCTACTCTATCTACTTTTAGGCATAGGAAGTGACATCTTACATTCGTATTTTATTGCATATCGTCACTGGTTGAAGGTGTACTATTGGATACTTATTGCAGATAGGATCTCACTAATTTTTGTTAATGTTTATTTGCTACGATAAGAATTTAAACATAGTCATGTAACATAACTATATAATTAATTCATTGCAATCAGGAAATTATTGAAATAACTATCGTAGTGCGAGTCTGGACTTAATACGATTGCTATATTGACGAGAATTAATTGTAAATTAGCCGAAAAGATAAGATAAACCACAAATAAACCTGACTAGTAAGCAATTTTATAATTATACTTTAATTTTAATAATTTTAATAAAACTGGCAGAAGCATATAGGTAGCGGATTAATTTAACTAATAGTCACTTTAATAACTGTACATTATTTAAATACAGATGATGAAAGTAGACAGATAAAGAATTAATCTAACTAGCAATTTAATATTTATACTTTAATGCGCGTATTACTGATAGTATAGATAGATGGAGGATTAATCTAACCGATAACCAATTTAATAATTATACTTTATTTTAATACAAACGACAACAGTGGATGGGTGAAGAATTAATCTAACTAGAAGTCAATTTTAATAACAATTTTGCTTTATTTTCTATTAAAAGATGACCTAGATGAATATAGTATTAGTTAATATGGCTAAAACTATACTTATAGCGGTACTGAGGGTTAATTTTTCATGATGGCGGAAAAATGATACTAATAAGCATGATAAGGCAGATTATTCAGTCTAAGAATGAGTTCTATTAAATTATTGTACTCTTAAACTATTATTAAAATTTTGTACAGTTTTGCATACATTTTCTTTATGAACTGACATGAATTATTGTGATTTTATATCGCGAACCCTTCCAAGAATGGATGATATTATGATATTCATGAATAATTCGTTAGATATTGTTATTTTTATCTTGAAATTGCAGTCAATACTATTGTCATTTCAATGCTATTGATTGATTGATTAAATTTTTGAAGTAGTGATATCTGTTGAAAGACTTTCTAGGCTATAGTCTCTAACTATGAGAAAAATAGTTGAATGCTTCGATTGCTAGTATTTGGTGAGCAATTGAAA